TTGTGGCTTTTCCAAACTTCTGAGGTCTCCACTGCACCTTTGGCTTCACACTCACAGCTTCACACATTGCCCTCTCAGGGGAACACTGCCTGGCCCTCCAGGCCTTCTGAAAGTAGGATGGAAGCTGCTTTTACTACAAACTTTTGCATTCTGCATACACCTAAAACCAGTGCCACGTGAATACTGCCAAGGTCTTCTACCACCTGGAGCAGTAGTCAAGCCTTCCTCTCACATGGCCATAGGGTTGAGTGTTTTCAAGTGTTTTGAGAAACAAATTCTGTATATTACTGCCATTCTGGAACATGGTGCTCTGTGGCTTTTTCCTCAAAGCAAAGTCTTTCACTTTTGCAGGGGCTGCAGAAGGTGGAGACTTGCTATTTCTTGTGATGCCCTCAGGCCATCTTTTCTATTCTCCTATTCCTTCTCAGCAGTTGAGATCTCCACAGCTCTTTCTTTGCAGTCCACAGCTTTACTGGTGCTTCCCCTCTAGTCAAATTCACATTTTAAGTCATTCTGCTGGGCTCTTTGCTCTTGATTTGCAACATAAATCTGGCTAAAAGCCCCCAACAATAGCCATTCCATAGCCTCAACATTCTACTGCCTTGAAATCTCTTCTGCCAGATTAATTAGTCTGCTGCCCTTAATCTCAGTTTCAGACAAAGTCTCCGGACAGGAGTAAATGCAGACAAACTCATTCTGCCAAGCCATAACATACATCATCTGGAGTCTAACAATCGATGCAGTCCTCAGCAGAAACCTCTTGAGCTTGGTGTTTATTGGCAAGATTCTTATCAGTTCTGACCAGAATCTCCCATACAGAACAGCCTAAGACATTCCAGTTCTCTTTCAGGCAACATCTCTGACCCATTCCAAACTCTCCCCACAAGCCATTCCCAAAGGCTGTTGAACCACATGGTCAGGTATAGTCACAGCAAGACCCCACTTCCTGGTACCAAATTCTGTCTTGATTACTTTTCTCTCATTGCTGGGACAAGATAGTTGACACCCAAAATTAAGGAAGGAAATGTTTATTTAGCTTACAATCTGTGAAAGTTTCAGTCTGCACTCCGTTGGCACCAAGGCAGCCTGGTGTGGCACAGCAGCAAGTGTTCAAGGCAGCAGAAGACAGCAAAACCTAGAAGAGCGAAAATAGTGGGAGGACAGCAAGCCTCTTTTCCTCCCTTATATTGTAAGCAGGCTACCTGCCTTCCCAGGGAGGGTGTAGCACACACAATCTCCATGCTCTCCTCCTGCACAGGGTGAGGATGTTTACAAAGTAAGGACCCTGGCTCCCTGCTGAGTTGCTTACTTAAACTTCTAGGCTTCTCAAGTTGACACAGTGTATCAGTCATTATAAGGCTCTACCACTATGTTACATCTATTATCCCAGGATTTAAATTTAAAGCAGAAAAGATTATCATCTATTCGTCACCTCCATACTTGGTCTTGACTTCTCAGTCACTTCAGTGTACAACGTTTTTCTTGTTTACATCCATCATCTGATATGATTATCACTTTTCATGAATAAGGGGAAGTGCTGAGGGGAGAGAGGCATTGTAAGAAGGTGAACTGCTGGGCCTCAGAGAGTGGGAGGGTGTGCTAGACAGCTAAGGGGATCATATTGGGGCAGTGAGCCAGCCACTACTGCATTTCCACTAAGATTCATTCAGAATGAAAAGCAGAAGGAAAGGAGAGAGCAGTATTTGAGTTAATAGAGAACCCACTGTAATTGTAAAGATACTTAAAAGGCACAGAGGAAAGCAGACATAGAAAAATTCTTCAACAATGAAATGTTTTCTAGTCATTATAGAATCATTTCTTAGGAACTGAGTGACTTGGATGAAAATGTGATTCTTCCTGGGTCTATGGAATGAAAAGCTGATTGCTGATTATCTGTGGGAACCAGTGTTTTTGTTAGAGTGAAGTTAGTAGTCAGAGGCACCGTGAATTACCAGAGGTTAACAGTTCCCAGATGTGTTTGATATTTGTTTAATAAATTTTATGTATTCTCAAGAAATTATGTTCTGAAATTTAAAGAGACAAGGAGAATTTAAACTGTTATATGAGACTGAATAGTAGAGAAATAGATGCCTTTGCATCTTAATAAGAATTTAATTGCAAGTGAAAACTTACCTTTTAAAATTTTCAGAAACAAGACCAAATCATGGTGACTTCAACCTTCTTAAAATATGACATTTGTTATAATGGTCACTCATGAACATGATGTGCAATTCATGAAAGTTCTTAGTATTTATATTCCTTAGTTTCCCTTGCTATCCATTGATTAATTTATATAGCATGGCCTATGTTCCTATTCTGGAGGAGAGTTTTGGATGTGTTATGAACTAATTTAGTAATTTAAGCTGTCATTATTGCTGACAACTTAAGAACTAAGCTATTTTTAATAGTAAAAGTGAAAATGGCTTTTCAAATATATTTCAGAAGTAGACATTTTAAAATTATATTAAAATGATAGCATTACTCTAACACATGTTTGTTGATTTAGGTTCCTATGAGTAAATATTTTAGAGGACAAACTCTAAAGGACAGAGGTCTGATAGAGATAGAACTCTTTTTTCCTTGTTCTTATCCTTTGTATAAAACTGATAAGACTGACTTTGTAATAGAGTCTATATAAGACTGACTTCCAAATAGGTGCATGTATTGTGGGCCTGATATCCAGACACACATATAGGTACCTGGGGCTATGTCTTTTCCATTAAAAGTGATTTTCTACTGATTTATTTATATTATTTTGCTTCAGATGCATATGATATTTAAATATCTGATGGATTTTAAAGAGGTTGCTTGAATTCAATTTGTTTTCTGTAAATGTGATGATAAAGTGATGCTCAATAACAGCCATCTCTTGGATTGCTTAGGGCTTTATATAAATAACTGTACTAGCAAGGTTGGATTATTAAAAATATTGATTCACTAGAATTACTAAGATACTTGAACCACATCTATCAGTGCTACTAAGTAATAGCTTAACATTTTGGATCCATGAAACCTGGATACAATTTTAATGTCTGTAGGTGATTCATATAACACTGTAGGGAAATGACTCAATATTCACCTTATAAACTTAGAATGTTTAGATAAAAAACAAACTTAAATAAATTGCCCAAACTACTGGAATATCTTAAAGACCATTTTGTGCCTGGGGTTGCACTCAAATATTTACATGCTCATCGCCTCACTTAGACCGGAACTCCCAGAGGATGGGATCTAGGTCTTTTCATCTCTGCAGTCCTAATCTAGTGTGGTGTCTAGCATGTAGCCTGATTTTCTCAGGGACAGTCTGTGGCCACCCAAATCAAATTTATGTAGAAATTTTTATACAACAAACATTGTTAATTTCCTAGCACTTTGTAACTCTGTATTGTCTGTACTGTTCTTTTGCTATTTTGTAAAAGGTTGTCTGTCTGTTAATGTTTTCCTCCTTTTATTTTTAAAATAAAAAAAAGAAGGAAATTTTTGTTAGTGAGTAGGACGCATCCACAGATTTGCCAGATAAACATCTCCAGAGTGAACTCTAGCCTCAGATAAGTAGAATAAATGCAGTGGGAAACAGGGACAGCAAACAAGCCCCTGACCTTGCTGTCCACCCACTTGGAGACATGCTGTGACCATAGTGGCTAAGTTTTCAGGGAGGTCTGCTAAAGTCCAGGCCTCTAGATGCACAGATAAGTGAAGTATATTTATAGTTAAAACTCTCAAATCGGAAGGATGTGGTTTGAATCAGATGTACGCACTAAGCAAGATAATATGTGTAAAAGGTTTTGCAAGATTCTTGGAATAAGTATGCCCTTATAAATGTTAGCTTTTTTCTCCATTTTTCTTTTCTAATAAAAGTGGTTACATTCTTGGTGGGACAGAAAATAAGGAGAACTTGAAAATGAGTAAGTTAAATGTTTTTTTCTAATAAAACATCCCAAAACTAGGTGATGTAATATTTATTGACTCACAAATATGTGGGTTGGCAGTTTGGGCTGAGCTCAGCTGTGTCAGGGAAAGCCGGGGCTTATGGTAGTGGCCAAAGGGCTTCTCAGAGCAGTAAGAGAGGGAGCAAGCCCCAAGAGCAAACACTTTTCAAGCCTCTGCTTGTTTCCCGTTTGCAAGACTTCCTTTAGCCAAAGCCAGACATGTGGCAAAGAAAGAATATTCAACAGGAAGAGAAAGAATCCACTTCCTGATGCACAAAGAGACAGCAAAATGGGATGGAAAGAATTTGGCCATTTTTGTAACCTACACACAATGAGTTTTATTGACTGCTTTTCAGACATTAAGCTGGGTGATTCACATGTTATTCGTTTAATCCTCAGGACAATTTTCTGACATATGTGGAATTATTGCCATTTCACAAACAAGAAAATTGATGCACAGAGAAATTAAAAGACTTGTTATATGTTAGGCCAGAATGGCCTTAATACGTCAAGTGATGGCATGGCCTTTTATGCACTGTCTTTTGTAGCATAGACAGACAATTAGACAGAAGGTTCATGCTTTCGTTAAGGAAGATTTGATTACAATAGAGTTTCAAAGATTTTTTTCCTTTTCCACTTATCAATTGACCTATGGGCTATGTGTGTTTTAGTTACTTTTCTCTCGTTGCTGAGACAAAATACCCAATGCCCCAAATTAAGGAAGGAAAGGTTTATTTAGCTCACAGTCAGTCGAGGTTTCAGTCCATACTCCGCTGGCTCCAAGGCAGAGTGGCACATGGCAGAGGGCAACCATTCAAGGAGGCAGAAGACAGCAAAAGCAAAAAGAGCAAAAGGGAGGAGGGGTGGCAAGCAGCCTCTTTCCTTCCCTTACATCAATCATAAACTCTAGAAGCAGGCCCCATGACTGCATGAGGCTTTGGGGGGTCATCCCGACACAAACCATAACAATGTGTTTACTCAGGTTAGAATAAAATTATTCTTAAAAATCTATTCTCCTTTAAAACCTTGCAGAAGTTTATAGGAATTGGTTTTTTGTTTGTTTTCTGCCAGGCCACCCACACTGCCTGGATCTCACTGCATCCTGGACATGACTGAGCCTCTTCAATGGGCCCGATACCACTGGCGACAGCTGATGGGTGGTAGGACCAGGGAGGACGATGAGAGGCTGTACAACTACTCTTCGCTGCTTGCCTGTGGGGGGAAGTCCTCTGAGACCCCTAAACTGGCAGGAAAGCACCGCGTAGTCATTCCTCACCTTCAGCCCTTCAAGGATGAGTACGAGAAGTTTTCTGGAACCTACATGAATAACCGAATACGAACAACAAAGTACACGCTTCTGAATTTTGTGCCAAGAAATTTGTTTGAACAGTTTCATAGGTACTGGTTGTTTTTTTTTTTTTTTTTTTTTTAATGAAATCTTAGGATGTTTTTTATCATTCTAATGGAGACATAATTTTTCTTCACTTTCATAACATTATCTGTACTTAAGTGTAGGACTAGTGACATCATGTGTGCCAATTAGGGTCTAGTTCTGCTGCAGATTGATGACCCCTCATATTCATATAGGACGTCACAATTGCTAAGATGCTTTCTCTTTTATCAGAGAAATTATTATTTTATATCATTACAGATTAGAAAATTCTGACTATGGCTTATCCAGTGTCATAGAAGTGATGAGTAGCTAGCCAAGGGCTATAGCTTTGGGTGCTCTTGTTCAAATTTAGTGTTTATTCCATTGAATCATCCTGCATTTTAGTTATTGATTTTTCTTACTTGATAGTATGGGGAGATAGAGCTCTGAAGGAAATGCAAATGCCTGGGGTGTTATTAAGTGAAATAATGATGTACTTCAGTTTAGTAGGCGCTTAGTGATACTCACCTCTGAGTTTAGGTGTGGAAGGAATTGCAGGTATAATTGTTACTCCTTTCTTTAGGGAGCCTGAAATTTAGCCATGGAAATAAGATATGAATACAAATGATGAAAGGACATAGTGGATGTGGTTAATGTTACAAAGTTTTAACAAGAACAGAAGCCTCAGAGAAATCAGAACACTAACTGGAGCAATAAAAGAGGATGTGACATTTGACTTAATCCTGGAGGGTATGTGAGATATTCCAGGCAGAAGTGTGGGTAATGCTTATTTCAGAGGGAAGAAGGAGTAGAGTAAACGTATAGAAGCAGTGGCAAAAAAGGATGTCCTATAGGACATATGCTGGGGAGCAATCGGGGAAATGTTGGAAACACTGGTGTGATCTACAAGAGGCGTCTCTGTCAGGATAAAGAATCGAGACCCCAAACTACAGGCATAGTTTTGTTTTTGTTTTTTTTTTTTGGTTTTTCTCCGGTACTGGGACCCGAACTCACGACCTTGCACTTGCCAGGCAGGCGCTTTGCCACTGAGCTAAATCCCCAGCCCCTACAGGCATAGTTTTGAATAGAGGAATACCATGAATGTGTCTGTATTTCACTGTAGCAGCAATGTGGTGGGCAGATGGAAGGGCTTACAGGCAAACTGAAGACAAAAACAACATTTAAGAAGCTGGTGTGTACATCCTGGTGAATTGTCACCAATGAGTTTAGAACAATATGAGAATAATAAGAAGGGTCACCCATCATAGATACTGTGGATTAGATATAAGGAATTAAGTGAAAGCAGGAAAACAGTGTCATGAACATGTTGAGCTTTGATGACCAGGAAGACTAACAAAAGAAGGAAAGACAGGAATAAAAAGAAGCTTGGTTTGTTTTAGTAACTATATTGGAGGTGCTGGTGTGAATATAGAGATTCTCAGCATACATTATGGGTTTTGCTGTATTTGTTCTCATGAGCCCTCAATATATGTTCTATTTGCTTTTACTGAATAATGGTTATGTTAAAATACAAATCTGAATTTGTTGGATTGATGCATTTATGTGCTAAGGTAATTATATCCCAAATGTATAGGTTTTACAATCCATACAGTTTTAGGTACTTTTCCTTGTTGCTGAGACAAAATACAGACACCCCGAGTTAAAGAAGAAAAGTTTTATTTTGGCTCACAGTTTATAGAGGTTTCAGTCCATAATCAGCTAGCTCCAAGGCAGAGTGGCTTGGCAGAGCAACATCATAGAGAAGAAACAGTTCATGGCAGGCAGAGGGCAGGAAGCAGCAAAAACAGTAAGCAGCAAGTGATGACAGCAGCCCTCTTTCTGTCCCTTATATTCTACCAAGGCTACACACCCTCAGAGTGTGTAGCACTTACACTCAGGGTGTGCCTGCTCATTCTCCACGCCTAGCACTATGCCAGACCAGTCACTGGACTCCTTTAGTAATCACACACCCTTCATCCCAGCATCACATGCTTTAGATCCAGCCACCTCTGAAAAGCCCTACCTGTGACCACATGAGTCTTTTGGGGGGACATCTGGACACAAGCCATAATAAATATATTCAATGAAAAAGATCAGAAACTTGGAAAAGTCCCTCAGGGTATATGGGTATATCTTTAGATGTGGTTTACTTAGAAATAATCCAAGCCACAGAAATAGCAAAAAAAGTTAAAAAAATTTTCAGAGTAAAAGGAGTTGGAGATGAGTAAGAAGTAAAGTGTGAGTAGATTATTCTTTTGAGAAGCTTCATGATCAGTGGTCAAATATGTGCTAACAATTCAAGGGACTGCAGGATTGAAATTTTATTTTCTTCTAAGGAAAAAGGCTTTTTGAACTTTATGGCTAAAGGGAATATTTCAAAGAATAAAAGTAATATTCTAATAAAGGAATATTTGAATATATAAAATAGAGGAATGTAAGAAGTTTCTAAATAATATGGTTCTGGATAGTTTAAATGAAATAAAAGGGTTAGCATCAAGGAAAAAAGGCACTCAAGGTTTACAACTTATTTTGAGTTTTGTTTGAATCTAATGTTCATATTTGGTTATACAAAATGATAGATGCTTAAAACACATTAACTATGAATTTTCTCTTAATTTTTTTAACTTTTAAAAAGAACACAGCACTTTCTGTTTTGTCATATTTTGTTGCACAATTCAAGACTGTCCTACTCAAATAAGTACTATTATATATTTCATAAAACCTTACATTTATTAAAGGATGTCCCTAGGTGATGTCTAGAAGGGCGATAAATAGTTCATTCGGGTTTATTAGATTGTAGTATTATTCTATTTTGTAATGTAAAAGATTGGCTTATACAAACCCATAAGAAGGCACAAGTCATTTGCCTTTTTTACTTTAGACCCTGAAGTAACTTACTGACAGCTGTCTCTGTGTGTGTTGCAGGGCTGCCAATTTATATTTCCTCTTCCTGGTTGTCCTGAACTGGGTACCTCTGGTAGAAGCCTTCCAAAAGGAAATTACCATGCTGCCTCTGGTAGTGGTCCTTACAATTATTGCAATTAAAGATGGCTTGGAAGATTACCGAAAATACAAAATTGACAAACGCATCAACAATTTAGTAACTAAAGTTTATGATAGGTAAGTACAGTGGGAGTTTCCATAGGGAATATACATATATCATTTAGAAATGGATTACTTTTTCACACCCTAGGTGTGGCCAGGACCCTTTTTGAATTGTTGTTTACAATTTACAATCCTACAGCGAGTTCAAGTCAGGTGTCAGAGGAAAACAGAAGTGCGTAAGCCATTGCCTACTCAGGACTTGACAAAACAAAAGTTTCTATGACTCATGTATAGTGGAGTCAAAGAATTACATTTTGAACCATCAGAAGGAAAGCATATAGGTAGTTCAACTCTAGATGCCATAATCTAGGGTTAGGAATAGCATAGGATATGAATAACAAGAATGAACTTGAGTGGATATGAAAAAAATAGGACTAAATATGAAAAGAGAAAACAAGAGCTGCTTATGGGGGAAAGGGATTGTGAAAAGTGAAGAAGTCTTTTTTGTGCATAAAACGACTCATTCCATTGTAACAAAACAACATTTATAAGAGGAAGTCTATTTATGAGCATATTTTATATTTCTAGTATTTCTGAAATAGAAAGTCTAGTCAAGAACAAAATCAGTAACTATAATTATAATTACATGCAAATCTTACAGTTTTATTTTTATAAGTAAGTTAATACTTAGTAAACAGTATGGGCAAGTATAACTTGTCTTTAATTTTATAAGAACCATAGCAGAAAAGGTTAGGAAAGGCATGTTTGAAGAAGTGATTTTTAGGCTAAAACTTGCAGAATTGTGGATTTTGTTCATTATTAGATTTTTTTCAATAGCGTTCACAACATTTGTTTTAAAATCTACCAAATGAAGAAAAGATCTGTTTCTTCTTTGGAAGTTGATATGAGATACTTGAATTAATTTAGTTAATTTTTCTTATACTTATATCTACTCTAAAGGAAGCAGAAAAACTGATGTATTCAATCAATGAAATATTACAGTATAAGTCCATGACTTGCACTTTAAGCTCATAGAATGCTTTACTCTAACAATTCTATGACTTATTCATTAATGTTCATGTACTTTTAGTGAACCAGAGAAAGAGGTAAGAGGTTAATACTGAGTTTTACCTTAAAAGAGTAGCTGTAAGAAATAACACTTTAAAATGATTATATAATGACCAAAGTCTAGATTCAATCAATTTTAAGATCACTCACATACTAACAAATTTAGCAAATGGAAAAAATGCTGATTATATACACTTCTATATATAAATCCTTGTGTACAACAATTGCCTAGTGCTAGTCTACAGCTAACACGTAGACTAGATAATGTTATCATATGTAACGTATGTGCTTCTCTAGGTTCTAAACTATATTAATTCTAATTATCTTACTTAATATCTGTGTAACCTGAGGCAAAATAAATTAGCTAAACTTAAATGACTAGTCAGTTTCCTTCATTATGAATACAATGATAAGACAGCAAACATTGTAATTAGACCTAAATATTAAATAAAATTTATTCATCAAAATTACGATTGCAACCTAATAATAACTAGCTAGAGTTTATGTTGGCCACATCATAATCAACATTTGAGAATTTTTAATAACATTGTACTACTTTTTTAGCTATTAAAATTGTCCGGTGGAAGGCACAGAATAACTTTTTCTTCAGGTGTCCTTTTAGACATAGTCCAGATCTATTTTGGATAGTTTGCGTGTAAGCTTAAGGATGAACAGTACTATCCCAGTCATTTACTTAAAGGCAATTCTAAGATATCAGCTTAAATTGCATTTCATTAGAGATTTAGATAATTTTAGGTCTTTTTAATCTACATTCTATGTAATTTACTTTTGTTCATTGCTTTGAAGAAATAACTTATATTTCCTCCCAATTGTTCTTAGAGCAATTATGCTAAGCTTACAAAGAAATAAAGGTAGGCTATAAAAATCATGCTTGTTGATCTAAATACGCTAACTTAAATTCTTATGAATACAAAGAAATCATTTAAGAGAACAAATTATTTCACAGAACAATGAAAGTGAAAGTATGGGGCTATTAAATTGAGGAAGCTTTGGAAGACTATTAACATTTCTATGCAGATAATTTCGTTCTTACTTGTAATATGTAGTCTTTCACAAGGTGCTTAATTTCTATGGGTAAACATCATTTAAAAGAACAAGCACTAGTTTAGATATTAACATTTAAGTTCTGTTATACCCCGGTTAAATTTGAATGATCTGGTGTAGAAAACCTAACTTTCTTAAGATTACCTTTAAAGTAGAAACCATTTGTAAGGTTTTAAGTTTTTTCATAATAGAAATGTTTTGAAAATAACACCAAGAATCATTCATTAAATTTGAGTGTCCATTATGTGCTTGGCACCAAGAGATTTGGAAATTTAAACAAGAAATACATATGCTGCCTGCCCTCAAAGAGTGAGCATTCTTGTTCCACCTCCAAAAGTCACCATGTTGTTGATATTAGAAATTTCAAACATTAGCTAATCTTAACAGTTTAAGAGTACTATCTGATAAGTTCATAAAATCCCATGAGGTTTAAAATAATTCCAAGTATCAGTGGCCTTCTAAGATAATTAATGCAGGGGCTGAGGATTTAGCTCAGCGGCACAGCACCTGCCTGGCAAGAGCAAGGTTGTGAGTTCGATTCCCGGTACTGGAAAAAAAAAACAAAACAAAAAGATAATTAATGCATGCCACTTGAAAAAGCAGTAGTTCTTTGCATTTGCTTTTCAGGGCACAATTAACCATGTTGCATTTGGTGGTCTTCAGAAGTGACTGTAGCTGGCAGGAAATTAGTGACTGAGTGGACTCTGGAAGGACCTGCCTTGCCCAAAACCCCACAGCCACTTAGCAACTGTGTGACTGTGAGCAAGTTACATAGCCCATTAAGGACAATATTTGCTTATTTATGAAAGAGTTCCCTTGTGTATCTATAATACCAACCACAGAACATTGAATTAGTGGATCTATAGAGAGCATCTTATAAGTCTGTTCTTGTATTCAAGGATAATTCATTTGTTTATTATAAATTTGTTTTAATTTTTTGGAAACATACTTTAAAAATCAAAAAGAATGATTCATACCCCCACTTTTTCTCTCTAGAGTATTTTTAAACTTTTTTATTTTAGAGATAGCATCTCAGTATGTAGTCCAGGTTGGCTTTGATCTCACAGTGACCCTTCCACCTCATCCTCCCAACTACAGGAATTACGACCATGCACCACCATGGCCAGCTCTCTTTAAATCTTATAAAGGAAAAAGTAGATGCCCACATGCCACACCCCTTATTTTTATTTCTCTCTCTACACCTTTACCAATTGCCACTCAAGTGAAGACACTGTTAATAGTTGAATTTATATTCCTAATTTCTCCCCATGCTTATGGAACAGAGCTGTTTACTACTAAACTCAGAAAGAAGCAAATTGGGCACAGAAGTTTTCCTGAGGGAGGGGCTGTGAGCACTGTATCCTGACCAGTGAGAGTCACACATAGCACAGACAGCTAAGTAGAAACAAGAAATTCTAGTTGTGCACTTAGGTTCTGGGAGAAGAAGAAAGTTCTTTTCCTAGCTTTAATTCTGTATCCAGGAAGCAACTGCATCCTCATTTTGCACCACCGCCATTGTAAATGTTTCTAATTAGTGAAATGTGGCAGTGAGCTAGCACTGCATCTAGCTTGGTAGATGCACTCTGTCATGCCTCTTTGTTCCTTGTGTCACACGAGCAGTTGGACTGCTGCACTGTCCCCGCTCTCATCACCTGCCTCCGTTGCAATCACACCTCACAGCGGTTCAGGTGTCACTCCTCCAGGGCTACACACTACTCCTGTTTGCTCCCATAGCACTTGTACACACCTCTGTCTTATGAAATTGCTATTTGTGTCTTGACCATAAATTCTTTACAGTAGGGACCATATCTTAATCAGTTTTATATCCTTAGAAGCTCATGTGGTATTGACATTAATATAGTATGTTTATTGGACAGAACTAGCTAGCTTTTGAGATGACCTGTTTTTAAACATCCTGATATGTGCTCTAAATGAGAAAAAACAGAATGAATTTAATTATAAAACTTGCTTCATTTGAATTTTGTTCCAATATAGCATAAACATATTCCTTAGAGGAACCCTACTGTTTATCTTCAAAAGAGAAAGCAAAACCCTTACCTCTAATGTTCAAATCTGTCTTCTTTCCTTACCTTCATGAATTCTCAGAAAATTTCTACTTAGCCTTTCATATAGAAGTTGAAATTATTTACCATGAATTGCGTATCTGATTCATTTTTTCAACATCCACCTCTTTGCTTTCTTTCTTCTGATCATAGATAAAGAGAAGAGTCGCTTTCACATCACATTAATAATACTCTTTCCATTTGAATTCTTAACCTTGTTCCTTGTTGCTTCTCTATAGCTTCAACTGCCTTTTTCCACTCTGTCTTCTGTCTTTTACCTTGCTCTTCTCCATGAACTTCTTCCCTATATCCTGTGTGCATGCCCTGTTCTCTCCTCTGTATTTCTCTTTGACTTACTTTCATTTGCAGCAGCTACTTCCACTCTTTATTCTCTGATAGTCAAACTACTGGACACGTGCAACTTTCCAACTTCAAAGCATTCCCTGATTCACCAGAGGCCATATTTTCCTCCTGTACTCTCCCCCAGCAATTTTATGTTACCAGCTTTTCCCAAGGTCAACAGACCTGCTAATGACCAAATACCATTGGGCACTTTGGTCCTTACTATAGAGAATTCCTCTGTGGCTTTTTGACTATGATTACTTCCTCTTTGAAATTTTCTTCTTTGATATCACTTCCTTTTGGGTCTTCTTCCACTTCTCTATCAGCGTGAAATTTTCCTAAGGAATCTTATATCCTTACCTGGTATCAATTGCTGTCTTTGGACCTCAGACTTCCAAATCTGTATCTCTATTTGTGAGCTCTAGAGTGGAAGGCTCAATCTGCTTAACATCTTCAACTGTAAATCCCACATCAGGTAAAATCTCAAACTGCATTTGTTATGCCTCCTGTGGTGCAACCGGTTGCTTCTAAATCTGAGGCATGGCCAAAGACACCACCTGTTGCCCCATCATACAAGTTAGAAACCATAGCGTTAACCTTGATAAATCCTTTCCAGAGTGTAAGTCTCTGATATCCAAATAATTCTTCACTTCGTCTCCTTCTGTTTATCTGTGTTGCTCCTGCCTTCATTCTGATTGTCTTCATCCCTCCCTTAAATCATTGCAGTATCTTTCCATTGGTCTCTTGGGTGTTGTATCAGTCAGGGTTTACTAGAGGAACAGATATAATACAAGATAAACAAATGTACAAGGAATTACAAGTTTGGCTTACAATGGTCAGCTACAGAGTTGGATGAGGAAGCGTGCAGAGGGTGTGTGCATGCTGGAGATTGAAGAGCCCAGCCCCGGGCCTGGAGCTCGCTGTAGTGTCCGTGCAAGTCCGTATCAAAAGGCTGATGGGTCTGCGACGAATGCTGAAGAATCTATGATGAAAGCCGGAGAGCCAGCACCAGAAGGCTGAAGAGTCCAGACGGAAGCCCAACAGTCTGCACCAGAAGCCAGGAGACGACCAAGCTGAAGGCGAAGACCAGAGCTCCTCCAAAGAACCAGCAGCCGGTCCTTCCTCAATTCCTTTTTTTATTCAGTCTACCCACTCTGGGGAGGTGGGGGTCATCCTCCACACCCACACCCTCTGCTCACCTGCCTCTTGCACAGGCTCAGGATGAATATAAAGTAAGCACCCTGGACCCCTTCTGAGTTGCATAGTTAACCTTCTAAACTTCTCAAATTAACACAATAAACAACATCCCAGAAGGGTAAGGGAGTGTCCTTTTCACCCCGAGGCAGAACTCCTGAGGTACTTAGCCAAACCTCTAGACTCCCCAAGTTGGCACAATGTATCACCCATAACAGTTGTTTTCATTGCTAAGTAGGCTGCTGCCAGGCAGCATTATTATGTAACATTATTATGTTACAGGAGTGAGTAAACAGAGGTAAGATCGCACCGTTCATCTTGTGTATTTTCAGGGACACTCCACGTTCTGTGGAATGCAGTCCCTATTCCAGGTATGCTATATGGGACAGAACTTTCAAAATGCGATCCCTGCCTGGCGTTTTGATCTGCCAGTGCTTCCCTCCATGGAAGAATGAACTGCTATGCAGAGGCATTAGGGAAGAGTTTGGAAAAGACCAATGAGTGATTGATTTGCCTCCATAAACTAACAAACTATTTAGGTAATGAAGGATTCCTCTCAATTGGATCCAAACTCTGCCTTCGGTTTTGGGAAAACTATATCCTGAAAATGTCTTTTTTACATTTATTTAGCCCTTCAAGGAAAATATTTCTTGAAACATCTGATATAGTTTGTATAGCAGAAGATGTACGAGTATTGGTGGCATTCCACTTAATCTAATAAAAAATTTTTAATATATAAGTCATACAGTTTTGGAAATGTTTGACAGTGAATGTGAATATTTAGCCCCATAAATATAATAGGAAATAAATAACTTTTCTTTTTAAATAAGTACATTTTGTGACAAACGTGGATACCTGGGGCACAGTAGGGGAATGTGACAGATGTTTGTCAGGTATATTTGTTAGTGATCTTGCGTATGAAATGCTATTTACCTAGCTGACAGGACATTTTACTGTACAGATTCCTCATTCCCCTGCAAGGAAAATGGTTCTTAGAGCATAATGAATGTTTTTGGCCTGAAAGGCAAGAGAATTTTGGCATGATCCTTAACATGAGGCAAAATCTTTAACCTAAAATGGTGTGTCTTTCCTTTAAAAAGATGCCTAGAATGGAAAAACTATGAAAAAGGAAAAACTTTGAAAAGGGGTGAAATTTGCCATTCTCCTTTCCAAGGATCAGGAGTCAACTCAGGACTATTTTAAGAACACAGTTGTCTCTCAGGATCTGAGAAGGGAGGGGGTTGAGTGGGACTGGTTCTAGAACCCCCACAGGGAAGCTCAAATCCCTCATGTAAAACATAAGTATTTGCACATAAAACCCGCTCACATCTTCCTGCGTTCTTTAGATCGTCTCTAGAGTACCAATGATACATAGTACAATGCTAATGTTATGCAAATAGTTGTTGTACTGTATTATTTCTGGAATAATGACAAAAAGTCTTTACATGTTCAATACTGACATAATTTTTCTAATAAATACTTTCAACCCATCACTGATTGAATCCTCAGATGTGGAGAGCCAACTTTATTCCTATTAAATGATAACTAGAGATGTCAATATGGTGGTATAATGATTTTTAAAATGCTATGTCTTAATAATTTATTTCACTTTGTTTTGCTTATTTATTCTTCCTGTCTCGTGATGAGAAGCTCTCTGAGAGCAGATGATGTGACCTCTGTCCCCCCACCCCCACAGAGCAGTGGGCAGGAATTGCTCTGCCTGATGAATGGTAACAATTTTACTCTAGAATGACACTAGAATAATGCATAATGGTTCAAAATCCTACGGGCAAAAAAAGAACTAAAAGATATGTTTGATAGCTTAGTAACTAAATTTTCAGATGAAGCGTTTGTGGAATTTAGGCTTTACCAATTCTGAACTTCCCTTTTACCATCTGATAGTTTAAACATACTTGAAATTATCTACTAAAATTAAAAATGACTTTGTTTTCAGCTGAGTGTATTATTAAAATTTTCTCTTTTAAATTTTAGGAAAGAGAAAAAATACATTGATTGCTGTTGGAAAAACGTCACCGTTGGGGACTTCATTCGCCTCTCCTGTAATGAGATCATCCCCGCAGATATGGTGTTACTCTGTTCCACCGATCCCGATGGAATCTGCCACATTGAGACTTCCGGTCTTGATGGAGAGAGCAATTTAAAGCAGAGGCAGGTGGTGCGGGGCTGTGCAGAGCAGGTAAATCATGGCTTCTTGGCTGGTGATTTACTAACTTTTTTCCTGGAAAATGACTGAGCTCATTTCCACAATACAAATCAAGATTTCAAAATTCATCTTCACCACTGACAAAATAGAATCCCTGAAGATTTAATCCACTTTTCAGATAACAGTGGATGTGCACTATATTTTTTAGATAATAGTATAATATGATTTTGAAGTTCAAACACTTTAACCTGACAATCGTATTTGCTGCAACAGATTTATAAAAACCTGACAGAGTTAACCTGCAACTTGGGAAATTATTTCGGAATGGAAATGATCATCTGCTGATTTGTTTTTCTTAATCGTGTATGTCATTGCTCATATTATGTTGACCGTTAGTCCTAAAAATCTATTTTACTTACATATCAAAGCATTTTAAAACTTTTGTGGCTCGTCATGCCACATAATTTCTGAATCTTTGGCTCCACTGTGCTGAGGGAAGCAGGAACTTTGCAGGTAGATTGACGTGAATTTGAGCGACTCTCAGCTCTACCGTGAGTTACTGTGTGACTTCGGGCAACTCAGACACTTTACACTGCCATTTTATTTCAAAATGGAAATTATATTTCCCTCACAAAGCTGTCATAAGACTCATGTAAAATCATCGTGCTAGTTTCCCTTCTCTTTTTGTGGAAGCACTTTAGGTAAAGTATTTAAAAATTGAATGGTCTTTTTTGGTGACTACTATTAAGTTGTGATTTCTTCATCATATACTGGTAAATAAAACAGTTTGTGCCTCTTAATACCACTATCTTTAATAGAGTTCATCTTACACTTGGGCCCATCTTTCTGCCTACGGATTTCATTGATAACCTCTGTGATTGATGTGCTCCTGAGCTTTCTGTCACTGTAATTAGCAGTCCTAAGATGATAGCAAAAATTTTGCCTGACTCAAAATTTTTTATGCCACTACTTGCCTACCTTGAGGTTGATGCCAGTTGGTTAAATTAAAGCACATTTCATGTTCGATCAAGGATGAGACCTCTAGAATTTAATGATCTCAACTATAGTTGTGGTCCAAGCACCTCTTAAAAATCTTAGAAAATTCTTATGTCTGTCTGTCCTCACCTGTTGTTTAGGTTGAATTGTAGTATTTATCTCTTGGGCTTGTCAAAAAGTAATCAGTACATCATTGTAAAGTACATGATATATTGCTGGGTGTGGTGGTGCACATCTGCAATCCCAGCACTTAGGAGGCTGAGGCAGGAGGACTGTTGAGAGTTCAAGGCCAGCCTGGGCTACAAACTGAGTTCAAGACCAGTCTGAAGTGCATAGTGAGACCCTGTGTCAAAAAGACAAAAAAATGAAATTAAAAAATAAAGTACATGATATAGATTCTAGCATATTAAAAAGACTCATTAAACATTAATTATTAGCAAACTAAATCATGCAACTTTCATTTTCCATGTTTATTGTGAGATATATGTATATATTACTATTTTATGAGCTAAGTTAATATCAATAATGAAAAGCCACACAAAAATAGAAGAAAGTGCAAAAAGTTAATGTGGCTTGTTCTTCATGAAAACACATCTTATAAAAGTATTTTGCTTCAGTATTCATTAGTTTCATAAAACATTCTAAAATTAATTTTCTTGACCCATTAGACAATTTAGATATTGATGTCCTGCCTATTTTAAAATTTTTATTTATGAAATTTGACTGAATAGAATGCATGTACACTTAAGATATTTGCATATTCTCTCCACCTCAGAACTATCTGTGGTTAAAGACGAACAAGAGAAGTACTTTCAGTGGTTTATTGATGAAAAAGCACTTATGAGTAGAAGCCCTCTTCTTCAGAGTGCTGAATGGACTCTAATATCTGATTCCCATCACTTGCAGATGTCCATTAGAGCTCTAGACTATTCTGATCCCAGTTAGGATCCCATAATTATGCCTGTATTTTCTTTTGTCTGGGAAATTTATGGCATAAGTCTCAATGGCCAAAAACCTTAATATAATCCCAAGGATTAGTAATAAAATACTAGTAGTATTAGTAATACTAATACAAACTAGTAATATTAATAATAAAATAGTTGTATATCAAAGGCTTTATCTTGACTTTTTTTGTGTGTGTAATTCTTCTTCTTTTTGTGATTCTTTTAAAAATATTTTTAGGACTCTGAAGTTGATCCTGAGAAGTTCTCCAGTAGGATAGAATGTGAAAGTCCAAACAATGACCTCAGCAGATTCCGAGGCTTCCTGTGAGTGATACCTGACCTCTTTTTGTGGGCATGAATGGAATTGTCCTTAACTCAATAAACTTTTGTGTGCTTATACCCAAGTGATATTGTTAGAGGCCATAAGTTTAGCCATCAATACAATAGGCTTATCTTAATCATTTGATCGATATTTACCTCTCTATATATATTTAAAACAACAACAATCAAACCTTGCTCTTATAATCATGGAATCTCTTGCAGAGGTACAACAGTATCTTTCACAGTGCCCTTATTAAGCCCAGGACATATTAATGCTTACAAGGAGGTAATTGGACAGAACTGATAAATTATATGCTAGGGTAAGGTCCTTCTTCAGATGTAGAATACCAGGTGGACAATTCTGACTGGCAAAAATTGGCCAGTGATTTGAAAATATATCTAAGAAAGATAATAGGAAGCCATGACAGTATTCATTCTGGAGGCTTCCAGTGGCACCCACATTCTTTTTCAAAGTCAGCTAGAATTTGGGGTCTTGCCTGACTTTCTTTAAGCTAGGCATCTTCCACTGCAGTGCATTATGACTCTGAGTCAAGGTATTTACTTTCTTTGAACCTGGCTTTTACAAAGAGACAATTAACCCTACTTCACAGTAGTAAGTCATAGCAAGAGAAAAATTCCCAGCTCATTTTGCATTAGTACATATCTGCTGTATGTGATGCTTACATTTATCTTAGGGAGCAGGTCCATGTATTTAGCATATCTTGATTCTGTTTATACCCCTTCCACTCCATCGCTTCCTCCTTCCCTCTGACTGGACTCCTTTCCCACATTTTCATCCTTTTTTTCTTTGGTTCACGTTTGGAATGTATAATGATTACATTCACTGTGGGTGGTTGGCATACATACATGGTACATTATAAATCTTTTTTTTTTTTTTATTTTAAGGATAAAAGGAGGGAAACATTAACAGACATACAACATTTTACAACATATCACAAGCACAATACAGACAATACAGAGTTACAAACAAAGTGGTAGGGAATTAACAATGGTGGTTGTATTACATATTGATATCTTCAAAGTGGCCATTATAAATCTTTTTATATCCCCCTCGTGCTCCATCTTTTGCTCCTCTTTTCATTTGCATAAATTCTATTTCCTTGATTCCTTCTATCACTATTTGACTCTTTACTCTGTACTTGGATTGGATTACTCAAATGAGAGAAAATATATTGTATTTAAGCTTGTGTGTCTTATGTGTCTTTATTTCAAGCTGTATCCATTTTCCTACAAATGTCTCAAATTTAGTCTTCGTCAAAGCCAAGTGATATTCCATTATGTATGGATATCACATTTTCTTTGTCCTGTTTGTATGTTGATGGACATATAGAGTGCTTCCAAGATTTAACTATTATGAATTGTACTGCTGTGAACATTAGTATACATACATCACTGTAACATGATATCTTTAACTCTTTAGGAAGATACCTAGGAGATGAATAGCTGGGTCAAATGGAATTCCTATTTTAGTTTTTAAAGAAGTCTGCACATTGATTTCCATAATGGTTATACCATTTTACACCTCACCACCACCACCAAAAAGTTAAAAGGGTTCCTCATTTACAATAGCCATACCAGCATTTGCTATGGATTAATTTCTTGATGATTGCCATTCTTTCTCATTTTTTGAGACTGGGATTATCCTGATGTCATTATCTTGATACTAAAAGCATATAAAAACAGTCATATCCATTATGAACATAAATGCAAACATTCTACACAAAATTATAGGAAATCAAATCCAACAGTTGTAAAAAGGATAATGTGTCATAACCTAGACTTATTGCAAAAATGTATGGTTGGTTTAACATTTAAAATCAAATATTAACACTGCATTATTCAATATACTAAACAAAAGAAAAAAGAAAAACCAGATAATCATCTCACAGATGTAGAGCAAGCCTTTGACCAAGTCTAATTTCCATTTCTGCAAACAAGAAATAGAAGGGAGCTTGTTGTTCAACTTAATGAAAAGGTTCTGTAAAAAAAACCTATAGCTAGCATCATGCATTAGTGAAAGACTAAGGCTTGGCCCCAAGATCAGAAATGAAGTGCGGATGTTTCCTATCACTGCATGTACTGGAGATCATACTGAGGTTCTGGCTAACACATTTAGTCAGGAAAAGGAAATAGAAGGCAGCCGATAAGAAAGAGAAAGTAAGAAAGAAAGACAGAAAGAAAGAAGAAAGGAAGAAAGGAAAGAAAGAAAGAAGAAAGAGAAAGAAAGAAAAGAAAGGGAAAGATGGAGGAAGAGTGGGAGAGAAAGAAAGAGAAAGAAGAAAAGAGAAAGAAAGAAAGAAGGAAGGAAGGAAAGAAATAAGATTTTTCTTCATAGATGATGTGATGGTCTTTATAGAAAATCTGATGAAATCCACAGATTTCAAGAAAGCTACAAAAAAAGAAATAGAACTAACAAGTGAGTTTAGCAATGTTATACAATCAAGATAAATAAACTAAAATCAGTTATATTTCTGTATACTGACTGAGCTATCAGATATTGAAATTTTTAAAATATAATTTATAATATCAGAAAAGTAAAATATTGGAGGATAAATTTGAAAGAAGACATGAAGGACCTGTAGACTGAAAACAACTATAGACTACTGAGAGAAATGAAGACCTAAACAGATAGAGAGATGTATATTGTTCATGGGTCAAGACTCCACACTGTTATCATCATTTTCCCCAAAACAGAACTATATATTCAGTGCAATAGCAATAAAAATTCTAGCAAAAATTTTTTGGAAATTAATTAGCTTATTCTAAAATTGATATGGAGATGTAGTGAACCTATAGTAAGTGAAACAATTTTGGAAGAGAAGAAGAAACTTAAGAATAACACCATATGGTTTTCTGTTTTTTTTTTTTTTTTTTTTTTGGTTTTTCTCCGGTACCGGGAACCGAACTCACGACCTTGCGCTTGCCAGGCAGGCGCTTTTGCCGCTGAGCTAAATCCCCAGCCCCACCATATGGTTTTCAAGACTTTCCATGAAAGTCCTGGGAGCAAGACAGTGTCACATTGGCATAAAGACAAACCAGTGGGTAAATGTAAAAGGTTATAGAGTCCAGAAATAGACCTATGCATTTACGAAGAACTGGGTTTTGACAGGGGTGCGAGAGCAGTTTAGTGGAGAAAGGTGTGATGCTGGAACAGCTGGATAGCTACATTTTTAAAAAAATTAACTTCAATCGATAGCTTTTTCCAATCAAACATTAATTTAAATATGCACCCTAGACTGAAGTGTAAACTAAAATTATAAAACTATTAGAAAAAATATACAGGAAATCTTTGTTACCTTATATCATACAATGATTTCTTATATACAACACCAAAAGCACCGCATAAAAGGACAAAAATAAGCATGTAAAAGAATTTCTCAAAATTAAAAACTTCTGCTGAACAAGTGATACTGTTAAGAGAATGGAAAGACGAATCACAAGATGGAAGGAAATGCTTGTGATGCACGCATTTGACCCAGGGCTTATGTTTAGAATACCTGTACATCCTGCTGGCTTTCTGGCTGTACAAACTGTTACTTGCCTCTGGGTTCCTGCACACTGTGTTTATCTGTCCTTTGGTGGTCATAGGCAACAGGATCCTCAGGTGTTAGTACGCCTCGTGGTTTGCTGCGCTGGTTCCTGGTTCCGTTAGCATGGGCTTTGTGCTGGAGTCCTCGGCTGCCGCCTTCCCCTGTGTGCAGACTGGTCTGGCTCTGTTGATGATCATCCTAGTAGCTGACCTCCACAATTCTGGAGAAACATTTAATAAGAGAATCCACCCTAAATGGACAGTGATTTTTCTGAGGAATTATTTTGATCCACCAAAATAGCTCTTTATTTTGTACCTGTTTTGTGGTTTGTTTTCAAAACCAACAAAAATTGAGATGCTCAAGCTCACTGTGTATATCACACATTTTCTGATCTTACTCTTGGATAAAACTGATGTATTTCCCTAAATCTATATGCTCAATATCAAATTTCTATCATGATGTCTATATCTTTATTATTCTTACATATTTTGTTGTCAAGCAACCCCTTTTAGACAATAGGAGTTGAAACTGTGTATGTTTGCCATGCACATAAATTGGATCTTACCTGACTTCTGGAATAGAGAGAGCATGTGACAGTCAGTACTTCCATTTTCAGAATACCGAACAGTGTGTATCTGACAGGATTGTGTTATGTAGCTTGTATTAGGTGTGCTAAAATAGAAGCTAGCTTTTCTAAAGGTGGTACCTTTAAAGTCATATAACAGTGGAAAATAAGGCTTCCAGGGGAGGAAAGTTCATTCTAAGGAATTTCAGAAATGCTGGTTTTATGTGTTAAATCTGTTCCTGTAAGGACTCTACAGAAAAAAATGCCACATCAGTGAGAATAAGTTGAAGCTTGCCTGGGCAAGCTAAATGTAAAAGGGTGTGTTGGGACCTGATTTCTCCATCTGTATAACTGGGAGTTGAATTAAACTCAGCATACTTCTATCACTAATCACCTCTTTGTGCATAAGCTTGTGTATGTGGAGAAATGGAAACAAATACTGTTTTAAGACAGTATTTGCAAACTATGGGGGTAAAGTGATAATCTGTTTTCTTCGTTCTTTGAGTTTTTCTTTTCTTTGTAATTTCAGAGAGCAAGGATAGCAGATACGTCGACAGTGTTTACATATGCAAGGCAGAAGCAACAACTTATGCACTGAGGTGTATTGCTTAGAAAACAATCTAATTTTAAAGCTGAAAGTATGAGGACAATTTCAGCATAAGTGAAAAATAATACTCTTTGTTGTTTGACTATTCCAATAATTTTGCTCTGGGCTTTTTGTCACTAGTTTAGTCAAGCAACTGCTTTGATCATTTTTCAGCTCTTTATCACAGAAATTTTGAAACATGGAAAGGTGGGAGGAAAAACATAATAAACACCAAGGAGCATTGCACACCTTAACTATTTCACAGTCTTGCCCGCCTGGTTTTAACTGTCCCATTTCCTTCCCACCTCTGCACTGCACCATCTTCCTATAAATGCTTCACTATATACATACAACAGATAGAGACGTCAAACACCATAGCACCATTATCACATCCAAGGGGAATAAAGCCATTGCTTACTCACATGCCAGGACTTTGTTCAAATTTCCACAGTTGTTTCAAAAATATTTTTAATACTTCTTTTATTCATACAAGATCAAAGCAAAGTCTATAAATTACGTTTGGCTGATAACTTCTTAAATTTCCTCTCCCAAGAAATTGGCTTCTTAGCTTATAAAATTTACCATCTTCTGCATTGAGCTGATTGTCTCCTCCCTATGCTGAGCTCACCCCTTTCTCACCCCATACCATTCATTTCTTGAGTAAAACACACCATTTTGCTCACAGAATTTACTATATTTTTTATTTGACTGAATGCATCCTTGCACTGATATTTCTCGGTCCTCTTACCTTCTATCACTTGTCAAGGGTTGCTTTCAGAATTCATTGACAGAAATTAATTTTCTCCCTAGAAAATAACAAATATAGATAGATGTATAAATATTTCCATCCTCAGTACTGTATACGACATTAGAGGTTTCATCTCTAGTGCCTTGATAAAAGGCTTGTGGGGCTCGTGGCTTCCTTTCCCATACATCAGGCAGCTGTGAATTCCCTTCTCCCATTGCCAGACTGGTGGTGTTAGCTTTACCCTTTCATTACAAAGCTCGCTACCAGCTTTTCTCCTCACTGTTCTGTACCTTGATTTCAGCCAACTTGAAAATGATAATTTTCTAATTCTATTAATAATTTTTCCCACATCAGCTATTAACTGTATACTAGAAATTCAGTGTATGCTAGAAAGGTAGATCCTTATTTGGAATGTTTCTGAGTTTTTATAGAACAGAGATTGACAAACAATGACTAATGGAAAGCAATGGAGTTAGAAACTTGTGGTAGTTTCCTCCTACCCAAAGCCCATAACTGAAACCACAAAAGCAAATGAACCAGATTTGAAACCTTTCCTATGAAAGGCCTAATTTTTTCCTCTGAGTCCGAAACACTCAAGGGGCATGATTTTTATATTTATACCCTCACTTTTCCATTTTAGAATAAACCTCCATGCTGTCTTTCTTACAGAGAACATTCCAACAAACAACGTGTGGGTCTCAGCAAAGAAAATTTACTGCTCCGAGGCTGCACTATTAGAAATACAGAGGCTGTCATAGGCATTGTGGTTTATGCAGGTTGGTAATTCTCCTAATTTTCATCTCAATTAACTGTCTCTGTGCTTTTCTTCAAGGTGCAATTATTTTATTTATTCAAAATGCAGTCTAGGGAAGCAGAAAGTAAATTTTGTCTTGATAGACTTAATCAGTAGTCTCTCTTTTTTAATGCATCAGAAAAACAGACTATAGTACTGACAAAATATGTATCTGTTTTATCCAGTTGTCTGCCAGAGTCATTTTTAAAAGTATTTACTGCTGAGTTTTAATGTGTACATTTTCTGATACACTCTATTTTCTGTGTAGGCCATGAAACCAAAGCAATGCTGAACAACCCTGGGCCACGCTATAAACGTAGTAAATTAGAAAGAAGAGCAAATACAGATGTCCTCTGGTGTGTTCTGCTTCTGCTTATAATGTGTTTAACGGGTGCATTGGGTAGGTAAATTTGATTGTTTGCTAACATCTTGGCAGTAAAGTTTTCATTTTTTTCAAAGCAATATTGAAAAATGTTTGGCTTCTAGAAGGAATATTTCAATATTTTTTCCTCATGTCCTTATATATCATATTTAGGCCTGAAAATCATTAATGTAGACTATATTGATTTATACTGTGCTGTTCTGGGAAAAATGCAGGCCCAAAAGGAAGATGCTCTGCACCAAAGAGTTTTGGAAGGCAACTTTAATGTAACACTAGCATGCTGATGGAAACCAGTTCAAAATCATCAGCCCAGAGTCAGTTTTGAGTTCAGTTTAAACAGAGTTTGCAAGCAGGAAATACAGAGCTGATAGCTGGTTGTTACATGATTGGCTACATGGATTACAAGAATCAAGTCATATGTTGTCAAGCAGATTTGTCTTAAGCAGTTTTACTTAAAAGGATTTGTTTATCATTAGGTGGGAACATTCTGGGAGGGAGGGAGTCTGAGAAGAGTGGGCAGAGTTGAAAGTGTCCTTGACTGGGCTGGTGTGTTCTGGGCATAAAGTATAGGGTCCTGAAGCAAGCCAAAACAAAAACTACATATATACATATTTTAAGTTGAAAAACACAGATACTAAACCTGGGTGTGGTCAGGTAACCTGGCCAGTTATTTGGAAGAAGCAGCTGGATGCAGACAGTCAAGGCTAACTGAGCTTAGAAGTCTGACTATATGACAAGCACATGTGCATAGTCACAGGCTACTGACTGGTTTTTAATTTCTACTATAAGATTTTTATAAATTTGCCATTACAGTGTCATGGTACTGAAGGACATAGGATGAGATTTAGAGAGAGAGAGAAGAAAAGGGACATGAGACTGTCATGTTTTGAACTTGAACGTGTTTCCAAAAATAATTGGTATTCAACCAAACTCTCATCACTGCTGCTTGAGAAATAAAGTTCTATATTTACATAAGATATCTATCTATATATATAGATATAGATATACATATATATAGATAGATATATATAATGTTCTCTTCATGTCTATGTATTTTTTGAAAGGGCATGGAATCTGGTTGAGCAGATATGAAAATGTGCTCTTTTTTAATATCCCTGAATCTGATGGACATGTCATATCACCAGCATTGGCAGGATTCTATATGTTTTGGACCATGATCATTTTATTACAGGTAATTTCCATCCAGCTTATAGAATTTTAAGATCTTGCACATTATCCACCTATATTCGTGTTCTTTAGCCTACTTTAATATTTTAAAAATTGTTTGGCTCCTCAGGTCTTGATTCCCATTTCTCTCTATGTTTCCATTGAAATTGTAAAGCTTGGGCAAATATATTTCATTCAAAGTGATGTGGATTTCTACAGTGAGAAAATGGATTCTACTGTACAGTGCCGAGCCCTGAACATCACTGAGGATCTTGGACAGATTCAGTACCTCTTTTCTGATAAGACAGGAACCCTCACTGAGAATAAGATGGTTTTTCGAAGGTGCAGTGTAGCAGGATTTGATTATTGCCATGAAGAAAATGGTGAGTATTGGGTTTGCACAAAAATCACTAACATTTGTTCTTTTTGTTAACTGCTTAAATGCTGGATAATGTTAGCATTGCATTGCTATATTTAAACTTTGACTGTTTAAACTTAATTCATCCACATGGGCTTTATGTTACATTCTTGTTCCTTTAAAAGTCAGTGCATGATATACTACTAAATGATACAGTGATCTAAACAGTAAATGATAAACAAATACTAAGTGATACAGTAAAATAGATACTCAACTGTTTTGATTGTCACTTAGCATTTGTATCATCTGCTATCATTACTTCTCTCATATTGTATAATACTCCTACCATACAATATAAAGCTTATATCATCTTGCAAATTTACAGTATTGTATCATTTAGTATTTGTACCATTGTATCACTTGGTATTTGTGTTGTGATTGGTATAATCTGCTAAATAAATATTTGTTTGATGGTGTAAAAATAGTCCTAGGTAAAAGTCAAGTCAAGGAGTCTGCTGCCATGATTTCTTTAAAAGAAGAGTGACTTCAACTTGCATTTCTCTTATGGTCAGTGATGATGAGCATTTTTCATGCATCTATTGGCCATTTCTACTTCTTCGACAAAATGTCTATTCATTTTGATTGCTCATTCATTTCTGATTAGGTCTTTTATTTTGCAGGTTTAGTTTTTAAGTCATTTAGAACAAAAAAGAGAGATAAATGTGAAGTAGAGAGAAGTTCAAATTCTTTCCCACATTATATATTCCATTGTTTATAAATATTTTAATATATAATGCTAATTTATTTCATTTGTACTAAAAGTTTATATTAGTTTATTGAAAAGCAAGTTTGTGTTATCTGCTTTTTTATTTTTTGTAAGAACTTTTCTGTTTTATGTCTTGTACTCAGTAACTACTTTGAAGATAATAATACTCAGACTAATAACTATTGCTATTCTTATTTGGTTATAAAACTATGTTTTATGTTTTCATAAAATAACAAAAAAGAAGAGTAAATTACCAATGGAGGGAGAAGGTTTGGATTGGTAAGGTGACAATGATACTGCACTACAGATACTTCTGAGTATCTAATGAAACTATGGGCCATCTCTCTGAAAAATATTTTGAAAATAATCCTGAGGGAACTCCAAGTTCCTTTTAGCCCCATCATTTGGTTCCTCTATAGCCACCAATGCTTGGTTAAGAATTGAACTTCTGCCTCTAAGGAGGTGAATTTGCAAATTCCAAGGTTTTCTTTTCTTAAGAATTGAACTTTGTTAATTTTGTTCTTAATAAAAGTAATATGTGCTCCTGATATCACATTATCAAACCCATTTAAAAGCCCTGAATTGGTGAATGTATTACCACCCATTTCTTTGTGCATATTTCTCTACATATGTGAACATGTAGTAGATTCACACATTGCTATGTTATCAATTAGAGTATATTATATTAGTGTTTTTCAATGTATTTCTTTTACTAAACAGTGTCTCATGGCTTTTTCTCAAAGTCAAGTCATAACAATGGGCAGAGCATAGTCTTCCACTCATTATATTTGATCAAGCTTGGTTTCCTGTTCTTAGAGGTAACTACTTCATTTGCTGTTACCAGTTGAGTATCTCTTACCTGGAATGCCTGGAACAGGAGATGTTGTGGATTTCAGAATTTTTTGTGCAGTTTGGAATACTTACATATAAATAATGTGGTATCTTGAATATAGGACCCAAGTCTAAACACAAAATTTACTTGCCTTTCACATGTATCTTACACACATAGCTTGAAAGTATAGTTGTACAATATATTTAATAACTTTATGACTCAGAGTTCCATAGCATAGAATTTTCTACTTGTGGTGTCATGATCATGCTCAAAATTTTATATTTTGAAGCATCTTGTAGTTTGAATTTTCAGATTAGGGATTTCAACATGTTCTATAAAAACACATGCAGTTAATATCACTTATTCTTTCAACAAGTATTTTGTGAGTTTCTAATAGGTAGCAGAAGTCCCTGATCTCATGTAGCTTAAAGTTAAGGTCAAGGAAATAGGTAAACAAGATTTAGAATTATCACAAATAAAAGAAAATTCTAGGGGCTGGGGATTTAGCTCAGCGGCAAAGCACCTGCCTGGCAAGCGCAAGGTCGTGAGTTCAGTTCCTGGTACCGGAGAAAAAACAAAAACAAAAGAAAATTCTACATATGATATACACTGTTGTATGTATTTATGAGATTATTTTAAAATATTTTTTCTCTAAAATATGATGATTTACATTCTCACAACCTAGAAAAATAATGCATTTTTCATGCCTAATCATGGTGGGATGAAATTATACTTTTTAGTCTGTGTGGTTTTTATGGACATGGTTAACATTTTTTTGTCTTAATTTTTCTATTATTAGTAATGAAATGATTAACTTTTTATGTCTGTTAGCCACTGAAGTTCCTTGGTAAATTGGTCATGCACTTTTCCTGTTTTTAAATGAGAGTTCCCTGTTCTTAGTAACTCATAGGGAAGTTTTATCTGTAGAGAGCAGAGCTGATGTTCATTTATTTATTTATTTATTTATTTTATTTTAAAGAATAAAAGAAGGATAACATAATAGTAGGGGGGACTTAGGAAATTACAGACAAAATGGTAGGAAATTATCAATGGTTATCGTTTTACATATTATTATCTACAAAATAGTTTCTCAGGAAAACAAATAGACAAATAATAGTGAGTTAGAGACAAGAGAGGTAGGAGATTATCAAGAGTTGTTGTGCTATATTTTGGTATCTTCAAAGAGGCTTCTAAAGAAAATAAATAGAGCTATACATGAGTGACCTATTGAAAAATCATTAACTATTCTCAATGGTTGTTGTTGATGTTCATTTAGATCCAAGTCTAGGCTGTTTGTGACTGCCACCCTGGTATATTTGCACACTTTTGAACCAGTTGTTAAATACTTTGAACAAAAACTGTGACAGTATATTAGCCATTTCTTACGTACATGGCAATTATTTATGTGGTTCATCATTTGTCATTGTATTAGTTTTCAATTACTTCCTAACAGTTAGTGGTGTGAAAGAACACAGGTCAAGTATACTGTCTTATATTATTGACAGGTCAGGAAAAGTACATCCTTTTCTCAGTCTCTCACAAGGCTGAAGTCCAGGTGTGAGCTGGGACTGTGATCTTATCAATGATCCAATCTTATCCTCTTCTTAGCTCACTGGTACTTGGCAGAAGTTGGTGTCTTGAGGTTGTAGGATCAAGGTTCCCACTCTACTGGCTGTCATCCTGGGGCCACTGGCAACTCCCAGAGCTTCCCTGTCACACGCGCTCTCCATAGCATGGCAGTTTTCTTCCTTAAGGTCTGCAGTAGGATTTCTCACTTTGGATCTGATTTTAAGGATGTCCAAATCCCATCACACTTGCAAGGTGTATACACCATAGGGACAGGAATCTTGAGGCCATCTGAGAATTCTGAGACACTGCTCTGACTGCGCCTCCCATGATCTCTAAATTTTGTTTAGGGTACTCTTCTTATCAAATGTTTTATATTTTCATTGAAGAAAATTTGTTGATTCTTACAGCTATAATATTATAAATATTAAAAATTGGAATATTATAGTATATATAATTTCTGCCAGTAATAGCATCTATACTGCCAGAAAATTGCAAAGATATATTTACCACATTTTTTTCTTAGGTTCACACATTTTTAAGCCAACTTTTGTTGCCTATGAATGCTTGAATATTTATCACATAATCAAAAATTAGTGAGTCATGTTGCATCTAATGTGTTTCATTATGACTATTGGTAGCACTTTTACTACAAAACCAGTATTATAGAAAATACAGATAAACCAAAATATGAAAATTTTAAAACCATCAGTAACCCCCAAAGTGGGCCATTGTTAGCATTCTTTTAGACTTTTGTTTCTGTGTGTGTGTGTCTGTGTGTGCATGTGTGTGTGTGTTTAAAATAAGAGTGGCATTACAGTATGCTTTTATTTTTCTAACTATTTTTCTTAAGACTTCATTATGACCACCTATCTAGTCTCTCCTTATTTTTCTAATAGTTATATTTCATCGTGTTATAGGAATTTCCACTCTACCATTAGTGAAGGTGGTTAGTAGTCACTTTCTGTGATACCAATGCTATAGCTAAACTTCTGTTGTGTATTTGCAAGGTTTACTGTTTCCCAGAAGTATTTGACCATAAATTTTTCTGTTCAGGAGGTATGTTGCATCTTGCAGTAAAAGTACTACATAAAAAATACAATGAAAAGCACTGCAATATATTTTGTATGTATAACATTTAAATTTTTGTATCTATAACATGTAAAAAGGCTAATATTAACTAGCATTCTCCCTCCTTAGTCCATGAATGTACACATCTTGTCCAAGTGAGTGTTTCTCTTCTATGTCCCTTCATTACAGAAGCAAAGCCAAGTGACTAGAATTAAATGTTATTCCTGAATGAACTATAATTGATAAGATACCTGTTTGGGAACCGTGGAGGTTTGCAATACTTCTAGAAAGTGCTAACTTTGCCTATAAACACTTCTTTACCATAGAAACATCCAAAGCTTCTGGTCTCTTTTATGCAGTGGTTTTAAAACAAGCACATACATGCACATGCACAGTAAATGGAAGTGGGGGTAAGAGTAAGAGCCAGTTCATTCCAGAACTTAATTCTGAGACCTATTATTTTCATTGAAATGAAAACTATATAGCAGTGTATCTGTGTTTTATTGACCAATGTCTCAAGATTTTCTAGCAAAAGTATTGCTTAGGAGACCTTTCTGTAAGGATTACTGCTCCTTAGAAATAACCCTTTACACACATGAAGCTGAAATAAACACATCTGATAACGAACTTACAAGTGTACAGTCCATGTACTAACAGCATCAGAACACCTGGGAGGGTGTCAGTGACACAGAAATTCAGGTCCCCTTCCGAGCTTCAATTAAAATCTTCATTTTAACAATACCCTAGGTAATTAATTTACATATTAAATTTTAAAACACTTCTTTAAAAGACTGCCAAAAGAAAATGCTATTTAAAAAGTAAACTTTTCTTTGTAGGATAGTGATAGATTTACAGGAAAGTTACAGAAATATAGAGATCTAGTAAACCCTTGTACTTAGTTTCCCCCATTGTTAAAGCTAATCATGTGATACATTTATCATAAGTACTAAGGGAATATTGATACAACATTTTTAGTTGAAAAATCCATGTTTTATTAGCATTGCCTTAGTTTTTACCTAATGTCCTTTTTTTCTCCCAGTATGCCTTGTAACGGTCAGTTTCTTAGACCTTTTTCTTTTGGATGAACTTAACAGTTTGTGGGACCCTATTGTGGGGTTTTGTAGTATATCCCTCCATTTTGGCTTTCTGGAGAGTGCCTTCATGGTATGTAACTTGTGAATCTATTGTACATGGGACTCTGTTGTACTTTACAAGAACAAGGATTTTGGAATTAGGCCTCCTAAGACTGAATCCCTCTTCTACTACTTAAGAACTACATATATGACATTGGGCACATTATCTAATTTCTTAGAATCTCAATTTTTAAAAAGTTTCAATGACATGAGCTACTTCATTGGTTAAGAGAGACAAGGTCATTCATGTATAGATGCTCTACCGAGGAAAAGGACCCCCAAAAAGAATGAGACGTCTCTTTGCAAAAAGAAGCACTTTATTTAAGCTGGTACCCAGCGGCACAGAGTACAGATGGGCTCTGCAAGCTGCTTCGCGGGGAGGAGAAGCAGCACGGAGCTTATAAAGTGAGAAACCACAAAGGGGAGGCATTCAATACCCAGATCTTGTCTTTGCAGAGTGCTAGGTACTTTTGGTGGTTATAATTCTCAGACCCAATGCTTTTCACAAGAACATCAAGTTAACAAGTTGGCTCTTGTGGTTTTTGCATTGTCTGTGAACTGTAGCAGAGGATTTTTATTTTTTTTTAATTTATTTATTTATTTTTGGTTGAGGAGCAAGGAAGGCCTTTATTAGAGAACAAGTTGCAAACATGGACACCAAGACCCAGCACCCACAGTCTGGACTGCCATGGGAGAATTTTTAAATTATGTTACATTCTGAAGGGAATATAATAGTTAGATAGCAGAGGATTTTTAGCAGGGGGGTTTTGAGGGTACAATGGGTGACTGGAGGGTGAGGGGAAACGGCGCATACAGAACAGGATGGCGGTGCTTTTGTCAGGTTACAACAATAGACACTTAAAAATCATGGCCAGCGTTAAGCCACCCATGAGTAATAGCTGCTGTTAGTGTTACTCTTGTAATCAGTGTTGTTAAAATAAGGAATAGGGAAAAAAATAGGTTCGTTTCTTAAGGAACCCATGGTTCAGTATAAAAGGCAGGTTAAAGTCAGTGTCTTGGTTACTTTTCTCTCGTTGCTGGGACAAAATACCCAATGCCCAAAATGAAGGAAGGAAAGGTTTATTTAGCTTACAGTTTGTGGAGGTTTCAGTCCATACTTGGCTGGCTCCGAGGCAGAAGGTAGCAAAGCAACAAGAGCAAAGGGGGGAATGGCAGCCGAACAGCAAAGCAGCCAGAGCAAACCGGAGGAATGGCGGCAAGCAGCTTCTTTTTCTGCCTTACTTTGTAAACAGGCTACCCCCACCTAAGGGGCATGTAGCTCTCACATAATCTTTGCCCTTCTCTTCCACAGGCTCAGGATGTATACAAAGTAAGCACCCTGGCTTCCTGCTGAGTTACTTAGCCAAACCTCTAGACTCCCCAAGTTGACACAATATATCAAGCATAACAGTCAGTATTCTTGTTCCACTGAGACAGTTTTGGAGGTGGATGAAACTTTATGTCTTGAAGGCAAGAAATCAGACATTCTTGGAATGTTAGAAATGCATAGAAAATTAATTCAGCACAGGAGCTTTGGGTCTCAGTGATATGTGGATGATACAGTTGGAGGAAGCTTTGTTGAGTGTACTGTTTACAAATATGAAAGCTGGAGTGCTGGAGATGCTTGGGAAATTAGTGCACTGTGGAAGGTTGAGTGGAAAATGTGTGGATGAGGCAGTTGAAGGAAACTAGTTTTTCAGCCTTGGTTTTGGCCCTGTGGAGACCATACCATAAAGTATGATAAACTATTGCATGAGCTCATCCCCAGTTGTTCCAAATATGAAATCAGTGCAAATAATAGGCCATAAATAGGTTTTGAAGAAAGGAAAATAAGATAGATCTAAGATTAAGTAAAGGAAATACATAAAGTAGATAATTCAGTACCTAACTCAAGATCCTCCTTCAGACACAGAATAGATTACAAACGTTGTATATTTTCCTGGATGAGTCATAAAGCAAGAATTCCTGGATCCTTTGAAGCATTCATGGAACCAGTTAGAACCTACTTTAAAAGAAGTATTAAGTTTTCATTTCTATTTGAAAAATTTTGCTTGTTGATATGATGATAAATTTTGTTTCTCATACCAAACTTAATTTTTTTATTGGTCCCAGAACTATACACTGGTAGATTTGTTTTCTGAACCACATTGTAACTGTCTGTTCTATGTACTTCTTGTAGCTTTCCCCCAAATGATTGCAAATTGAATCAATCTCTGAAATCTGGATTCTGGATTCTACTCCAATTCTGCTTGTTGGGCTGTTTTGTCCTACAGTAATAGTTGAGCTGCCTGGTATCAGTGCCGATCCATGGTTGCATGGTGACTGATTTCCCTAATGATGACAAGAGAAGTTGCATGTCCATGAAGTACAGCTTTCATTTACATGGCCTTTGAAGTATTCTACTTTTAAAATGGCATCATGTCATCAGTAAATTTCTCGGGCTACTCAAGTGTTTATCTGTCTTAGCCTTGTGGAAATTTTGGGTTGGAATGCTCTTTCCATTGGGGTGCTGTCTACTGCATTGCAAGATAATCCATGGCCTTTTAGCAATGAATAGCCAGTAGCACCCCTTCCACAGTTACATAACAACCAAAAGTTCCCCCGGGGGCAAGTTAAGAAACACTGAGCAAACCTAAAATACACAAGCCAATGCAGATAATCTATGAGTAGTGCATATATGAATTTTCTCTGGAATCAGGAAGACCTAAATTCAAATCCTAACTCTATCTCCAGTCAACTGTTTAACTATAATTGAAGTACTTTATCTCTCTGGGCCTTAATTTCCTTAATTACAGGGAGATACAAAAATAGTTCCTATTTGACGATATTATTTTGAATATGAAAGAAAATATATACATGTATATACAGACGTGGGTACACAGGACCTAAACAGATGCTTGTTAAAAGAAAAATCTCAATAAATGTTACATCCTTACGCCACAACATTCCTGTCATGCTAGAGATATTTAATTCACATATATATTCGTTCTTTTAATGAATATATTTTTAAACTACAAAACACAGAGTCATTAAAACCGGACAGAAGATTGGTTTCCCTAATGATTTCCCTATGTAAAAGTTAGGGAGATTGGCCATCTATTGAAATTGGCCATTCCCACATGACTATCCTTAGAAACAGCAGAGCATTAGGACTCAGAGAAAAACTTGGGAGGAAGAGGGAAAGAGTTCTCTTTAAACCTTTAAACTGTTCTCTTAATTTTAAGATGACTACTACTTGTTTATTCTACAAGTATGTGTTAAGTACCTATCAGCTACTGCTTTGGACTCTGAGATTATCTTATTAATGAAAAAATCTGCCCTTTTGAAGTCGATATTCTTGGATGATTATATATATTCCGTATATGGATGTAGTGTGGAGATGCTGGTGAGTACTGGAGAGGTCTGACCTGGGAAGCCGTCGCTGACGGGTACATGAGAGACTTGAAGGAGGAGAGGGCGCCAGCGAGCCATACCGACATCTGCTGAAAGAACGTTGCAGACTTCCACGTGGTTTCAAGTGGAACCACACAAGTCTGGTTCCAGTGAGAAGTCAGAAGGTGTAGGTTCAGAGGGCGTGTGCACAATGAGATCACCAAGGAGAGTTTGCAGGTGGAGAAGAGAAGGAGCTCCATAGTCTCCAACATTGGGGCTTAGGAGAAGGATATCAGATAAATTAAGCAGCAATAACCATTGAAGAAGGAGGGGGAAATAGGTGAATGTGGTGTTAGAGAATGAAAAAGGGATATTTGAAAAAGGAAAGGATGGTAAACTGTGTTGGATAATATTAAGAGCTCAAATGAAGTGAGAACAGACCTGTATGTTCACGAGACTTGGCAGTGTGGAACTTACGGGTGACCACTACGAAAGTAGTGTCAGTGGGGAGCTGGGGACAGAAAGTCCTGAAACTGGTTGAGGAAGGACCGGTGTGAGTATCAGGGGAGTAGTTGCAAAGATGTAGCACTTGAGGAATCCAGAAGGTGGGATTCAGATCACAGCAGAAGGTTTGACATTTGAAACCAAGACAGTCTTTTTCCATAGTAGCAGGAAGAAAGTCAGAGTGTAGATACAGATGCAGAGAAAGTGTTAGACTTGATGAACAAAAAAGAATACAGTTTCTATTTGATTGTTTCTATTTAAGACACATGCTAGGTTTATTAACTAAGGAGGTGCATGGGGGATTTGAAGGCCAGGTTTGAAGGCAAGGGAGGATATGCCGTAGCTGTAGAAGTAGCCACCTTATAAGTTCTCAGGCAAATTCACCTTATCAGTTCTCCGATGTGACCCAGTGTGGTTTTTATCCCTCAGCCAAGAGACTGGAGTCTTATCAGGAAGCTGTGTCGGAAGACGAAGACTGTACAGATACTCTCAGTGGCTCCCTCAGCAACGTGGCAAAACCAAGAGCCCCCTGCTGCAGGACAGTCGTTAGCAGGCCCCTGGGGAGCAAGTCCTCAGATCATCTCTCTGGGAGCATGTCTGCTGCAGGAAATGGAGAAAGAGCCGCTGAAGTGCTTCATTCCAGACAAGCTGCTTTCAGCAGCCCCATTGTAAGTGTTTGCATGACTAGCCTCTTGCATGTCCACAAGAATGAGGAAACAACAGCCTCAAATGGAACCAAATTCTGTTTTCTTTTCTACTGGAAAAGAGACTGTGATATATAACAAATGTGACGCATGATCGCAACACATAATGCGTGTAAACAGACCATATCACCTTCTAATTTTTGAAATAATTCATTGTTGAGAAGTCACGTATCATTTCTGAAAACTATTTCTGGTCAGGTCTGACCATGTCTGAGCTTGAAAAAGGCTACTTAGGTTTAATGATCATAACTCTCTCAGGACCAACAAAGCTTACCAGATTTATCTCATAGCCAGATAAGTATGTGTAACTGATAGATGAACGCATAGGCCTTTCAAAGATTTCTTCATCCCTTTGTAATTGTCTTTCATATGCCACCAAACCTGTGACCTCTTCCCCATTCCTAGTCCCCTAAAGGGCACTTTCTGAATAGTTCATTTCACAGCTCAGAAAAATGTGTTTTTGAGTCCCAGTAGGAGTGTTACACATTAACAAACCCTACTTACTGCATAAAAATATAGAGTGTAGAACATGGGAAATAGAGGAGAGATGTCCATGTAAAAGAATTGGAAATCAAAATTTTACAGTACTTAAAATTACTTCTATGAAATTTCCACTTCATTCTCTGCCTTTCTTGTCATATTTGTGCTTGTACTTTACTAAGATGGAGATTCTCCATTCATTGTACAAGCTATAATTCCACAAGATGTGACATAACAAGAGTGACTCAGCTTTGGGGAACCCTCGCATTGCCATAGAAAGTCATGTATGATTTTCATAGTACTGTAGATATGTAATGAGAGTACGCTCCAGGGTTCTCACATGGCCTGAGACAGCCAGAGAGAAATCTACCAGCTCTTTGCAAACTTGCCAAAAAATATGTGGTCACACATAGCAGCTAGAGTGACTCTCTCAGTCCAACTCATTTCTGTGGCACAAGGGCAGTGATGGCAAACCAATGGCATGCATGTGGCAGTGGGCTCTTCATAACACTGGAAGCTCTGGAAGGCTCACCATCACTGCACTAGGATATAATGTCCATTACATTGTATCTGTGCCATATGGTAAGCTGTTTTAGACATCTAGACTTCATTTCACTCCAACTTTTAAAAAGAAATGAAGGAATACACATAGCGCTCTCTGTACAGTCACTTTAAGTCTGTATTAGAAATACACTATGTATGGATATATATTTCTTCTATGTTGTTTTTTCTATGTATCTTTCTACTGAACTTTTGCATAGTCCACCCACCTGAAAACAAGCCCCTGTTGAGTCCTGTTTAGTGGGAAGTAATACAGTGTTGCCCAGCAAGCAAGCCTGTGCCATGCCCTCCTCAATGACTGCTGATTAAGCCTCATGCTCTTACTGGAACCAACAAGCACTTCTTAAAGCCCCTTTATGTATCCCATTTTCCTTGTAGGAAATATATTCTCTCTATCCCACTCTGCTACACAAAACTGATGAAGCATTTATTTCTTTAAGAACTGTTTTTAGTATCAATTTTTCTGAATGTTCTCAGATTTTCTTTCCTCGGCTTCCAAGCTCTGCTTGCGCATTCTCTCTGTCCCTTGGTCTATATTGTGATGGCTAATTTCTGCATCTGACACAGCTACTAGCTCCCTAAGAGCAGTCATCTTGAAGGCGCAACATTTTGGAACAGTGTCTGGCACATTCTCAAAGTACTTTTGAAGGCTGTTGCATGAAGCTGCTCCATTTTGTTTTTACTTCCCCTATATTCTACAGTGTCATTCTATTGTGTCACTGTCTTGTTGTGGTTGTTCTAGTTTAGTTTCATGTTTTGAAAAATTACGATCCTATATATAGGATTCCACAAAACATAAACTCATCTTTCATTCTTAGTCTGAGATGGCTGTATAATCTTTGGCTTAAAACATGAACAACTGTAGAAATTTTTCGTATGATTCTAAAAGCCCATCCATGAATCCCTGGTGATGGACACTGTTTGAGAACATAAAGCAAACTAAGATACCTAAAAGTAAAATGTAGAAGTAGGAGATGGTGTTAGAGCTGCCTGTTCAACTTTATCTCCTTTCTATAGTATCTTTGTCCGTCATTTGTTTGCTTATTTGTTTTTTGTTTTTGTTCCAGTACCAGTAATCAAACTCATGACCTTGCGGTTGCCAGGCAGGCACTATGCCGCTGAGCTAAATCCCCAGCCCCCTAAATCCCCAGCCCCCTCCATCACTAAACTATAGATATTTTGAGATCTCTATAAACAATTAGAGTGAGTTCTTGTCACCTTCAGTTTGAAAAAAATTATTTAAGGTATTTTAATGCCATCTAAAAGCTTCAGCAAATAATGTAGGAAAGCCAAGAAAGTCCTGGCCAATTTTACTTCTTTAATTTGGATTTAAATAGGGGAGGGGAAAAAGGAAGGAAGAAAGATTGATAGGAGGGTAAATCTCATATTTGAAATGGTCAGATGTCATCATAGATTAGGAAAAAGATGTATGTCTCCCAAATAAGGCTTTGTTTACATTGTGAGAAGCTATCCATGTTGGAATCACTATTCTGTGCTTAAATTAGGAGTTTAAGTTTTCTTAGAATTTTAATAAAATGTCTATTTTAAGCCTTCTAGAGAGTAACATCCTTTCAGTCAATTTCTGTACCCTTTTCCTTGTTGAATATAAGATCAACAAGTATGTACAACTATAACCTTCAATTTTTATCCTTATGCCAGGTCTGAGATAGGGATCCAAAATCAGTAAGATACGGTCCTCACTTTAAAGGAACTTCCAGGCTCTCTGGGGTAAGGAGACAAGTGTGTAGTTATTTAAAGCAAAATAGTGTGGGCCTGGTTCTCAACTTAATGGGCCTTTCCTGATGGCAGAAGCTGTGCATCACAGGAAAAAAGTAACTGTTGCTTTTATTATACAAGTACTCATTGCAGATTTGGATCATAAGAGAATATCTACGGACAGTCATATTGAAAAAATTGAACGTGATGTCTGTTACCTCTTCAATTCAGCCACTATGTTAGTCACAAGAGATCATTGCATAAAAACCAACTGAAGTGGAGGAATGCTCCCTACCTATAGCTTTACTTTGATACTAACCATTCCTTAAATGTTTTTTCTGAGTTCTTTTATTTATATGGTTTTTTCGTGTTTTCAGGGTCTTCCATGGTCCTGAGTTTCTAGATTGTTCTCACTTTAGTTGGACAGTTCTTATCCACACAGTTTTGCTGACCAGCATAAAATACATGCACGTGGGGGCACACTTACACACACACACACACACAAACACACACAGTTTGGCCAGCCTTGGTGCTATTTTTCTTCTCCCTGTTCTCATGATTATGGGAATAGGTTTCAGTCATACAATCATCTGCTTGGGGTACTTAGGGAGAAGTTTAAGAATGCTTTGTGACAGCTGATGGTATGGACTTTTTAATTCCGTGTGAGCTGACAACCTGTATAAAATGAGTACATGTCCTTTAAGAGGGAAAGAAGGAAAAGGGAAATTAGATTACTTGGGTTCTGCTGCACTGAGATCATCTCATTTATCTTGGACAGTCACCCTGGGAAGTATGTGTTATTTTTACCATTATATGGAAGACAGTGCTCAAAAAGTTAAGTAAGCTGCTTGAGGATACCAGTTAGGATGTAAGACCCGAACTAAGGAGCTAAGACTTGAACCTAAACCCATGAGAATGTTAGCTACACGCTCTTTTCTTATGACACCTCAACTGTCACTGAACTCCCAAGCATAAACCTAAGCCAGGGCCTTCTGAGTCCAAGATCACACATCTCTGTATTTTATTCTTTTCTCTAAATCACTTCTCTTGGTTTCCTGCAGTCAGTGTGATTTATTGTTCAGCATCCCAACTCTTCTAAAATAGATCAGTGATTTTGTAAAACCTGGAGTATGACAGATAGTCCCTCTTTCGGCTTTGTTTACACATTTGTAAAGCAACTGATTATATGTAGCAGGATTCTAATCTGATTTTTTTTATTTTAAAGAGAAAAAAACAATAAAAAAAAACAACAAAGACCAAAAGAAAACAACACAAAAACAACAAAAAAAAATGATACAGAGTTTCAAAACAAAATCATAGGAAATTAACAATTGTTTGTGTATTACATATTGTCATCTTCAGGGAAGTTGCTCAGATTACCGCATGTAAGGAAGGATGCAAGGTTTACCAAACAGGGGCTGAGGATTTAGCTCAACGGCACAGCGCCTGCCTGGCAAGCGCAAGGTCATGAGCTCGATTCCCAGTACCAGAAAAAAGCCAAAAAAAAAAAAAAAAAAGAAGAAGATTTACCAAACAATTAAAGAAAATAAAAATAATAGAAAAACATTAGAAATGATACAGAGCTTCACAGGAAATTCAGCAATGGTTGTTATATTGCACATTGTTGTCTTCAAATTAGTTGTTCAGATTACCAGATAATAAGCTTGCAAAATTGATCAAAAAAATTTAAGCATTACCTGTTCCTTTCAATAAACCAATAGACATCAGCAGTACAATTATCCCAGTTATCCTTGTACACACATATAGTTTTTATTCCCTTCTTTCTTTCGTTCTTTTCTCCTTTCCCTCATCCCAGTTGTTCTTTCCCTTTGAGCAATTTCTTTCCCTTTCTCAATATCTATTGTACCTTTCGGGTTTTATTTACCCTTTCAGGTTCTTAAACTAGGGAGACAATATGATGTTTACACATGTGGGTCTGATTTATTTCACTTATGAATATGTACTCTAGCTGCATACATTTACCTATAAAAGCCTCAAGTTTCTTTTTTTATAGCTGAGTAATACTCCAGTAATATATAAAAATATGACATTTTTTTTCCATTCCTTAGTTGATGGGCATTTGAGTTGTTTCCAAGGTTTAGCTATGACAAATTGTGCAACTATAAACATGAGTTCACATATATTTCTGTGGTATGATGTTTTCAATTTTTCTGGAAAAATACCCAGAAAAGGATTAGCTAAATTAAGTGGTACCTCTAATCCTAGTTTTGTGAGGAATCTCCACACTGATTTCCACAGTGGGTTCACCACTCTGCACTCCCACCAGCAGTGGAGAAGGATTGCTTTTTCCCCTGCAGCTCTTCCAACATTCATTGGTTGATTTCTTGATGATAGCCGTGCTTTCTGGGGTGAGATAGAATCTCAGTGTTGTTTTAATTTACATTTCTCCAATGACCAATGATGTTAAATATTTTTTCATATATTTATTTGCCATTAGTATTTCTTCATCTGAGAAGTGTATATTCATCTTACGTGCCCATTTTTAGTTTGGGTCTTTGAATTTGGGGGGCTTGGTATTTTTTAATGCTCTATATGCTCAAGATAGCAGTCCATTATCTGATGGACAGTTGCCTAAAATTTTTTCCCAATTTGTAGGCTTTCTTTTTACACTTTTGGTGATTTCTGTAGTTGTGCAAAAACTTTTCAGTAAGATGTGATCCCAGTTGATTCTTTGAAGTATTTCCTGTGCAGTTTGGTTTTTGTTCGTGAACTCTGCCTACCCCTGTTTTCAAAATTTCTATCTACTTTCTCTTCCAGTAGATTTAGCATTTCTGTTTGAATATTTAGATCTTTGATCCATTGTGACTTTATTTTAGTGCATGGTGATTGACATGGGTCTAATTTTAGTGTTCAGGATGTGGAAACCCAGTTTTTCCAGCACCATTTATTAAAGAGGCTATCTTTCTTCCAGTGAACATGTTTGGCCCTTTTGTCAGGGATAAGGTGGCTGAGTGTGTTTACAGGTGTGTCTGCATCTTCTAATCTGGTCCACTGATGAATATCAGGTCTGTTTTTTGCCAATACCTTGTTGATTTTATCACAGTAGTTTTGTAGTGTAATTTCAAGTCAGAGATTGTGATGCCTCCTGCCTTTCCTTTGTTTCCCAGGATTGCTTGTGCTATTCTAGGCCTCTTCTGGTTCCAGATGAATTTTAGGAATGTTTTATACTAATGGTATTTTAATTGGGACTGCATTGAATTTGTACAACAATTTTGGGAGTATGGCCATTTTCACAATGTTGGTTCGTCTTATCCATGAGCAAGAAATATCTTTCCATTTTGTGAGATCCTCTTTGATCTCTTTTTTAAAGTACTGTAATTTTCACTGTATAGATCTTTTACTTCCTTTGTTAGATTGATTCTTAAGTATTTCATTTTTTTGTATGCTATTGTCAAAGGTGTGGTTTCTCTAATTTCTTTCTCAGTGTGTTTGTTGTTTGTGTATAGGAATCCTATTGATTTTTGAGTGTTGACTTTGTATCCAGCTATGCTACTGAATTTGACTATTAAATCTACAAGTATTTTGGTTGATTTTTGGGGTCTTCTCTGTAGAATATCATGTCATCTATGAATAATGATTTCACTTCTTCCTTTCATATCCTTACTCCTTTTATTTCTCATTCTTGTTTAATTGCTCTGGCTAATGTTTCCAGCACTATATTGAGTAGAAATGGTGATAGTGGACATTCTTGTCTTGTTCCTGCTTTTAAAGTGAAAGCTTTCAGTTTTTGTCCATTTAGTATGATGTTGGCTCTTGGTTTGTCATAGATGGCTTTTATCAGAGTGAGATAAAGACTATCTATTCATATTTTCTGTAGGATTTTTATCATGAATGAGTGTTGGATTTTATCAAAAGCTTTTTTTGCATCTATTGAGATGATCATGTGTTTTTTGTCTTTGGCTCCATTCATACAGTTATTAAATAAATTGATTTGTGTATATTGAACCATCCCTGCATTCTTGGGATGAATCTCACTTGGTCATGGTGTATAATCTTATTGATAATTTGCTGCATTCTGTTTGTTAGTATTTTATTGAGAATGTTTGCATCTATGTTCATTAGGGAGATTGGCCTATAGTTCTCTTTTTTGATTGGGTCTTTTTCTGATTTTGGTATCAGAGTAGTACTTGCTTCAGGAATGAGTTGGGGAGAATTACTTCCCTTTTAATTTCATTAAAGAGTTTAGGAAAGACTGGTGTTAGACCTTTCCTAAACTTCTTGTAGAATTCAGCTGTGAATCCATCAGGACCTCGGGTTTTCTTTGTTGGTAAGTTTTTTTATTACATTTTCAATTTCATTGGCTGATACTAAGTTCTTTGGAATTTTTTTGTGTGTCAATTCCTGCTGTTTCATTGACACCTATGAGTCTTATATTGTTTTTCTTTGCATCATTTTGCTGCTGTTGAATTGTTATTTCCTGGTTCCTTGTTATTTTTCACAGATCTTCCCTTCTGTGATCATTAGCTGCAGTGCTATCTTCAATGCCTGAAAATCTGTCTTCAGTTTCATTCAAGTGTTTTTTTCTAGCTTCTGTGGAATTTTTAATTTCCTGGATATCTCTTTGAATCTGTATCATGCATTCTAAGTCTTTCCTATGTTGTTCATTCAAGATTTCTATCATTTTTGTATGTCCCTCTATTTTTTTAAATCTGTGTTTTTTAGATGTGCTAAGCAATTCTCATTGTTGTCATTTCTTTTTTTACCTGAGAGACTGTTTCTGATCTGATTTTTTTTCTATAGCCTGATGGAGTTTCTTTACTTCAGTTGCTATCATTTCACCAATTTCAGCTGTGTGGCTTCCAAGCTCTTCTATATCAGTATCTCCTGGACTTGTTCTGGGTGGGGTAGAGGTCTGAGATTGCAATTGCTCCTTCATTTTGTCATTTTCAAAGATCCTGAGGTTCCCTGGGTCTCGGCATCACTCCTGCATTGATGTACTGTGGGGTGCAGCATTGCTGCTCTCTGGGGAAGCTCACCAAAACCCCCAAGGTCTCCTGGGGTTCAGTGTTGCTCCCACTACAGTGGAGGGGGACACAGCTCTCAGAGGCTCTCAAGGCTCCTGAAGCTCCCTAGGGCTCAGCGTGGCTCCCACAATGGTCTCTAATCAGATTCCTACTATGACATTGTTTTGTTAAAACTAGTATTCTCAAATTAGTGTAAGAAACACTGCATTAAGCAAAAGGGAATACTTCTTTTTCATAACAGAAGTTCTTAGTGCAAATCATTACTAAGCACCTTTAAGGGGAGGGCATAATGTGATCAGAGAACTCTTGGAAAACTGTTTGTTAATCCTTATGATGAATGTGATCATTATGTATGCCTAAATTGCACGAGTAAACTTAATTAAAACTGTTCGTTAATGCCTTATGAGATATTACTATAAAATGCAGTTTAAATACATTTGCCTACTTGTAATTATTTATATTTTAGTGAGTTAGTTTTTACAACAGCAGTATATTCAAAAGTAATATGATTCAAGTAAAAACTTCACTTAAAAAGAATTGGTACTTTTCTATTATTACTGAGTGAATCTATGACCAACGTAGAATTCTAAGCATGATAAAGTATATGTCTGGCACTGCATATTTTTAAATAAGAAATATGCACTCAACTAGATTTTGTTATAGGTTACCTCCTAGTTAGCTTAAGAGTCAAGAAAACCTCTGCTTATAATTATAGTCTGGGTTTTCTATTTATTTTTATATCTTATATTTTCCTGTTGTCATTTCCTATTATATTATATGCAGTAAGCTTGTTTTGGTTGCTTCATTTAGATTTTGATTATAAAAATTACTTCTCATGATGATAACAGTAACAACACTTTGTCTCATTGAATCTTTAGGAAACAGATGTGGTACCAGATACGAGGCTTTTGAATAAATTTAGTCAGATTACACTGCATCTCTTTACCCCACTAGACGGGACCATCCAAAGGCCGCCACTGGAGACTTTGTACATCATGGACTTCTTTATTGCTCTGGCGATTTGCAATACAGTAGTAGTTTCTGCTCCTAATCAACCAAGACAAAAGGTAAAGTCTCTAAAGCAAACAAGGGTCAGCAGAGCAGTAGAGAATGTTGGGTTGCCATGAATGTATACTGGCCTTGTTATGTTACAATAACAAATAGTAGTGGCAACTAACAATAGCAGGTGTTTAACATGTATCAGAACTTATTATTTGTCCTGCACTTACCATGTTCTAAATGATTTAGTGATATCAATTTGTTTAATTCTCCCAATGATTCTGAGAGTTAGGTACTTAATATACTGTTCCCCGTGTTACAGATAAGTTTAATTTTCTTAGGGTCACAACACTAGTTTTTAGAGGAGGTGAAATTTGAACCTAGGAAGCATGGCTTGGTGTTATAACATGATTTGCCAATGAGAACATTTATTTTGCTTTTTGTTCCTTACCAATTGAAGTTCCTGAGACCTCCAGCATATATTCACAACATCAAATAAAATATAAAGTACATTGGATTCACTGTCATATTTGATGATAAAGTACCTTTTTCATGTTCCAGTTGGGTTTGTTTAATTCAATCTGAAATCCACTATAATATACATAAAATTTTCAGATCTTATAAAATGTAGTTTGTGTCTTAGAATTCATGGAGAATTCATTACCTGTTAAGAAAATAACTTAGTTTAGAGGCTGGTGATTCACCACTTGGCTGTGCTAGCTTTTTTGTGCATAACTCTATCCTTTTCCACATATCCCCTTAAAATTCAATTTGCCTCACAACTCAATTAAATTTTAATTTTCCATCAGATCATTTTCTTTTGGCAACTTCAGAGGTGGTCAACTTTAATATAAAAGTAATTTCCTTGTAATTAAGATCCATTTGATCTGAAACTGTATTTTTACAAGGTTTTGCCTTGAAAGTTGCTCTTTGAAAAATGATTATATAGTCAGAGGATAAATCACTGGATGTTTTTTGTTTCCTATAACACTTTTTTCTCTCATACATCTGTTTCTAAGTTGGCATCTGCATAAGAAATATTGTTTCCCTCATTCCCAAGTAATATGATATTCCACTGTCAGAAAGAAAATCTCTATGACACATGTGGGAACTAAAGCTTCACAGTATTTCAAAATAATGGCAGAAAAGCAGTTTATATGGGCTAATCAGAATTAATTTGCTGCAAGAGCAAGGTCATGAGTTCGATTCCTGGTACTGGAAAAAAAACCCAAAAAACAAACAAACAAAAAAGAATTAATATGCAATATAAAAATCTCATGTATGATTAAGTTTTTTTTCTTTTTATTCTGAGTTGCCAAAAACTTCAAAAATTGACACATATGAGACCCTCAAACTAGCATAAGTTTACTAATTTTTAAGAGGAAACTTTTCAATTCCTCAGGCATTTTTGAATGAGAAAAGTTTATAATCCAAATAATTGATTGCCCATGATTAGTATTAAATTCTAAGTTTAATCACTGATAAAAAAGATCTAGGCCAGACATGGAGATTCATGGCTATAATCCAAGCACTCTGGGAAGCTTTAGACAAGAGGATTACAATGTGAGTCCAGCCTGGGTAATTTTGTAATTTAGCAAGATCTTGTCTTAAAAAAGAAAAGGGCAAGGGTCTGGGATGGTAGCTCAGTGCAAAGACCATGATTTTGATCCCCAAGTTTCCCACCAACACACACACACACACACACACACACACATGCACACACGCACACATGAGTGTCTAAAACCAGGGTATAAATAGGAAAAATGTCTACAAAAATAGAAAATCTAAATCATATTATGATACTAATGATACTGGTAACTATTTTTCCTTTAACTACTTTTCTTACTGGCCTTTTTCTTTTAAGTAAAAATATCTTTTCTAGAATCTGGAAAGTAAAAGTAAAAACATATTTTGTTAAGCTTTTGATTTTTTATTTTTTTTCTTCCAGTGTTTTTACTATGGTTATTGTTGCATATTTGGTCATGTATTTTTCATATTGTTTATTTAGCTTTTCCAGTATTACTCCCTGTCTTTACAAACTTTTAAATATTGTATATTTTAAGATATTTGTATTTTGTTATTGTTGAATACTTAATTTGCTCATAATTTTAAAATTATGATACAATAATAGGATGCACACAGTAAAGATCATTGATTTTATCTTGAATCTTGAATTATTTGTATAAGAAAAATTGTTATGAGTGTGTTCATGTTAGCATTTTATATTTCTTGCTATCAGTTATCAAAGTCCTTCCCAAATGAATGTAGGGATTTATAATGTAATAATTTATAATATAATAATAATACTTACATCACTTTCAGCATATCCTTTCCCATAAAGGCTTTTATTTTTATTCATATTTTCTGTGGCAGTTGTAAAAAGGGAGTAGGCTGCTAACCATTTAAGGGAGTGGTAACATATCTTAGCTTTTTTCCATTTGGACTTCAAAGTTGTTACAAGTTGGCTTGAGCTTTATTATTATTTTCTAAATTATCTTTTATAGATCAGGGTCTCTTCACTAAGTGGAACACCCATTAAGTCCTTGGAGGAAATTAAAAACCTCTTCCAAAGATTGTCTGCCCGAAGATCAAGTTCCCCATCCCTTGCCAGTGGGAAGGAATTGCCACCAGGGATCCCCAGTGCCTCTGTGAGCAGACTCTCTCTCTTCAGTCGGATGAAGCTGACTTCACCTATGGAGGAAGAGGTCTCAGTGATGAAGGAGAGCCCGCAGGGCTGTAGTAACTCAGCTTCCTGTACAGGAATGGAGAAACCAAACAGTGATGCAGCGTTCACAGATGGCAAGGTAGAATCCCTCCCCAGAATGCCCTTGGCCTCCAACGTCTGTTATGAAGCCGAGAGCCCAGATGAAGCAGCTTTGGTATACGCTGCCAGAGCTTACCAATGCACTTTACAGTCTCGGACACCGGAGCAGGTTGTGGTGGACTTTGCTGCCTTGGGACCATTAACATTTCAACTCTTACACATCCTGCCATTTGACTCAGTGAGGAAAAGAATGTCCGTTGTTGTCCGGCACCCTCTTTCCAATGAAGTTGTGGTGTATACCAAGGGTGCCGATTCTGCAATCATGGAGTTACTCTCGGTGGCTTCCCCAGGTAGGTTCAAACAGAGCTGAGATGGTAGTGATATACAAGGGCTCAGAGGTAGAAAGGCCACTACCAATGGTTGTATAAACACAAAGAAGCAGATATATGGAAGTCATTCATACTTGATAAAGTAGAGAAAAGATGCCTAAGATTTGGTGGGAAAGCAGACTGTGTTCAAATCTGGACTCCATCATTAGCTGTGTCTTGATAGTTCCCTTCTTACTCTCTGCCTGAGTCCTCAGTACAATGGGAACTCTAGGACCTCCTTGTCCTGAGAGGCTAAAGACATTCTGTATGCACTTACCATTTGTTAGCCACCTTTGGCCAGGTGTCTGACAAATGGAAAGTGCTCAGTGGGAGACAGCCGTCATTATCACAGTCCCGATACTATTGCATTGATGGTGTAGGAAGAGTGTTTGTGTCACGTGCTTGGTACTTTGCCCAAGGAGAAAGAATTAAGGGGGAAATTTTATTCTGAGGGATTCCTTTTATGGATAGACATTTGAGATTCAAAACTAGAATGTTTTTTGTTTATTATGCATTAAACTATCATTGTTTTTAAAAATCTGACTGTAATTGGGAAGGCTGCTAGGAAAATCATGTTTTGCTCACTATTTCAGGTGGCACAAATCTGGAAAAACAGCAGATGATAATAAGGGAAAAAACGCAGAAACACTTGGATGACTATGCCAAGCGGGGATTACGTACTTTATGTGTAGCAAAGAAGGTGAGGCTGCTTAGTACACCTTATCTTTTTTGTTCCTTCCCTTGTTTAACCATTTAATGAAAACTACCATGTGTCAAACCCTAATCCAAGTATTGGAGAAAGTCTTTAAGCTACTGAGTCTCTTTCATAGCCTGTCCATCCCATGTATTAGTTGGTTGAATTTCATTCCCAGTGTTTTGCCAGGCATTATATTGTCTGAGTTCTCACGTGTCTCAATATATCTGCAAAAGCTTTATTATATAAACAATTGTTTATTCTGGGTCAACATACCTTGGCCCTGCTTTCTTGCCTTTGGGACTTTGTAAATATTATCCCCCCTATCTTATAGCATTAAATGTGCTTTGGAAAGAATGAGACCAGAGACCAGCCTTACCTTTTCTTTTCTAAGTTCTTGATAATTCTTTTTAGTGCCCATGAGTGTCTGAATCTAGGTAAATTTACTAGGTTTTTATGTCATTATTAGTTATTATCTATTAAGAATAATATTGGGAAATAATGTGCTCTTTCTGAATAAAAATTTAGCGAGAAAGAAGAGCACTAAGAAATTATTTGAGGGATATTATTGCTAGAAACTCTTTTTCTGCCCAAATCCTAGTCCTTGCATGCTATTTTGGGGAAACCAAGATCTTTTATAGATCCCAAGGAACTCACACAATCAATTGCATATGGGCCTCATAACTTACACACAATTGTAGGAACAAGAGAGTCCAAGACCACACCAACTCTTTGCTTTGTTAGTTCAATGATCCTGTCTGATTAAAAATGAAGAAGGAGAAGAACAGGAGGAGAAGAGGAGGAGGGCCTAATAGATGTCAGTCTCTCTTAAATTACTTTGTGGGCAAGAATGGGTAGAAAGAAATTACCTCACTCCGTCCACTCTCACCTGCTTTGTAAGAACGGAAAGGTAGAGTCATTCCTTACAACAACTACTGACAAAGGAAAATACATCATTGGTAATTCCACTAAAATTTTGTTGGGAATAAAGTGAAGCTTCCTTGCTTCACTCATATGGCATCTCATTTTTACCTTTACAAATGATCCTTCATGTATCCTAACCATTAAAAGACATCCAAGATGCTATTGGCCACAGAATCCGTCAAACTGAAAAGTACTATCCATACTTCCTCAACTGCACCATTAGACGCACTCTGGATTTAACTATCAAGTTCAGGCTTGCCCTGACTGCATCCTCCCTAGCTTTAAGTGTATTAAACAGTTTTCACTACCCGTAGTGTCTACACTTTCCCAGAGGTACTGAGCACTGGTGTTGCTCCCTCCTCAGTGCTGCAGTAGTCTCATCTCAGAGTGTGAGAAGTTTGTGACCGGAGTTTGTCGAGCTGGCAAGACTGTGGCCAGAGAAAAGAATCTCTGAGTCAAGTTAGTGACTTGATATCTGCCAGAGGTCAGTGATTGGCTTGTCTTCTCTTTCTTTTTTCTTTATGTTATAGGTCATGAGTGACACTGAATATGCAGAGTGGCTGAGAAATCATTTTTTGGCAGAAACCAGTATTGACAACAGGGAAGAATTACTAATTGAGTCTGCCATGAGACTGGAGAACAAACTAACATTACTTGGTAGGTAAGGTGTGCTTCATTGCCTGCAGAGAGAGTTTTGAAAAACATTAATTGTCTCTAAATATGTCATTCACAAGTGCCTTTTTTCCCAGTTTGAGCTAATAAATACATGTGGTTCTGCCTATCCTAGCTATTACAGTCTATACCCAGCTTCCAATCCATTCTATTTTGTTTTCCTCTGTCATGGACTAGACTTCATTTGTGGTGGGATTGGGGTGGTCATTCTTAAGAAAATCATATAAAGCATCAAACCTAACACAGAGCACACAGCCAAATAAGTATTATCCTGGTTTAGGAGAGCAAAGTCCAAGTTTCTTTCCAGGCATTGCACAATGTACTTAATATGCATTGTTTTTTAAATTCTCACAAATTTCCATCTTATTTAGAAGAAACGGCACAGAGCTCAATGACTTCCTTAAATTCACCTACTAGTAACTAACAGTAAATAACCAAACAAACTCGGGTCTACCTGGATCTAGGGTCCATGTTCTGCACCTTTAACTGGTCTAGTAAGAATTTATTTCTCTTCTCTAACTATCTGATTTCAACCCAAGTTCACAACTGACACCATTTAGGACTGGGCAAGCTGCATCCTGGAGTCATCTGAAGAACTTTAAACAATACCGATGCCTGCATCCCCCCCCAGCTATTCTGATTCACTGAGCCCTGGGCATTGGAGTTGTTAAAAGCTTCCTAAGTAATTCTGAGGGCAGTCAAGTTTGAGAACCACTGTTTTAAATATGGATACACGGATTCTAATAAAAGCACTGACATACTAAGAGACCAGCTTCTGAGCTCCATTTTCATATTTAGGAACAAAACAATGATCTCAGTTAGTATCTATCAAATAGAATAATGATGCCTCCTCCTGAGTAATTTCTCTATGACATTGTAAGTAGCACAGGTTCACTTTTCCTCATCAGCAGTTCCTAAAGCAAAAATGCTTCCTGAGTTTAATACCAGAACTCATTTGGCAGCAAAAGTCAGGCCTGATTTAATGTAGCACTATTTATAGTATTTGTTATCCTAATTAGCATAAAACTTCGCTAGTTTCATGTACAAATATTAGTGTGCTTAATTAACGGGTATCATACAGTATCATACAGGTACCATATTATGTTTTCAAAATATGAAGAACTTTTTAATTCCAAAATACACATGTCCCCAGTTGTTTCAGAAAAGCACTCTTATGAAGGAGCATTACAGATAGGCATTACATCTTGTTGGCAAGGGCATTCTTTAACGGCCTTTCCTTGTCCTTGGGAGTATCACAGAATTATAAAATTCATAGGACAAGTTTACACAAATAATTGAATCAGACATGTCATCTTACAGATGAGAAACCTAGACAAAAGAACAAGTAAGATTGATAAATCCATTGATCCCTGACACTTCCCCCACAAAACACTACTTCGTATATGATTTTTGTCTGGATCTTTACACCTTGTTTGGATTTCTGCAATCTATTGGAACCATCTGAGTAGCTGAGGATTGAACTGGCCAAGGATGGGAACCATTTATAGACAAGATGAGTTTCAGCTGGCTTTGGTTTTATAGGAATCTTGTTGCAATTGGGTTATTCTTTTAGGTGCTACTGGCATTGAAGACCGGCTGCAAGAGGGAGTTCCTGAGGCTATAGAAGCTCTTCACAAAGCTGGAATCAAGATCTGGATGCTGACAGGGGATAAGCAGGAGACAGCTGTCAACATAGCTTATGTATGCAAACTGCTAGAGCCAGATGACAAGCTCTTTATCCTTAATTCCCAAAGTAAAGTAAGTATGAGACCAAACCAACCCCTTTGTTTCTTCAAAGTTAATGACACATTTGGAATTTAATTTATAGAAGGAGAAAGCAAAGCTGGTAACCTTTAGTTTCTTGATATTTATTCTCTCCAGTGACCTAGCTCAGATTTGAGAGGATGCCACAGTTTTTCTAAATCCTTGGTGGAAAATCATAATGAGTCAGAGGCATCACTGCTAAATAAAATCATTAGAAGAAAGATTCCTTCTTTTTAAAATTTGTTTCCCCATCCACACTGGATTATCCAAGATTTGACAAGACAACCTAAAATTACAAAATATATCAAGTGTTGAGACAGGAATCTACCTCCCCTTCAAGTTGAGGATGAATGATAATTTCTATTGGAACCAGGTAAATTAATACTTTCGTGTTAATTATAAAAAACTTTCAGCGTGATTATGCCCTCTAGTGGTAAATCTTAAATAGTGCTCCTGAGCCCAGAAAAGAAAAAAAGTTGTTTTTAAAGAAGAAATTTAGAAATAAGCCCAGTCTATCTTTCTCCAGATTTTCCTTCCACTAAATTCTAGCACTAAAGTTTCAACAGCTTAAGTGGGCATTTCATGTTTTTTCAGAAGATGTCTTGAGACCCTCCACGATTGGTGCGTATCATTTTCTGTGCTTAGGAAGCTTTCCTCCCTCCCCCACAGTAAAGCTTAGCCAGTGGCATCACTGCATTGCAGCAGCTTGTCACCCTGAAATCTTCTGAAGTGTCCCTGTGGGTTGACGTCTTGAACCTGTGCCTCTTCTGGTTAGTTGTGCTTTTATGATCAGGCCCCCATTAGCACTAAGCTGGGTCATACATTTTGAAGAAGGAGAGTTTTCCTTATTCAGCACTCAGCAGGCTCTCCTTCGTAGCTGACTGTGGCCTACGCACCCCGTACCACTAGGCAGCAGCCGGTACTGGCAGGGGCTGAGTCCAAGAACATTCTAGTCATTTCACTCACTAAAAGAAGATGTAGCCCAAGTGGCTCCTAAAACCAGGGCACAAGTGCTTGGCCTGCCTCTGACCAGGCATGTGACCTTGGTGAGCAGCTTCCTCCTTCCTCTTCTTCCGTGGCTGTGACATGAGGGCGATGCTGGTGTCATGGGACTATTGTGGGTATTAAAAATAAGAAAATATAAATTGCTAAAGAGTTCAGTGCACACACAAAAAAGGAAAAGTAATCAGTTATGGGTGTTTAATTTTGGCCTAGAGTTTTTTTTTAACATGAAGTTTTAATTTTATCTTGACTCTAATTATAATACATTGTCATGATTAAACATTCAAATAATAGAGAAAGCTGTAAAGAAGAAGATAAAATAATGAAACTTTCCCTAAGAGAAAATCCCTCTTGATACAGTGAGCATTCTTTCAGATGGCTCGAATCTGCAGACATGAGGCCAGACACAGTATCATATGCCTGAGGGACCTGGAGCTCCCAGGGACGCCTGGCTTCTCATGCCTGTGATAAGAGGCTGTGAACTCTGTCATGAAGAGCAGGGTGCCACATGACCTAGCCCAGTTACACAAAGTCACCCTTCTCATCTAAGGATCATTTTACCCCACACACAGGAATACATGGCAGTCTTGGCAATGTCTGGGGGCATTTTGATTTTCACAACTGGTATCCAGGGAGTATGAGCCCCAGATGCTTCTACATACCACATTACACAGGACAATGCACCAGAACCAAAAATTAACCTGGTCCAAATGTCAGTAGTGCCAAGATTAAAAGACCCTGCTATGGACTGTTTCATTTCTAGGAAATAAATATTACTAGGAGGGAGTCAATTTGTGTATACTGGCATAATTTGCCTGTTGTTAAACGTTTAAAATAGTTTATACTAGTTTTCTCTCTTTGCCTTTCTTTCATGCTTTTTTGGCATTTTAATTGATAGCTTTTTAAAATTAAACTTGTTAACTGATATCTAAAAACATAACCTGTGCTATTGGATGTTTCAATACATGTTTACATTGAATAATGTTTAAATCAGGTTAAACACACATATCTTTTCAAATATTTATAATTTTTTTGCAGTTGAAACTCAAAATCCTTCCAGATTTTTGAAAGACACAGTACATATGTTACATATACTGACTTAGAAAATTTCTGTGAAGAGTAAAATCAGTGATGTTATGAAGTTTATTTATAAATAACCAGTTTATGTTGGAAGACATTTAAAACTACCAATTCAAGAACTATTTATGATCTACTGTGGCTAATACTTTTTGCTGTTAGTAGCCATTCCACATTGTATGTACACATCTCAGCTGTAGAACTAGGGCTGCGATGTGCCCTACCCCTCCAGCCGATCCCTGCATTCACAGGAACTCTCTGTGGAAAAGATCTTTTGAAAGTAACCGACTATTCACTACCTGAGGTTGCCCCATCCAGCAGCTGCTAACGAAGATGATGAAAATTTTAGCCGGCTCTCCAGCAGAACCCCAAGGCTAACTGTCTTTGCCTCTCATTGCAAGGATGCCTGTGAGGTGCAGATGAGCATAATTTTGAAAGAACTTCAGAGGAAATCTCCAGCTTCTCCAGGGCAAGCATCATTAAGCAAGGGTTCCACTCAGCCTGCCGTCACCCAGGACTTGGGGCAACGGGCTGGACTCATTGTCACTGGGAAGACCCTGGAGTTTGTCCTGCAGGAGAGTCTGCAAAGGCAGTTCCTAGAGCTGACTGCGTGGAGCCACGCTGTGGTGTGCTGCCGAGCCACGCCCCTGCAGAAGAGCAAGGTGGTGAAGTTGGTCCGCAACCATCTCCAGGTGATGACTCTAGCGATTGGTGAGTCAAGTGGAGTGAGACCAAGCCCTGGCTTCCCCCTATCACACACAGCAGAAGTGGATCTTTCTGTCTTTCCTTCTGTCTGTTTACAACTGTGTCTGCCCTCCTCCTACACTTTTTTCTCTCCCTTTCCTCCCTCCTTTCTCCCCACACCCCTTTTCTTCTTCTGCCTCTCTTTTCATCTCTTATTTGACCATCTTCAGTGAATCAGGAGTTAGCACTGTGATATGGAAAACAACATAATAGTCAGGATTCCATAAGTTACATATCAGACTCCCAAATCAACTGGTTTAAGGGGAGTGAAATACTAAATCACAGAACTGAAAAACCTGGGATTCTACCCTCAGGCAAATTAAAGTCAAGTCCATGACTAATGCTGTACTCAGCAAGTACTTACTGAGTTCTTTCTTTGTACCAGGCAGCTTTCTGGGGGATGGAGATGAAGAAGTACATAAAATGGCCGAAGTTCCTTCTCTTAAGGAGCTTGCATCAAGGAGGAGGGCATAAATCAAAGAAAAAACAAAAACATAAATATGGAAGATGTTAGATATTGACAAATGCTAGTGAAAAAGAAAAATCAAAGAAGATGGAAAGCATTGAGGGAGTTTGGAAGGGACTGGTATTTTAAATATAGTTTTCAGGGATCTCCCTTCTTAGGTGATCTGTGAGCACAGACTTGAAGGTAATGAAAAATAACCATGTGAGATCTGGGGAAGAACATCCCTGGCATATAGGACAGCAAAAGTAAAAGCATGAGGAGTAAAACCAAAGGAGATGGAACCAAGGGATGTTTTCTGCAGGTTACTAAAGGGTAGAGAGGTGGCAGGTGGCCAGATCACATGAGGTCTTAGGGGCCATTATAGAGTGTCAGCTTTTATCTGAACCAGTAGGAAGCTAATGAAAGACGTTAAGCAGAGGTGGGACATGGTCTCCTTTAAATTTAAAGGGATTGCATCACTTGCTATATGAGATTAACTGTAGGGCTACAAATACATCACTAAGGGGATCAGTTGGGAGGTTGTTGAAATGATTCAAGCAAGAGATGATGGTAGCTTGGTCCCAGAATGGGAGCAGAGGAGGTGGTAGGACATGGTCAAACAGTGGACATGGTTTGGGGAAATTGCTGCTGACATTTGCTGATGGTGTTGCAGGAGAAAGAATCCATCACAAGGAATACCGAGGTTTTGTATAAGAGCAGAAAGGATTCTACTAAGGTAGACTCAGTGTGGACAGTCCATTACACTCAGTTAGAAAAGTCCACTGAATGTGTAAGCAGTGATGTCAAGTAGGCAACTAGAATGAAAATCTGGTTAGCAATGAGGAACTAGCTGCAGATATAAACCTGGGAACCATAAATCTAGTAAATACCAGAGCCTCAATACTGTAAGACTACTAAAGAATGGGTATAAATGGAGAGGTAGTGTGCGATAAAACTCTGAGATAGTTGTGTGTTTAGATGAAACTGTGAGATTTTGTTCACTTACCAAACTGAATAGACATATAAAGGAATTATTCAAGCTCCTAGATCCAGATGTTATTGAAGTTAGAATTTTTGGACTTCATATTAATTATGTTCATCTTTGAAATAGTCACTGCATCCAGGGAATAGAAGATGGTGGCTTTCAGGTCTGTTATTTTCACATCCATAAATATGGGTGTTTGTGTTCACACTGACAAACTCCATTGACCCAGAATTCCCGAAGAAATATCATGATGCTATCACCAGAAAACAGATGTGTGGGGCTTTGGAAAAAGCTTATGAGTATTACTAGCAGGAGTGTAATACTTCTTTTTAAGACACATGCAGTGTTGAATTAGACCAAAAAAATCTTATGTGTAGCCATAATACTACATGAGAGGTATGATGCAGATATACAAGATGGTGCTAGAATCTTAGGAAAGGGTATGTGATTTAAAGGGACTCTGAGAAGGATTTCCCAGAGGAAATGACATCTAGCTAAGAGCAATAAATATTGAAATCCAAGAAGAATGAGTTGAGATGATGAGGGCACTCTGTTACAAAGATAGAGAAATGACCTGTGGAATAGCTAGAAGGAATCGGGTATGTTTGGAGAACTGAAAGTTAGCAATGGTGGCATCAGAAAAGGAAAATCATTCTGGCTGGGTGCTACAGTATGAAGGATCTGAAGGCAGTATTGAATTTGAAATTCTTCCTGATGGCAGTGGGATGCCACACTTGATTTCTGCTTAGCTAGCTCCTAGGAATTTAGAGAGCTAGGGTGAACCTTGAGGGACTTATATGTTTACTTGAGCAGCCCCTATCAATTTACAGAGTTTACATTTTTAGTCCTCATGTTTCTCACCTTTTCTTTTCCCTTGTGTAGGTGATGGTGCCAATGATGTTAGCATGATCCAAGTGGCAGACATTGGGATTGGGGTCTCAGGCCAAGAAGGCATGCAGGTGAGTAGCTGCTGTGCGTCCAAGTACATTAAAGATGGTAATCAGAAAGGCTATTTTATGTGTGAAGAAATTGCTGGCAAGGAAGGTGGCTCTGAGGTTCAGGGTTTCCCAAGAATTGTATATTACAATGTCTTGGTGAATGAAGAGAGATTCAGATACTTCTTTGCCTGACACATTATACAAAGTCATATGAAGCCATGACTGCAATACTTCTTAATATTCTCTTTATTGAGAAGAAATAAAAGTATACTGAAATGTAGAGAGCGAGAGTTTTTCCCTGCTTTCTAGGGAAAATTCATTTGTTAAAACTGCACCATGAGTAGTTTCCAAAGAGAAGTCTGTGTCATGTGACCATGTTGGAGAACAGAGGAGTGACGCTAGGCCACCCATTAAAGCCATACTTACGGCTTTGAGTTTTGTTGGTGCTCTCTGTGTGTGTGTTTCCTCCCTTTTTGTGGGGAGTGGGGCGTCTACTTGTATAAGGTACATTTTACTAATTTGAGGGTAGCTCTGGCTTCCATGCCAGGCTGCATCCGTCTGATGCGTCTCATCACTCAGGGTGGCCTTCTCTCCCCTCTGCCTCTGCAGGCTGTGATGGCCAGTGACTTCGCCATTTCTCAGTTCAGACATCTCAGCAAACTCCTTCTTGTCCATGGGCACTGGTGTTACATGCGCCTTTCTAACATGATTCTCTACTTTTTCTACAAGAATGTGGTATGTAACTCCAGAAAATTCTTTCTTCTCCCCCTTACCTCCCCGAGCTGGTTGCATCAGGGATGAAGAGAAAGTGTCTTATGCTAAGCTCACTTCATTTATTGGTGTTCTGGGAACAGCCAGGAGCAATCCTGCTGTCTTACCAGAAATAATCTGAGAGTGTGTGTGTTTAAACTGCTGACAGCGAGTTGTTAGCTTGTCCATCTGCTAGCATTTTCTACTCCCTGTGCATTTAAATTCAATTAAGTCCTGTCTCGTTCATTTAAAATCCAATTTTTGACCTTCCATAAAAAGATTGTGACAAGCAGAATTATTATATGCTTAATGCTGTCAGTAGAAAATGAGAAGGTTTACTTCCATTTTACTGGCAATAACAAAAAAAATCTGCTGCTCCCAAATTGATGTGCCCTGTGGCATATTGAAGACAGATACAAATCAAAACCCAGAGAAATGTCATTGCCCAGAGCTGTCTAAAACTCACAGATACAAGAATTTTCTATCCAGCCTATGAAATCTATTTGTGTTTGGAAATTATTTGATAGTAACAGAACTTCGTTATGATTATGTGACTCCTAAAAGGCAGAATTATATTAGAAAATGTGTATTCTAATCTCGAGCATTTCATTTAAATTTCAGTTTTCTTATTTATAAAATCAGGTTGACACTAGGTAGACTGTAACTGCACCATGATTTCAGACCAAATTTATGATTACACTGTAAAGTCTGTATGTAGCATGTTAGTAGTAGACTTAAATTTATATCATTCTATTTAAATACCGTCTTTAAGAAAAAAATTATTGGGTCATTTTTAAGATATCCTAATGTATATTTGTATAATTCAGATCTGTGTGCAGGAATATTTCTTTTCCTACTATACACTAAACCTTTTAGGGAGCTCTCAGTAGTTACTAATTTAAATCAGCACTATTAATCAAAGTTTAATAAAACTCAGATATCTTACAAAAATGTATGAAATGTACAGTTTCTGCCCGAGTGTATGATTCTGGGAAAAGCTGTGGCTCATAATTTAAAATTCCTGGATTTTATTCTCTATGACTTTTAGAAAGGAGCCCCTGTCCCAAATTTTCTTTTAAAACCTTTGCAGTTTTACTTCTTTTTGTCTATTGTAATGCAAGTCATTTCTTGCCCCCTAGATTAAATGCAAGGGTTGAAAAACACAAATCTTAGGATAAGAAGCTATGTGCTCTTGAAGACAGAGGGTGCTGTAGTTAGCTTATTTATGCTGAAGTTTGCAATTTTTTGAATTTTTGCTTGAAATTCATGTTATCTAGAAAAATTTGAGGCATAAAATTTGAAAAGAAACATTTGGGTTATGTTCCATTGTTATGTTCCATTCCAAATGGAACACTAGGAATGAAGGATTAATAGGACTCATCACCAGGGAATAAGGATCCCTATGGTTTTTTGCTCTGTAATATTTGGATGGTCATTTATACTGATATCCTCTACACTTAATTTTGACCTCCTGTTTAACTAGATAAAAAATGATTATTTTATAAGCTATAGAGGAATGGGCCAAGACCAGAAATCGTTAAAATAGTTTATCATTCTGAGAATGTGGTTCTTGGGTGTTGGACAACTTTTGAGATACTGGTGAAGCAATGTCCCCAAAGTATATGTATCCACAATATACACATTTTCAGAAGCTGAGCATAGTGCATGTCTTTGTCAAGCTATTGAGGCTAAGAAAGTCTTTTGTAAGGATCATGCCCTTGTCTTAATGTGTCCTAATATGTCTATGATGCCAGTGATAACAATATCTTAACATTTGTAAGGTACTTTCAAAGTCATGAATACTTTCTAATGTGATCTTGATAACAAGTTCTGAGACATTCTAATACTCATTTTAAATAGGAGGAAACTACAGTTCAGAGAGGTTAGGGAAATGGCTTGAAGTCATACAGTCATGAGGAAGTAACCCTGGGCTTTGAAACAGACTTCCTTGAGTTTAGGTCCAGTGTCCTATCCTGTGGCCTGCGCTGGTCGAGAGCAATCTTAAGCTAGGTTTGTCCAAGACAAAATACTGGAGGAAACCATGTGGGATACATGTGCTTGGTCTCTGGGGCAATCAACTATCCTTGTCTGTTTGTCCTGTTCCAGTTTTAGCATGAGACCCCATGGCCTGGGAAAACACTCAGCCCTAAGCAAACTGGGACGGTTGGCCACTCCACTGACACCATCCAGTTTTACCACTCATCCATAATTGTGGATACAGAAAAAAAGAGAACAAAGTTCGTAGCGTTCCTGCTCCATGTCAGGCACAGAGCTATGTTCTCTTCATATAGAACTAAAATGTCTCCATTCGAACACTGACTTTTCCACTAGCTTTGAGTAAATGCCTTAGTCTCTCTTGCTTCAGTGTCTCAGTCTGTTCAAGATACCATAACAAAGCAGCACAGGTGGGTGGTTCATAAACAGCAGATGTTTATTTGTCACCGTTGTGGAGGCTGGAAAGCTAAGATGATGGTGCCAGTGCGTCTGGTTTTGATGAGGACTCTCTTCCCAGCTGTGCACTTCTTCTCAAGCTGTACTCACATGGTGGTGGAAAGCTGGAACTCTCTGTGATCCACACTGGGGATTAGGGTTTGGTGGGTGAACTTTGAGGGTGCACAAACTTCTCATCTGCTCTACCAGTTCCTTCATATGTAAAGTGGGAACAATAATACTTTTCAGTTGTTACGAAGATTAAATGAATTATTTATAAAGACTTTATAAAACAGTGTCAGCCCATGGAACAAGTAGTCTGTGAAAAACATTTACCCAGAAAAGAATATATAATGTCTTCCATTTTGTAAGTGACAAAACTACAAAGAGGCTGAGTGAGGTCCAGCAGCTCAAAATGCTAGCGTATGGAATGGGTGGTCAGAGTTCTAATTTCTGTCTCTGAGATCTGGATGTTCCTCTTTGTGTCCCTAGGCCTATGTGAACCTCCTCTTTTGGTATCAGTTCTTTTGTGGATTCTCAGGAACATCCATGACTGACTACTGGGTTTTGATCTTCTTCAACCTCCTCTTCACGTCTGTTCCTCCTATCATTTATGGTGTTTTGGAAAAAGATGTGTCTGCAGATACCCTCATGCAACTGCCTGAACTTTACCAGAGTGGTCAGAAATCAGAGGTAGGTGCTAAAGCAAAAATTCTTAGACAGATACACATCTATGGGCAAAGATGTACATTTTCTGCTCAGCCCAGCCCAAGGACTGCATCATACTCAGAACTATTTAGGAACACAGATAAATCTTTGAAAGGTTTTATGTACTTATAAGAAGAGTCCAGTGTTTGAGACCTTGCAACTAATTATCGCTAGCACTTACTAAACTCATAAGCCACGTATTCTGCTAGCTGGTAAACATTCTGTCTCATTTATCTTGAACAAAACACTTTGAGACAGAATCATGTGTTGTTCCCATTCTGAAACGAGGGACCTGAACCTCAGAGGGATTAAGTAATTTTCCAAAAATCTCACAGCTAATAAATGATAGAGTCAGGCAGTGAACATATTCAGTCTGGTTCCAAAGCCCACATTAAGCTCTTCAGGTCCTGATGTCATACAAAATAGCCGTGATTTTAATGGCTTTCTCTCTAAAGCCATTTTCCATCTTCACTGAATTTATCTCTGAGTCCTAGACATCTGCCTATGATATATACCTCTAATATTCCTCTCTCTGTGCTTCAGTCCTTGCTCAGTGTTACATGGAGGATTGCAGTAGCGAGTTAAGTGGGATAGCTGTCTAAAAGCTCTTTTCCTTCTAATTCATATTTCACAAAATTAATAGTAACCAACACTAATATGGCAGTTGTACTCATTTATGTAATACATGGTACTATTCTAAGTACATAACATACATGATCCCTAATTCTCAAAATATTCCCACAAGCAGATACTATTGTAATCTATACTTTGTAGAAGAGAAAAGTCACACAAAGGAAGTTGCTTTTGGTAACTTGCTTACATCACAGACTTAGTGAGAACCGTGGTTCCCAAGGCCATGTTGTCTACCTTTATGCTGAACAGCAGAAAGAACTTTGATGTTTCCCACCAGGGTGTTGAATGGCCAAAAATCCAAACTGCTATCACAAGAGCATCATCAAAATCCGAAGGACAGAGATGGACCTGGAGCCTTAAACATCTATAAGTGGACAGAGTTGAGTGGGTCCATCCAGGATTGAGAAGACTCACTGTCAGAGTTCTAACAGTTGTAAGGGGGAAAGAAGAGGGAAAACAGACAGAATAGGACAGGAAAGGAGAAAAAAGGAAAGAAATTAGAAAAATCCAGGAGTAATAGTGAGAAAACACTGTCATTCTTCAAGCAACTGTAAATTTCCTGGCTTTGACCCAGTAGTCTGGCTTGTCACATGCCTTCCACTCTGTTTACCATAGTGGCTCAAAAGGTCATTTTTTTTAATTGAGCAGGTAAGGGACTTGTATCATTCCCAGGAACAGAACTAAACCACACAGATAGCGCCAAAAAAGAGTAGAAAACCAAAGACTCATCCTAAGAAATCTATGTGTTGGACTCCACTTGCTATCCCAAGGATGCGCTGGTCAAGACTGAGGGGTTATGGTTAGCCAGGATTTTCACCTGGGTCCTGTGGTGTGTGACCGTGTCAAGTCCTTTAACGTGCCTGAGCTTCAGTTTATTTAAAGTTATGATGTGAGACTCCAGAAAGATAATACATGTAGAATATACAGCCACATGAAGCTCTCAGTATTTTCAATGATGCATTTACTTTAAGTCTAATTTTATCTTTACTTGAACCAACTTTCTGGGATGTAGAGTGATTTAAAACCTTTAGCTACCAGAAACAACCAACATAGAAAAGCTACATATTCCATTTTTAGGAAGAAGAAACCCTTATAATCCTTTAATAATATCCAGTCCATTCATATAGAGAACCTACATGGAATTTTGCCTGGCTGAAAGTTCAAGGCCAAGATGCAGAAATGTGTGCTTGATATCACTGAAGGTTTCCAAGTCCGCTGGGGAAAGAGAAGCAGACGAGAGACTTTCAGTCAAACATTTTATAGCTAATGCTTTAAAAGCCCATTTGTGTACACTGAAGATGGTAATTTATCTTATTCTCAAGAGGATGAGGTCATTGTTTCCCACTGTTAACCCCTGTTATCATTTCTTTGTACACATGATTCTATTGAGCTAGCTAGTTTTATAAAACATGATAATAGTGGACAGATTCCTAGCATGTGACTATTGAATTTACCTTCCAGAATTTGTCCTTTCTTTGAACTTGGCCTCCAAGCACATTCTGCTTTATGACTGGGTCATTTTCTGTCTTTGGTCCTGTAGAATATACTCTCTCGGGGTATAGAATCTCTCCCCCCTGAAGCAGACAGGTCTGGAAAGTAGAAGATTCCCTTCCAAGAAGCAATAACCTATTAAGTGTCGCTCATCACCACACAGTCTCCTTTTCTGGCTTTTACTTGATGTTCACATCTCTGTTTCCAAGATGTCCCCAGGAGTTAACACTTATCTTGGATTTGTCTTGTCTTGGACCCATCTTTTTTTCCTTTGCTAAACCCTCTCATGCAAGTGAGTGTGGGGAAATTGTACTTTTTACCTTTTCAACACAGTTTTTCAGCAACTTCTATAGCTCCAGACATATGAACTTACATTTTAACTTATCTTCAAACCATTCTTTCCTGCCCAGGGACACTTTGAGTGCCTCTTTGTCTCTGACACATTCTCTTCCACTACTGGGCCATGCTTTGCTTGGGTTTTATGGACACTTGGATGGAGAAAGACAGACTATCCCATCATCATTTCCACTAGTAAATATGAGGTAAAGGAAGCTGTAGGGAAAAATAGACTGGAAACGATGCATTTGCATTGCTTTGATTTCCTAAAGATTAGTGTTAAGAAAAGGAAAGATGTATAAATTCTAAGTGTGGTCTTCTGAAGAATGGAAGCACACGGATGGAAATTTATATATTTGTAGAACTTTGTTCTTAAGAAACAGCAAGACATTTTCAAGAAAGACAGTGGCTGTTTGCTTTTGAAAGAAAAAAAGACTAAGATAAACATGCCAAGAAAAGACAAGACTAGCTGAAGAATGTGATACATGCTTTTCCATTTTTGTTTGTGGCAGTTCCCTAATAAACTGTAGTTTTACTTCCCTCTTCCCTCCCAGGTCTAAATTCAGCCTCAGAATTCTTCACACACATTCCCACTCAGTCAGAGCTGGGTCTTGCTTGAGAATCCAATTTTGGTCACTTGATTGTCAGTGTATCCACTTGGTCTCTCTTTCTATGAGCTTTGGGTAGGAAGCAGTTTAGTCCATGAGATGTTGTAGAATAGCTTACAAGCTTGAACACTTGCTTTGTACTAAGCATTGTTTAATCATTTGAAATAAAAAAGTCAAAGTCTCCCTCTATGAAGCTTGCTTTCAACTGAGATAACCAGAAAATCATCAGGTAAACACATAAAATTATTTCTGATAGTGATGCGAGCCTGTTAAGGACGCCATGATAGCAAGTGATTGGGAGTAGCTTTTATACTGGGTGCCACTATGAGAAGTGGTATTTAACCTAGGATTGGAGAGGAAGGATCTATCCTGCAGGGAGGATAGCACAGGTGAATCCTTGAGGAAACAATGGATTAGCACGTGCAGGGAAAATCTGAGTTGTTGACTAAGTTGCCCTGCTGAGATATTTCATAAGCTGACCATACATGATCCTATAAGTTATGAAAAGGAACTTAGATTATAATGAAAACATGATGGAACATCTTCCAAGTGGCTGAAAAGAGTCAATTTGATAATTAGGAAGATGGCATGAATTGATTTACATTTTAAAAAAGACATCTGGACCAGTGATATAGCTCAGTGACACAGCGCTTCCCTGGCAAGTGCAAGGTCCTGAGTTTGATCCCCAATACCAAAAAAAAAAAAAAAAAAAATCTGCTATTATGGGGAGAATGATTTGAGTGTAGGAGATAGAGAAAAGCAAGCAGTTAGATGGCTTCCCCATCCTTCATGAGACAGCTGATGGTGAACTGACATAAATGGAGGAGTGTAAGAAAAAAATGGGTGGATTTGGAGAAGTTTTGGTATAGTACTTTCTGATCACAGGAAATGAAAAATTACTACTAGCCCTACTTCAGGTATATTTAAAATGGATCCAAAAGAGGCTGGTGGTGTAACAGCATGTGCTTAGCATATGTAAGACCCTGGGTTCAATCGTCAACACCAAAAACAGAAGAAGAAAAAAAAGACAAATTAATGTAATGATAAGGCTAGATTTTAAAGGGACCCAATGAGCTGACTAAGAGTTCCTTTAAGACTTTTTTTGGCCACATTTAATTGTGAACCCATCTCACTCAACTGCCTTCATTCTTCCATCACTGTGGACAGGTTCCTCCTATTCATGAGTGAAAGAAGGAAGGCAGAGTGTGTCTCTAAGGAAGCAAAAATATGTAGTGGTTTCTGTTGTCTTTTTACTTTGCTTGGACCCTTGTTAATGTTCCTGATGTGTGTTTGATTTCCAGGCATACTCACCCCTCACCTTCTGGATCACTTTATTGGATGCCTTTTATCAAAGCCTGGTCTGTTTCTTTGTGCCTTACTTTGTAAGTCATTGCTCATGCAGTGTATTTGTTATTAATGAATCACTGATGTTCCTTCACACTTTGCCTGCAGTACCAGCCTACAGAGGGTAGATTTCTCACATAGATTGATTATTAATTAACTAAAGTATAACCATCTCCCCAAATATGTTAGATGATAGATTATATTAATATCTAGCTAAGCTTTCTTGGGTTTCTTGTTAACCCTGAGCTACTTAATAATTTTTGTCAATGAACTGAGTAAAATTAAATCTCTGACCATATAATTAGTCCAAACTCAGAAATGTGAAGTCAAAATATGAAAAGTTTTATTAGTGAGTGTTGAACTAATTCTATCCAGATGACATTCAGATATTAAATTTAAATACCTCTTGGTAGTTTCCAAAACTGTTGTTTTACAAGGTTTATGCAAAAACTTGTTTTGCAGATAAAGAATGCGGCAATACAACCAAGCAAAGAAATTTAAAAAATTAATTTTCAAAATTTAGACTAATAACAAGTACAGAGCAGCATAGTGTATCTGCCTGTCCACGTACGCCTCTTCCCTGAAGAAAACAACTTGCTTGATCATGATGGTGGTTAACAGAAGTACAGTACTCAGAATAAAAAAGACAATGATTTCAGTCCAAGTTAACAATTTTCATTCAAATTAAATCACTTGAGTTAGTCTCACTAGAATATTCTGGCTGTGGTGCACTTCAAGAGGAATACAGACAGCTTGAAGTGTATTCAAGAGAAGATGACAAAAGATTAGAGAATTGTGTCATCTGAGGAATGGTTTAAGGGTTTGAAGACATAGGTAGGAGAGGAGGGAATATTTACTTAGGAGAGGTGTAACCTTAGAATAGCTATAATAGTTGCATCCAAGATTTATTAAGGGGAACAAATTTGATATTTGTGTGTCATAAAGAGGTGGAAATATGAGTAAAAGCTTCCAGAAAGATGAATTACTACTCATATAAGAGCAATTCCAACTGGAAAGTTCAAGTATTAGAGGGCTTGCCTGTGTGAGGACAGGGTCTCTTTTCAGGAAACATTTATTTACCCTAAATGACCACCTCATAGGAACACTACAGAAGAAACTGAAGCCTTAGCTATGTGGGAGACAGGGTGGGGTTACTCACTCCACTGAGTGTGCAGCACTCTCCGTTCACCTCTGCTTGTCCTCTCCTTGTAGAGCTACCAGGGCTCCGATGTTGACATCTTTACATTTGGAAACCCTCTAAACACAGCTGCTCTGTTCATCATCCTCCTCCATCTGATCATTGAAAGCAAGAGTTTGGTGAGTGGATTCATGCCTTTAAGATAGCCTGAAACTATGCTTGGGGAAATGTCTTCTGTTGTGAGGATCCTGCCAAACCCTCCGTGCCCACAAGATAAGTGTTGACGAGAAGAGTCCTGACTGGAAGAACGCTGACTCGTGCTGTTTGTGGGGCTGATCCAGGGTCACTATGCTGAGGGAGAGGTTTTCCTGGGGAAAGTTTTCGTGGTGGACAGGTCACAGAGGTGTGAGTCAAGCTGGGAAAGTGATGATCCTTCTGTGCCCAGCGTTGTTCCAAAGCAAGCTGATGCCTTGCAACTAAAGTAAAAAAGACATTGTGTGCTATCCTCTTGGTACTTTGGCTGTAGTGAGTAATGTGTATATGCCTTTACTTTGTTGTTGTTGTGGGTCCTTAGGTAGAACCCTTCAGTAATTTCCCCTTATTTTGGAATAAACTCTGAATCCTAAAGACAGTCTGTAAGACCTTGTCTTAGTTTCTGTTCTCTCATTGCTGAGATGAAATACCTGACACCCAAAGTGAAATGGGGAAAGGCTTATTTAATTTACAGTTTGTAGAGGTTTCAGTCCACAATCGGCTGGCTCCAAGGCAGGGTGACATGTGGCAGAGGGGCAACTGTTCATGGTGGCAGAAGACAGCAAAAGCAATGAGAGAGAGAGAGCGCAAGACAAACCTCTTTCTGTCCCTTATCCCGTCTAGTGGGGTTAGGGCAATGCCAGTCCAATCAGTGGGCTGATCCAGCAATAACCCACCCTTAATCTCAACACCCTTAATCCTGGCATTGCACTATGAATCAATCACATGTTCCAGACTCAGTCACCTCCAAAGAAGTCCTATGACCGCATAAAGCTTTGGGGGGATCTAGAAACAAACCATACCAGGCCTCATCCAGTGATGCCCTTACTTCTGTCTCCAGTCTCATTTCTACTTACTCAGGAGCCAGAATCACATTATTCCTCTTTTAAACTACTCAGATGAGTTGCATTTACTGTCACATCTAGGTTGTTACATATAGTTTATCTTCTAATGAAAATATTCTTAGTTTCCTCTTGTATCCATGAATTTTACCCACTTCAAATGTTATTTTAGGTTACTTTAAATTTCAACAAAAATGCTGATTTCCCCTAGAGCCCTACCCTGATCAACTTTTCATTCATATTCTTATCCATAGGTCTAACAATAATATATAAGTAGTCATTTAATATGTGATTATCTGATTCACGTTTGTCTTGTGCATTTTATTATAATGTCTGTGAGGCCAGGGTTTATGCCTACTTTGTTCACCGCTGTATACTAGTGTCAGTGACAAGCCTGGCACGTACTGGGTATTCAAAAATTTTTGAGTAGAAAAAGAAATAATTAGCCAGTGTTTGGCATTTACTTACTATTATGGTAATGAAGATTTCAAACAGAAAATAGATGAGGGTAGGATATAATATATATGAAATTGTATCATCAAGTTATCTTTAACAATTGCTGAAGTAGGCGGAATATTTATTTTTGTCATCATTTGCTTTGCTTATATCTAATCATCTATACAAACCCGATGAGCCCAAATTAAAATACTCAAATATCAGATTGGTTACTAAATGAAATTCTAGAACTGAAATATTTGGTCTTATTTTAATAGCTATTTCATTTGTAAGCAATTGTAGAGGTATTTTTAGTTAACACCTAAGGATGTGCCTGCCATAGGCTCTGACACTAGTGTTCCAGAGGAACTAAAACATATGCTCAGTTCGGGTTCGGGCATTATAAGCAACCAGCTATTCTGACTAACCTGAGCAAATAGAAACATGACAAAACTAAACAAATTAAAACAAAAAATTTTCCTAAAGAGCCAGAACATCTCTGGAGAGCAGGGAACAGAAATGAAAGGAAGGCCGGTCAGATGCCACTCCAGTCTGACCTGGCTCTGGTCCTCCTTGCTCTGCCCAGGCCTCACTGTGCTCCAAGCCTGGTCCCTGGTGGTGAAACCCTGCAGCCCTAGCTCCAGTCACAGGCTTTCGCTAGGGGAGGAGTCTGTTGTCAAGGCCATCCACGGCACTCCACACCCTCTCCAAGAAGAAGGGTAGTGAAAACTAGAAACACAAAGCAGCTCGAGAGAAAAGCCACTACTAGAGAACCCTTTCTCGGGGTGGGGGAGGCATAGCCAGATCTCCTGGCCTCTGCTGCCCTCTTGTCTGTGAAAGCCAGCCACGCTGAGCAGGTGAAGCTCTTTCCCTTCATGAGACTCATCGTCTCATGGCCACGCCCACTTCCCAGCCCACTTCCCTGCTGCTCCTTGACATTAACTTTGTTATGTGGATTGATTTAAATATGTGCATAAACTTGAAGTTGCTATCTGTCTTGCCAACAGAATATTTTAAGACAACAATGTTGGAGCCATGGGGCTCAGATAGAAGGAAAGACATTGGAGAAAAAAAGAAAGAGATCATTGTTCTAGAGACATGGTGGTCTTAAGGGGTTAGCCTACATTTTCTGAACAGTTTGTAGCATTTTACCAAGAGCAGTCTTTGTGATTCTTGTGAAGACCTCTACTGTAGAGAAATACATTGCAAGATTAGGGTGAAAAAGGAGAAAATTGGTTCTTGTTTGAAAATTGTAGCCCCCAAAATAAAAAAGATTAATAAAAGCAGCATTTCTCTAAAAGGTGTGACATATGCTACCAATCTTATATGCTGTGATGTTAGGTGTTACTGCATGAGCAGTACTACATAATGTGAAGCTGACTGTCTTTTCGTACTTCTGATTATGTAAAAGAGGAAGTCTATTTAATGCTGTTAGATTTTATTACAACTTTTACTAATTTCCCTTCACAATGACAGATCAGTCCCCTAACTCAGCATTATCATGACAAATAATGTTGATATTACATGTAAAGTAGTGGTCTCTTTTTCCTTCTAAATTATGCTACTTAGCTAATTTTAAGAAAAATAATGTTGCAAGCTGCACATGGATATATATGACCAGTATCACACATAACGATTTATTTCTTGTTCATGTAAAGTTGACTGATGTTCCAGATAGCTCCAGAAGCACTTCTCCCCTGAAGGATGTGTCAGTGACCCAGCTGTGTCTTATAGCCATACCTCCTAGCATTTCTCGCAAGGCGACTTCTTGATATGCGTGGAAGGAAAGGAGATGGCAGGGAGACCTGCAGACCCTTTCCTACTCTTATTTCATTGGTCAGAGCCCATCACAGGGCTATGCTTAATCCCAAAAGAGAAGTGAGGTGCAAGCCATTCAAAAGCTAGATGAGGGGGGAGTGAGACTATTGGTGAGCATCCCCGAAGTCTAACGTGTGTGAATGACTACATTTTTGAAGATCACTGGGCGGAAATAGTACCTTAATCAAAAAACAGACTAATAGCGGCTATATAAATAAAATTATAAAGGAAATCTATGCACCTCATGGTTCATGAACAATACAGAATTACTTTTTGGCCCTTGATTTAGTTTCACAGAACCCAAAGAGTAACATACACTGTTTGTGAAAGGTATTTTCTCTTATCTCTTCTGTGTTTTGCTTCCTGAGCTTTGTTACCCATTTTGCTAAGTACTTGGATGTGTTGCCTCTTTAATTTTGTGGGTGCAGAACCCCATCGCTGAGTGCTCATTCCCCTGCCCTTCTTGTCCTGCAGACGTGGATCCACGTGCTGGTGATTGTTGGCAGCATCTTGTCTTATTTTTTCTTTGCCTTGGCCTTTGGAGCCATGTGTGTAACATGCAATCCACCGTCCAACCCCTACTGGATTATGCAAGACCACATGCTGGATCCCGTGTTCTACCTAGTGTGTATCCTCACAACCTGTATTGCCCTTCTGCCCAGGTATGGTATTTATTTAGTCCTCAAAAGAGCACATGGAATCATAGGTATAGAGTCCTTGAAGCAACACTAAGATGCAAGGCAGATGACTATTTAGTAGTGGCCCAATCAGTCTTTGTGCTGGGTAAAATACTGGTTTTTAACTCTTTCACCAGAGAAGGAAAAAAGCGACTTAAACAAACTAGAAGGTTTGAATCTCTCTTAAGAAAAATTCTAATCTTTTGAGAGCACACGGAGATAGGGAAGCTTTGTTTCAGAAAATCATCCAAGGACCTAGATGCCTTCCTCCATCTTTTTACTGGGCCATCTCCCAAGTCCTTATCTTGGGCTAATTTTTATGGTACAACAGAATGCCACCGACCAGGTAACTTATACACAGAAATGTACTGGCTTAGGGTCCTGGAGGCTAGAAAGCCCAAGATCAAGATCAAGGCACAAGGCTTAGTGATTGTCAGTCCAAGAAGCCCCCTTGAATTTACAAATTCATGGTGCAAAGTAGAAGGGCAACACCTTCATGGTGTAGTCATGGTGTACTGATCCCTCCTCTTAATACTGTTACAATGGCAATTAAATTAAATAGGTGAGTTTTGGAGGGAACAAACATTCAAACCATAAAAGAATTTATCTCCATTATTGAAGATAGTCCTTCATTAGTATGTGTATATTCCTGCCAGCCCCTGCCTACAAGAAGGGAAAAGAGAAAAAATAAAGAAGAGATTATCTTTTTTTTTTTTTTTTTCATTTTAAAATGGTATGACCCAGCTTTGTAGATGCTACGTGACTAAAATTTGGAGGCTTCTAAAAGGAAGGAGGGAAAATAGATGCTGAACTACTGGAAACCCTAAATACCATCCAGCTTCCCTTCTTGGCTGACAAAATTATTTTCCCCTGTTTAGTTTAATCTGATTTCTAATATCATATGAAATGAGAATGACTAAGAAGAATGTGTGAGTTTTTAATACATAAGCTCTTGAACACAGAGCTTTCCTCTCTGTAGTTTTATAAAATGTGTTTAGCTGGAAACACTAAAATAGTTATTCTACCTTTTCAAAGTGTGATATAAGAATCCAAATGGGGACTTCATCTTATTCTCTAATAGGGTTGACAAACTGTAGTTCACAAGTCAAATCTGGTCTGCTACTTCTATTTGTAAATAAAGTTTTATTGAACATAACCATGCTCATTTGTTTTACATATTATCTATGGCCACTTTTGCATAGCAGTAGGACAGTCAAACAGTTCCAGCAGAGACTGTCTGGCTTCCTAAGCCTAAATTATTACTATGTGGCCCTTTTCATGAAAAGTTTGCCACCCCCAGTCTATAACAGCAACAGAAACTACAGTGAGTACAAAGCCTCTGATGCTAGTGCATGTCTTTCCAAGAAACGTGTAAGAAAATCCATCTGAGTCACTACAGTGGCTGTGGTTGTATACTTAGCAACACCACTATTAAACTAGAGATGCCTCTATAGTACTCACTGCTATTACCTGGTGTCAGATTAAAATTTGACAAGATGAATTTGTAGAATTTCCAAAGAAACAGTTACTTGAAGTTTATACCCTTAAAAAAGTTTGACCATCAATAGTATATTTCTATGTGTTAATGGTGAGGTCAGCTGATAACTGTGAAAGACTACATTTTTGTTGTTCTAAGCTTACCAAGTCTGTGATAATTTGTTTCAGCAGCCATAGAAAAATGATAGAGAATCTGAGCATGCTAGAGAAGATACCTAAAAATATGGAAATGGCTTTTAGGGTTGGGCAGAAGCTGGAAGGACTTTGAGACACATGATAGGAAAATCATAGATCTCCTTAACCAGACAGTAGGTAGAAGTAGAGACCTTATACATAGCAAAGTAAGGAACATCGTAGAGAAAGCCTATTTCATCTTAGAGAATGTATATGCCATAAACTGCATATAGCTAGAAGTGTGACTGTTAAAGCCACTGTGGGTGAGGACTCAGAAAAAAATGAACTTGCATTGAAACTTTGAAGAAAAAGCATCTTCAAAATTCAGTGACAGAAAACTTAGCTGAACTGTGTCATACAGTGATGTATAAGCAGAATTTGTAGGCAAGTGAACTTAAATATTTGGCTGAGGTGATTTCAAAGCAGTGTTAAAGGTGTAGCCTGGTTTATTTTCATTGCTTACAATAAAATGTGGGAGGCAAGTGATAACTGAGAGAAGAACTTTTATTTTTTATTTTATTTTATTTTATTATTATTATTTTTTTTTTTGGTTTTTCTCCGGTACAGGGAACCGAACTCACGACCTTGCACTTGCAAGGCAGGCGCTTTTGCCGCTGAGCTAAATCCCCAGCCCCTGAGAGAAGAATTTTTAGGCTAAATAAAATTAACTTTAGGAAATTCTCAGCCTGTCCAAATTGTAAAAGTTGCTCAGTGTAGGAGGTTGATAAGAATATGTTCTGGAGAGGCCACAAGCATAGGTGGACGGCATTTTTGAAAAGCGCTCAAGAGATTAGGTGTGTGACATCTGGGTTCCTTAACTGTCTCAGCAGCATGCAGGAAAGATCTGTGGGAGGTCCTCATTACTAATACTATAAAGCTCGTGACATTTATAGGGACTCATGCATTTTTTGAGACTTTTATATTGGTAGAAAAACTTCCAACTTGTTCTAGAAGAAATAATTTTTGGTAACTTACAATAGCCATAGGAACTAGTTCCGACACTTTTTGAATCCTTGTTAAGTCTTAACACTGCCTGATTTATACTTATTATCACATTTAACCAAACATTAAGCCTATGATGTGGCAACTGTTGATATCTCTCCTTCCACAGACTGTGTTTTTATTGACCTAGCACTTATACGGCACATGCTATCTTCTAAATGTTTTACAAATGTTAATTTTTTAAATATTGTTTTATCTGTATTTTATAGTTCACGCACCCTCTTCCTTGACTTCAGGAGCCAAGTGGCCACTCCATTCTTTCACCTTTTTTAATTGGCATTTTGTGGATCCCATTGTGCATAGGAGCCAAAGTTCACTCTGTGATGTTCTTTGTAACCTAGGTTTACATACCGAACTCTTCAGGGATCCCTGTTTCCATCTCCAATTCTGAGAGCTAAGCACCTGGACAGACTAACATCAGAGGAAAGGGCTGAGGCTCTTAAGAAGTGGAGAGGGGCTGGAAAGAAGATCCAAGTGACATCCTCGTATGCAGACCAAGCTGCCAACCAATCAGGAAGGAGACACAGGTCGGGCCATTCTGCTGCTGTTGCAGTGAAGTCACCAACTTCCTGTGCTGCTGAGCAAGGAGACTTGCCTCTATGCGAAACTGCTTTAGATCTAGATTGCTTTGCAGCTGAGGCTCCCGATGTGATTGGACATTAAAATACAAAGAAGGCAGGTTAGCGCTGTTGAGGTGCAACTGTTCTTTCAAGTTTGGAAGGACTTGGAAGAGGCACCTCTGTGAAGCGAAGATGACTTACAGTTTTCCATAAGGGGTATGAGCATCTTTCTAGGCTTGGCAAAGCTGATATGATGGCTGTTATTGTATGTTTGTATGTACAGCAAAAGAAGAATGTGGTTTGTCCTAAGCAGAATGAAAAAAAGTCAACTATTTAAGTCAAAATCAAATGCTTTTATGAAATATTTTTGGATTTTGTAAAAGCATTTTAATTGACTTAGACATGCAAACATTATCACAGGAATTCATTTGAGATTTATTTATTTTACTGGGTGCTCTTTCATATTCTTGAGAAATGCTTTAAGAAAGCAGGCTCCAATTTGAATTTTTAAAAAATTAGCTAGGTGTGGTGGTGCACACCTTTAATCGCAAGGCTTGGAAGGCTGAGGCAGAAAGATCATGAGTTTGAGGCCAGCCTGGGCTACATAATAAGATTCTGTCTCAGAAACAAATAAAAATTTTAATTAACAAAAAAATAGATTGAAAAATGAAGACTCAAAGGAAATTTCCATATGAATATATCTTATAAATGGATAATTTATAGATAAATTCTAAAGAGCCTTTTTAACAGCAATGGTAAAATACGGTTATAAGTAAACTCTTTAAAATGTAGTAGTGATTACCAGTAGCTTTTTATTCCTCTGGAAGGATACCTTTGGTCTTTTGATGGAAGACCTTAAGCATACCTCTCTGCTCATTTCAGTGTTTTCCTAAAGTGGAACGTTAGTAAGCAAAGGGGAAGAGGGACGCCACTGTTCCTTAGGTACAGGAATTGTTCCTCTATCATCTTCCACTTAGGAGAAGAGCTCTCTTGAGGTCTCCCTCTGTCCAGATGTTGTCAGTTGGGAAATAGAAGTCACAGGGCAGGCAGACAGAATCAGCTGAGCCTACAGCCCATTCACAAGGCAATTTCCCATATTCTCAAACAATAGCCTCTAAAAATGAGACAATTTCAAAACGATCTTCAAAACAAACTTAAGGGTTCCTAGTCTTTGCAGTATGCAATAACTTTTCTGCTGTTGTGGCCCTTGAAAAAGTGAAGTATGGATTGAGATTAACAGATTTTTTGGGGGGGTTCCCTAATGTTCTTAGAAAAATTTGTTTTTTAATGCATTTAACCAGAATGTCTATAACAAGTTTACAGTTGTTACAAATCATATATACTGGCTTTAGTTGGAACAAAGAAACTATTTTATACAAGTAAAAACACACGTTATAATAAAATAAAATGTTTGTGTTGAAGTTACTTTAAAATGCTCTCAGAACATTGTCACCAATCACCAGACATGGAAAATCCATTCATGGGACACTATGCTCATGTCCAATGTCCACATCAGGATCTTATTACCGTTAAACAGTTATTCTCAGGGTGTAATCTTGAACATGCTGCCTACTATCCTGGTCCAACATTGTTTTTATAGTCTTCTGTTATTACTGTAAATCATCTTTTATATTGACTGAGTTGTAGAACTTTTAAAATCCCACATGGCTAATGGAAGGGCTTTCTACTTCCTTAAGAATTTTGTAAATAAACGATTTAATAAATACTGTGGACTGAAAAGCTGTCATTACTCCTGTAAACATGGACTAAATCCAACTGTAGTGGGTCCCAAAACTTAGAAGGACAACTAACAAAGCACAGCTTTTGCAGAATATTGTCTTGGCCCTTTGTAATATAGAAAAATCATTGATGCCATATCATCTGTGATCCCCAGAGCAGCCAGCATGTATTCTCTGAGATCATCATGTCTTGATAAATAAAAATTTGGAGGTATAATTACTTGTATGTAAAAGATTATTTTCTAAAGATCAAAAGAATAAGCCATGAATAAGCAAAAGGTCAATTTTGAGACATGAATTACCTCCACATGTGAGTACAGGAAAACACTGAGTGTTCATGTGATGGGGCTAAAATCTTATTTCTTTTTTTTTTTTTTTTTTTTTTTTTTTTTTGGTTTTTCTCCGGTACCAGGAACCGAACTCACGGCCTTGTGCATGCCAGGCAGGCACTTTTGCCGCTGAGCTAAATCCCCAGCCCCTACAATCTTATTTCTACAACTTCAAAATCCTCAAAACTCTGAAAACTGAAAGATTTTTCACAAATTATGTACAAACTCAATGTCCTGAACAATGGTGAGGCTATTTATATACTTAATGTAGTTATTCTTATATTTTGAAATAATAATGTTAATGTATTTTATTACTAGGTATTAAACTGTATTTTTTTAAATTCAGAAAATTCTGAATTCTGAAACATATCTGGCTCCTAGACTAAAGAGGTTTTGGATTTGTATTAAACTTTTAAAGGGCCGCATAAGAAAATAATTCATTTACACAAAGTTATCTAAGCCAATGTGATCTATTACATATTTCGCTAAATTTTGGTTGATGAAGCAATATGTCATTGCTCCTACTAGCTAAAAAAAAGATTAATAATATACATTTGGGGACATAATTTTACTACATCTCCCAAACATTTATAAAAGAATTGCATCAGGTTTTCAAAATGTACTCTAGATACTAAAGATCCATTTGCTCTTACCAAGGCTAAAGTTTTCATTGGGTAATGGGCAATCTGAACTATTAACAACTTCTAATTTCAGATTAACAAAAGAGCCACTGGTTGTCTAAAAGAACAGGTACCTGTGAGAGCAGAGATATGGGACAAAGATGTCATAGCTGGGAAACCTGGCACAACTAGAAAACGTGGCATCAGTTAGGACAAAGGAATGAACAGTTTCCTGAGCCTTGCTATCTAGGTTCCATATTCATACAAAAAGATAATACCACTTTATTTGTATTCAGAATTATTTAAAATAAGTACAATATGTACATTTCACTGAAAACAAGTTGAGCAAAGCCAAAAGTTGTTACATTAAGCAGGTACCTACAACTATAACAAAACTGACATGTTCAACTTTCATACATGTTGGGACCACAGTTCAATGGTGGGATTTCACATTCTCTCTAGGCTTATGAAAAAACTGTAAGAAGATGAGTAACACAGAAAGTGTCAGAGCAACTTTTTGAATTTAAAATGTTTACACATAGAAAAGATGTATACAAAAGTACGCATATAAAATTGCAGGTAGTCTTTATTTGGAACGCTGAGGCAGTCCAGGTTGCTGGTGGTGGTTAGTAGCAGATTTGATGTGTTCAAAAGGCATGTTGCAAAATGGACGTCTAACTAATTAAATTAGGCATCTGTGAAGATTTGTGCCTTGAAGTTTTTAGTAGAGAAAAAGACTTCAAACCACTAATTGCTTCAGAAATTGATTTATATAAAGTGGTCTAGTGCTTAAAAGCAACTTTAAGATTTTGTTTTTAATTATCAATGAGAAGAAAAGGCAACAATAGATGTGGCATAGTTGGGGGAAATTACAAAGTGTTTTATTCTGTGAAATGTCTCACTGTACTTTGAAAAATATTTTGATAACTTTATTGGTATGGATGAACGCAAAAAAGCAAAATTTTCATATTTTATTTTGGGTGGGGTACATTGTAATTTTCTTTTTGAAAAAACTGAATTTCTCCAATATAGCACAGGTTCTCCTTTAACAAACTTTAATCTCCATTCCCTTTTAACACAGGCAGGACAAAATATTCTCCATGAATATTGATCTAATTGTTGAAATCTCAATTAGCTGATACTTAACAAAAAAGCGCCAGAAATGGGGAAAGAACTGTAGAAGCTTTCCTGTAAAATTACAAACTTTACTTAGATCCAGAATGGCCAGAACTGTTATTCCAGGGGCTAATCTTGGTGTTTAGAGAACTTTGCATATACGTTGTAATTACAGTTACCTACATGGATGTTATTTTTTTTTTTACTACTGTCTTTCATAAATTCTCTCAATTACGTAAACTTCAGAAGAGTAAGTAAAAACATAAATGATTTTGGCTTTCAGTAAATCAAGAGCCAGTTGCCATTGTTCATACTGAAATTTTCACCTAAACTACTGTGCTTGAGAGACAGAAACGGGTTCAGTCAGACTGGATTTGTGTCCTTTCAGTGACAGAACAAAAGGGAACTTTTTGTAACCTGTTAAACTTAAGGCCTATGTATTTTAAATCTCTACAGAGTTGATATGTACTTTCATGCTACATTTGGGTTAGACCTAGCAAAAGAAAAAAACTGCTCTGCTTCTTAAAAAAAGCTTTTAAACAAAATTTTAAATTAAAGAATTGGGGGGAAGGTAAATAACATTGGTCTGAAGCAAACATTAAAATTCGCAATGTACGTGGAGCTCCTTGTCTGCACAAAGTAGCTCTGTCCAGCCCTCTACGGGGAGCTCTTCTCAGGCACGGCCTTTCTCGCTGTGTGTTGCTGGCAAAGGGCTCTGATCACCCCTGGGCTTACTCAGGAGAAAGGTCTGGATGTATATTTGCTTCTCAATCCATCCGATGAAGTATGACACGTTGCTATACACTCCAGGACCCAGAACTTTGGAAAAGCAGATGGAACCCCATGAAGTTAAACCAAATAATGTCCACTGTCCTCCAGGCTGCTCACAAACAAGAGGTCCACCGCTGTCACCCTGTGATGAATAGCAATAGACATTAGTAACTGGGATTTCCAAGCTCTAGTGACACCATGTGGTCCCAAGGGTGCAATAAAGCCAAACTAGATTAACCAATTTCTTAGGAAATTTCAACAATACTATAATTGTCAGCCTGGGGAGAAAATGCTTTCCTTTGTATAAATGGCACTTACGAACGTTATAACGAACGTTATAAACTCTGATTTCTGAAACGATGAGGGTGGCTTGGGAAGACATGTTATTTCTAGGAAATTAGAAGACATTTTTAGTCATTTCTTACCAAAATATGTCACAAATTTAATAAAATCTTATGTAGCAGAACTGATTACTTGATAATCTCGTTTAAGCTTCATTTGTCTTTTTATTATTTTTATTAGTACATGTTTGCAGTACATAATGATTACAATTACTGTGGGGAGCTGGTGCAAGTACATAAAGTATCTTAATGCTATTACTTCTCCTTTTTGTTTTTCATCCCCTACCCTTCCCCGCCCCTCCCTACTCCTTCCATAACTGTAGAAAACATCCAAAATGGAAAGATTTCCCCCATAATATCTATGGTTTTCCTGCCTTATAATGTTGGAAAATAATAGAAAGAATATTTACTGATACTTTCCATGTATTAATTCATTTAATCTTCATAAAATACCTACAAATTGATATTTTATTATTGTTATTATTATTATTATGCTCATTTTAGAGATAATGATGACTGACCCACAAGCTAAATGACCTATTGGCAAAGCTAGGATTTGAACCCAGAGTTTCTGACAGGTTATCTTCTCCATGACTACCAGGTTATCCTGCTTCTTGGGAATGTTAGTGAATGTTATTGCTATGAAAGCAAAATTGAACTTTTGATTATGCTGCATGGTTTTGTAGAAGCAGTGACCTTCACATGCATAGCTTTCCAATCCCCTGAACCTAAATAATAAGCATAGACTTTGTAAAGGGCTGAAAACCAACATTTTCTGCTGGAAAGCTTAAATTAATTAATTTATACTTTTGAGTTGTTTATTTCTGGAATTTTTCATTTGATATTTTGGACCATCAGTGACCACGGGTAACAAAAACCATAGAAAGTGCCTATGGGGGTAAGGGAGAACTGCTCTGAATGGATTGCAAAGGGGCCTTCTTATTTAATAGTAGCAGCAAGCACTGTCCAACAGCACCGTGACTTTCCTGACCGTCACAACTCTGTGCAGCCTGTGACTGTCAGAAGCTCATCATTCCTGATGCTTCTGTTTCCATGACAACACGGTGACAGATACTTTTGCAGAGGCCAACTACTGGCCAGGAAGCCCAGCAGAAGGAGGAGGAAGGCAGTACAGGAAATTAGGAAAAACTATAACAGTGATCTGCTTCTGATTATTACTACATTTTAAAAACTAAATATGGGGTAAGAGAAAAATTTGCTGCCATTCCAGGAGTACATATTCCATTTGGACACAGGTCTCCCTGTGGGGGTGACTTTCTGCTAGTGGGCACAGTATTATTGCAGTGGACTTTCCCTCTTCCTTCTATTTCTTTTTTTTTTTTTTAAATGTATATGTTTGCAACACATAAATTTTTCTGGAAAAAATTTAGTATATTTCATAAAAATGTTTTTCCTCTCCCCTTATATAGACAGGGTGCTCAATTGTTCAGTTTGAGCGATTTTTTATGAGAGTATGATTAAAATGGAATACATCTTAGATTCTGGTATCTCATCCCGTTCAGCTCAGAAGTTAGAATTACTTAGCACGTACTCTGTGCAAAGTTCTGTGCTAGGCTCCAGAGATGTGGAAAGCATGATTTTTGTCCAAGAGCAGCCAAAAGTCTGCTTGGGTGAAAAGCATGACTTCATAGGGAACCAAAGCCTAAGAATTACAAGGTTTCAGAGGAATATGTGATACTTCCAGCTGGAGAGGACCACAATGCCTGCCTTAGGTGTGCATTTTGAACAGAGTCAGATAGGTGTTATTTTAGGCGAGAAAAAAAGAGGTCAGGAGCCAGCAGTTCAACTCGTGTTCCTCTTCCCATTTGAAAGAGCTCTGTTTCCACTTGTTTTTATTCTCTTTTAAAATCCTTTTCCCTTCCTTCCCTCCAACCTCCCTGCATCTCTTGTTCCCCTTTGCATTTGAAAACAATCTCCCTACTTCATATGATCTATCCCTTGATGGGAGGAGAAGGGGACAAAAAAAGAATTAAGATGTGTTATGCACAGGTACCAACTCCACACAATAAATGTAATTATGTACTGCACACATGTACTAACAGATATTTTAGAAGAGTGATCAACTGAAACTGAAAGGAGAACACAGCTAAAGACCCCATTGGTGTGGTCTGTATTTTGCTTCCCCTTTTCCTCCTCCAAAGACTGTACTACTCTTTGTAGGGAACTGGGTGTACCATGAGGCCATATTGTTAAGTGAAGTAAATCATATTCACAAGCTTCAGTATCATAAGACTTGTCTTATATGAAAAAGTTAAAATGTAAATTAGTTAAATAGCAAACTAAAAGACAATAGGAAACAGGGACCTCGATCTTTGGCAAATAGAAAAGGGATCCAGAGATGGAGGAAGAGGGAAGGTGGGGGGAAATGGAAATAAAATCACGATGCACGTCTGATGTGTTTTACTTAACATTATGGCTTCAAGTGAGAAACCCAAAGTCTAAATAAATTAAAGAAAAAAAATTAAAGATAACTGCAAACGGAGATACACCTTTTGCAAGTGGGAAGGGAAAAAGGAGGGAGACGGGGGAGGGAGAAGAGGGGAGGGGACGGCAACATAAAATGAATTAGGATCTGTCATATACATGTAACCATTGCCCAAAAAGAATGTAATCACTATATGTCACAGACATCAAAGACGCGCTGCACGTGCACCAGCTGCCCACAAGGAATGTGACCGCGATGTACTGGGAGCATGCACTAACAAAGAAAGATTTGGTTTCAGATGAAGGTTTCTGTTTGGCTGCATCTTTGATCCACATGATTTGCAGTCCTGCCCAGAGGGACCCATGCCTTCTGATGTGCTCTGCGGGTACGGCTAAGAAAGACAGTGTATGTTCCTCAGTAGGGGTTTTGGTACATGAAAATGTTCCACATGTAGTAAAAAGTAGCTTTTGTTTTGTCTGCTCTCTGAGGTTGTGGCACAGAACATCTGACACATATTTAAGAATCTCACAACCCTAAATTCCCTCTGCTAGAGCTTGGAGGGACCTAGTTCCTATCATGCATTATGATATAAACGTGCCTCTGCCTATGTCTGTTCTTAGGCCTCAAATTCTGTTTCAAAGAATGTCTCTCCTTCCCTGTCTTTAGGAGTTATCAAGGGATGGCCTCAAATGTGTGACAAGAGGTACTGGTTCATCGTAGACAGACAAATGCTGGGGAAAAGGAGAAATGCATTTGTGTTAGTCATTGCTGCTACGATATCACTGCAGCTCAGCACTTGGGCCCTCAAGCAAGACTGCCTGGGTTCACAGCCTCACTTTACCATCTTCATGCTGGGTGATCTAGAGCAAAGGTTTTAACCTCTCTGGTCTCTTTTTTTCTTGATTTGGTTAGGGAAAATGGTGATACTGCCACATGGATGGGAGGACTGTGTCAATTAAATGAGTTATTCAGAATAAATTCTAAACTAACAGATTTAATATTAATATAATTATTGTTTACTGAAAGTCTACATATTTGACAGGCTATATATTCAGAACAGAAGTTTTCATTTCATATTAACTGAGTAAAGCCTCAAAATACTCACATTCTACTCCTGGAAACACTGCATAGAAACTCTAGAGAATGCCTTCAGATTGCATTGTTCTTAACTGGAGAATTGAGATACATCTTGTGCCCCAAGTCCTGCGTAATGTACAGTGCTTGCCGGCACACACAGGGCTCTGGGTTTGATATCCAGCGTTACAAAAATAAAAATTATTCTTTAACTAAGGTTATATCTGAATGCGGCCTCTTGTACAGAGGAAGGGACTTTGTGACCACTGCGATCTCAGCTGGATGACTCACAGTCATGCAGAAGGTGACCTCAAAGAATTTACAAGGGAATCATCTGCTTCCCTGCATCTCTGATAACTATCTAAAAGATCACCATTAGAAATCCTTTGACTTCCTGTTCTAAAATGGACCATCAGAGATGCCATTTAATTATGTTGGATTAGTGATAGTAAGTTTGTTGTATCTCTTCTTGATACAGAAGTGTGCAGAACAACCTGTTATACTCCAAAGCTGCAAAATAATGAAAGTGCTTTGTAGCAGTGAAGTGGCTGCCTACCTTCTCTACTCTGTTACGACTTCTTTGAGCACTTGCACATTTCCAAGTTTCCTTGTGAACCAACCAAATACAGCAGTCAATGAATGTTTAAGTAATTTTTTTAAAAAAATGCTTCCCTGTAGTGCTAGGTTGGCGTGCTCTACAAGGGGTTGTGGCGGGCAACCCCAAGCGTCTAGAAAGGTCAGGGTTAGTGACATTTGAGAACATGTTGGAAATAACATGAGGGCTGCAAGGCCCAGACAATACCAGTGTGGTCATTCTGAGACTCAGCCAGCCCTTTCATACACCCTGGAAACTAAGCATTGCTGTTTGCCCTGAGGTCACCACCCTAAAAGCTGGCAATGTCCTCTGGTGGCTGCACCCGGGTTGCAGCTGTGGATACCTCTTGCTTCTCTTATAATCTTATTTATCTAGCCACTAAAATGGCCGGACAGGATGGACGTGAACATTGTTCTTCCTTCTGTTGCTGATGAAGGGTGCTGTTTCCACTGAGAAGATGAGAAAGCCAAAGGCAGTCTGAGTGAAGCAGGGAGGCTATTCGGAGGGACTGCTTAGGTACTGGCTGAAGTAAGACACATTGCAAATAACCAAGCATTTGGTAACAACTTTCAGAAACGTTCCTAAAGGGCCATCCATGAATAATAATGAGTTCACATGGGCCTAGCGATGACACTGCTGCTCTGAATTTCATGGATAACTGGAAAGCAATTTACCATGCATGAGTCAACTGTGCCGGACTCATAGCCAGCACACATCATCCGAGTGGTGATGGTCCTCATGTCAAAGTAGGACTGGCACTGCTGCAGGGAAATAATGCGGACCTCTCCTTCTTGCAACTTAAAAGGCACTGAATGTGAAAAAGCGAGAAATAAAAGATACGTAAGATGGTAAAATGACTGAACAATCAGGCTGGCCAAATGTGAAGTAAACAATATTCTAGGAATGTGAGTCTATCAAAAGAGCCATAATATTCACTTGAAACGTCATGTTAGAGATGAGCTTTGTTTGGAATCAAAATTTCTAATTAAAAATATTCATCATATGATGTCTACTTCATTAATGAGGAAATTGAGGCACAGACTGGTTAAGTAACTTGGCTTACGCTTTGTCCTTCTCATCATGTGCTATGGCAAAAACAACAGCTACTTTAATGCAAAGGGGGAAACCAAGCCAAGATCTGCTCCTGACAGGAGGCTGCCAGCTCAGCGTCAGCTCAGCACGTCAGTCCTGCTCCGCAAAGCACGGGAGGCCTGTTTAATGCGGGGGGGCTTGCCCTATTCAATGCGGGGGGCTTGCCCTAAATGAGGAAAAGACCACATCTCACTACGCACTCCAGTGGCATTGCTTGTGGGAAACTTTAATCTTAAAGGGTAGGACAGACAGATGTCAAAAAGGCAACACTTGCTCTTGGTGTGATAGAATATGTGAACTTTGTCTTGCTTAAAAGTTTTTAAGACCAACAATGGATTTCATGAAACAAAACAGCATGAATCTTTTGCTGTTCAGCCAGTGCTACAAAATAGATATGTAATTCTTTTAAACAGTGATGGGAAGCAGTCTATACATACTTCCTTGCCAGAAATAATCAGTTTTTGAATAATCAATGAGACGTAGACTGTAAATGTGTCATGAATTGCCAAGGAATAATTTGAACAATAGCTAACGTTTACTGGATACGAGTGCTAGGCCAGGCACCAATACTATGTGTCTTCTGGCCCTATTGTTTTTAATCTTCACAACAATCTTAGGAGTGAGACAGTTGTTATTATTTTTTTCTTTGTAGAAAACTAGCAAGTGATGCTTTTGGGGTCAGTCAGCTTCCTGAATGAACTCCAATGTTTGCTGTTCATGCTATGTTATATCTGGTATGATACATTGCTCTGACTTTAACATGGAGATTGGGGAAGAACACAAGTAGAGAAAATATGAGGTATGCTCTGCTTTTACCTCCCGGCACTAATTATCACTTTTAAAAGCCCACAGTGTGTGGGAAAGATGGCATCATATGTTTTTTTTTTTTTTTTTTTCCTCCGGTACTGGGAATCAAACTCACGACCCTGCGCTTGCCAGGCAGGCGCTTTGCCGCTGAGCTAAATCCCCAGCCCAAAGAGTTCAAAGTGGTTCTTTTTTTTGGTTTTGGTTTTTCTCCGGTACCAGGAACCGAACTCACGACCTTGCGCTTGCCAGGTAGGCGCTTTTGTCCCTGAGCTAAATCCCCAGCCCCTGGCATCATATGTTTAACATTGTCTTCGAAATTCTCACATGGCACCTTCTGAAAAAGTCATTGATTTTTGTCTATTGACTTTTTCTTTACATCAACAAATAATCATATAAAAAACAGCTCAAAACATATTTCATTTGTTTATTTTAAAGAGAATAAAAAACAATGCAGAATTTCAAATGAGATGATAAGAAATTAACAATGGACATATCTGCTTTGAAGGAAACAACATGTTCCTTCAAACTGATAGTCCTAAGGACAAGAACAGAGGCATTACAATTCTTGAGAGCCATGGCACTACACTTGATCTACTGCAGAATGACCAGCACTCAAGTAAAAAAAAAATCTCATGGACTCGGTGCTCCTTCTAAACTTTCAGTCAAACAAAATGAAAAAGTCCCCTGGGGAGAGAAGGAGAGCGAGTGGTACAAATGTTTAATTTCGTGTGTTTCATATGTTTAACTCATCTACAGAGCCAATCAGTTCGCCTCCTAGATGGACGTAAACACTATTCTAAGATGCAGATAGGACAACTCCTAACTCCAATCAAACTGGAACTGAGACCATGCAACTTGGCTGTAGAAGCGGGATTTTGTAGCTGCTCAATAGGGCCTCTGAGAGATTCTCCCTACAGATAACCCCAAACATTGCTAGAGCCAGTCAAAAGCTTGGAAGCCTGATGGGTCTCATTTTGCCTAAGAGCTTCAAAACATCAGCAATGGCTTCCTGGACAAGGAGTCAGAGAAAAAAAATTTAAGGTTATATCTGAACTTGGCAGATTTAAATGTCATGATGCATTAGTAATGTCTACAACTGGCTTGGAAGAGAGAATACAACACATAACACCAAACATAACTATTTGTGGCTATAGTTTCATAAATGAAAATGGGAAATTATGTCCAAAAGTTAGAAAGAAATAGTATATTTCAGTTATAAATTGAAGGACATGGGCTGCTGAGGATGTTGTCTTACTTTTGTTGCCCATGTGGCCCCAGCCTGTGATGTAGCAGTACGTGTCTGGTTCTAGAGTCTGCCCTGGGCTGGGTAAGCAGATGGGCCGGACATAGCTTGTCTCATTGATGTCTTCACTCAGCTCGACTACGCTGATGTCATAGTCTACCACAGCGCGGCTGTAGCGGGGGTGCAGGATAATGGTCTTCACAAGACGGGTCTGCATGTGCACTGATGGGTGGTCCAGGTTGTTGATGCCAAACACCACTGTCCACACAGCAGCATTCTCTCGCCTAAAGACACAATGCAAGAGCAAATGGCATCTTCAGCTCGATCTTTTTAATTTCAAGTATGCGTTCCCCAATATTTTATTTATGTAAACAATTGCTATTTCTATGCCTACTCTGCTGTGTGCTCAGGTAAGAAGTAGTCATATAATGGTCTGAGTGTTTAGCTAAGTATTATTGTTCTGGAAATCAAAGCTCATGCTTCAGGAATGGGGATTATTCTTTAATATGTAAACTGTTCACATTTAAAGGGGGCAGAGTAGTTATTTTTGTCATTGAATTTAAAAGGTAATGAATGTCTAAGGAAAAGAGAGAGGAAAAGTGAAAAAGGAGAAGGGAAAAAAGTCAAGACAAAGAAGTTCTCTAAAAAGGAGCAAATGCCCTGGAGAAATGCCACAGATTTGAAGACAAGGGTTAAAAAAGCCCCCAACAGTCAACCTCATGATTTACTGCCCTGGAATACTTGTCAGCAATATTTTAGTCAATTTTCACCTTAAAATATTTCCTGTGTTTGGCTTATGGGTCCTACCATACTCCAGAATGTCTTCTAATTCCCTAGCCCCGTCCCTCTTTCCATCCTCTTTTCTGGATCCTTCTCAGCTCTCAGTGTCAATGTTGAGGCACCCTAGGACTCCACTCTCAACTTTATCTTTTCATTCCATATCCCTTTGATGTTTACCCATACCCTGGTGACTTCCAGACACAAATCACCAGCTCCCTGAGCTGTACACGTGAATGCTCACTTGTCTATTCAACCCATTCACACAGATGTTTGGTAAAGCCAAGATTTATTGAGGGCTTACCACATATCTGGCAGTGTCTAAACATTCAGAATTCATTTTACAATAATATTTACTTCTTCCAATGACCAGTCAAATTCTGCTTTTCTCTTATGTCCAATACTCCATGCATCAACAAGTCTTCTCCATGACCACTTTCAAAATCATCCTGTGTCTTATGGTTCCTCCCTCTTCTACCACTGCAATCCTAATCTAAGCTGCTCCAATCTATGTGGGCCATTGTCACGGCCTCAAACCCAACCCCTTGTTAGTCATTTTCCCCACAGGAGTCACAGTACTTTTTCTAAAATAAAATTAAATAAAGTCCCTCTCCACTCATAATCCCCCAAAAACCTTATATCACATATGAGATAAATCCTAGACTCCTACCCCTGACCCCTGAGGCCCTAAATAATGAGTCTTATTTCCGTCACAAGGATTTTCTTTCTATCCTTGGACATGCCAAGGGCATCTCCAGCTCAAGGATTTCCCCCTCACTGTTTCCCCAGCCTCACATGGCTCCCACCTTACTCTTTCTCTTTATCCAAGTCTCAAACATCACCACTGCAGAGCTATTTTCCCTGACCACCCTAGCTCTTACTCTACCCCATCACTCTGTTTGTACTCTTGACCCTGCTTAATTTTCTTCTCATAGTATTCATTGATACCAATGCCGGTGACGCATCTGTTTGTCTTTTCTCAGTCTTCCACCTAGAGTATTAGCTCTGAAAACAGGAGCATTGTTGATCTTGTTCCCTGCTGTATTCATAGACTATTACCAACCCTGTAGTAGGTTCTCAAAAAAGTTTTACTTAATGATGACTCAATGTAAGTTGCTTTAAAACATTTGTTAATGGCAGCATTTAATCACGTAACCAAAATCTATTTTTCACCTCTTCCTTCATGCTTTCTTCCTTTCACAGCCCCCCTCTGCAGTGGGCCGGGATTAAAGGCATGGATATCTGTTGGATTTTAGCATTACAGAGGGTGCAGCGCTCACGTGGACATTGCTGAACACTGCAGGATGCTGCGCCAGCCATGCTACCACCATCCCCACCTGCCAGCTTTGGATTAAATCAACCAAGAAGGTAGATTTGATTATCTAGAAAATCATTTTTCAACCCACGTTGAACATGAAATCACCTGGAGAGTGTTCCAAATGCGGATACTGTTGGGACTACCCTGTATTAACTGAAACAGAAGCTCTAGGACTGTGGCTTGGAATCAGTATCTTTCAATAGCTCTCCTCACTTTGGCAAACCTTTAGTCATTATCATGGCAAACATCCAAAAGGTTGAGACTTCAAGAGGCTTAGGAAGGACAGCCAACAGTGACACTCAACCTGACTTTAGTGTTGTTAAGTGCTTGAGCCATATTCCACTTCCACACAGGAATGTATTCTGTACTTTTTCCATTTTGCTCTTTAAATTATTTACGTATTAGGTTTCTCATGCAAGAGAAACCATGAGCTATTTGATCCTATTGTCTGGTTTATTTCACTTAGCATTATGGTCTCACTATGTATCAGCTTTCTCACAAATGACCTGAACATCTTTTCTGTTTTAAAGAAACATAATTTCAGAGCTATCAAAAGCTGAAAACTGATGTCATCACTGAATAGTTATAGGTATATAGCAAGTCGTCTATGTTAAGCATTGCACTAGACATTACAATAGTAAGCAAGAAAGCTATGAGCCATGCCTATCCAAATTGTAGAATTGAATAAAGATGTGTAACTAAAGAAACAGTTATAATACAGAGCAACAAGGACTAGCTTATGGGCATTACAAGATAATGTTATAGAATTAGTTTTCATTACATGATGCTGTCAAAGAACATTTTTATTGTCTTTGTGTTGTTTTGTTTTTGTCTATGTTGTTGTTATTTTTTTATTCTCTTTCAAATAAAAAGAGCATGTTTCTCTCTTCTTTCTTCCTTTCTCTTTTCCCCTTCCTCCCTTCCTCACTCCCTTTCTCTCTCCCTTCCTTCTCTCTTTGCTTCTTTATTCCTTTCTTCCTTCTTCTCCTTGTTCTTTTCTGTTGTTAATCAATAGTAGTGAGCATATGGCAATTCAAGAAATTTCAATATTCACTTAAGGTTGTATTGTTTAAGACATCTAAAATCAAATAATAATTTATTTCAAATTAATTTTAATAGCTTGTTATCCTTGAACCAGACCTATTAAATTTTGGCTATAATAAAAACTCATCCTTCTGCTTAACTCACAAGAAGATCCCAAACATTGAACATTTTCAATTATTGGTAACAAAATGAAATAACATCAAAATTCCAGACTTAGCTACTTATTGGGGTTAAATATAATTTTAACAGCAAAAACTAAATGTCCATAAAACTGCTAATTGTTATTAACTTTCATCCAAAAGTCGCTGGCTACATGATCTACTGTTCCAATTGCATTAATACCCACCAAAGGGAAAGAAAGAAAAAAGGTGCACAGGAAATGCACATACTTTTTTAAAAAAGTCAGTGATAATGTTATTCTTTTTTCTTCTCTTATGACTATGATATTAAATTGTCTCTTTTTATATTTTTTTCCCAACAGGTCTGGAAAAAAAAACAGGGAAATGATAGTCTATTTTTTGAAAGGGGCACTGAGGGGAAGATGTCCAGATGTGGTCTATTGGTGTGTTTACACGTGCTACAAAGAATGAATCAGGAAGCAAAATGAGGAAAGATAATCCCAGGTTGCATATATGCCACAGAAGGTTAATACCAGTTCAAACATACCCCTTGGAGAAATACATAGGAATGGGTGATGATCATTTCATTATTCCAGTAAAAAGAGGTCATTTATGGTAAGGGACAAAGAAAAAGTATAGCTGAAAATCCTCAGCAGAGTGGGAACTTTATCCCACCTCGCTGTCAGACCTCAAAAGCAGCAGCAAGGAGAACTGGAACATTCTTGAAGTTTGTGCAAAGATCTTCATGATCTAAAGTGACTGAGCAGGCCTAATTGCAGCCAGATGACAATCCACCACCCATAATGAAAACAATTAAAGAAAACGTTAACAGATATTTATCTCCTTTCATTCTTGTTTCAGATATTTTCATTCCCTGAGGCTCACATTTAAGGTCTAAATTGCTTTGTATATACTACTGCTTTTATGTTACTATAGACAACATGAGATAGTATAATTTCAATTCATCAATTTTAAAGAGAAAACCTACCTACTTACACATCTCAGATGCACTATGACACCCTGAGGAAGTGATACCAGTGTCTAAGTACATTTCTGGAAGCAATGACTTGTTCCTTTTGTTTGCAATTTGTCACACTCAGCTCTAAGTTATACATGAAAATGTCCTGTATCAACTTAATTTACCCAGGCAATTTTATATTTTTTTTTGCTTTTTTTATTTTAAAGAGTGTAATAAATGAGAAACAAACAAACAAAGAAATAGAACAGTAGGAGCATACTAGTATCACAAACATAAATAAATCAAAGCAAGAACATTCAAAGTGATACAGAGTCTCAGGACAAAATAATACGAATCAACAGTGGTTGTTACATTACATATCGCTATCCTCAGCTACATTGTTCAGATTACCAGATGTAAGAATGAAAGATTGCTCAAACCATTAGAGGGAATAAGAAAATAATTCTTTGATAAAACAGTAAAGATAATACAGAGTTTCACCAGTAAAGATGGTAGAAGTTCACCATTGTAATTCCATTGCATATTGTTACCTTCAAACCAGTTGCTCAGAACACCAGACACTCACAATAGCATTCCTGTACACAAGTAACAAACAGACTGAGAGAGAAATTAGGGAAACCACACCTTTCACGACAGCATCTAAAAAGATGAAATACTTAGGACTCAATCTAACAAAAGAAGTAAAAGATCTATACAGTGAAAATTATAGTACTCTGAAAAAAAGAGATCAAAGAGGATATCAGAAAATGGAAAGATATTTCTTGCTCATGGATAGGAAGAACCAACACTGGGAAAATGGCCATACTCCCAAAATTGCTGTACAGATTCAATGCAATCCCGCTTAAAATGCCATTAGTATACCTCACAGATCTAGAGAAAACATTCCTAAAGTTCATCTGGAACCAGAAGAGGCCTAGAATAGCAAAAGCAAACTTGGGAAACAAAGGAAAGGCAGGAGGCATCACAATTCCTGACTTAAAATTATATTACAAAGCTACTGTGATAAAATCAGCATGGTACTGGCACAAAAACAGACCTGAAGATCAATGGAACAGATTAGAAGATACAGATGCAACTACAAACACACTCAGTTACCCAGGCAATTTTAAATTTTAATTATTTTCCTGTGGTGGGGATCAAACCCAAGGCCTTGGGCATGATAGGTAAGCATTGTGCCACTTAGCTACATCCCCAGCCCCAGTTAGCAAAATTTAGAGTTTTTCTGTTCTGATCTTTTATTAAAAGTGCAAACATTTCCTTCTTTTACTATTCTAATTTTGATTTAAATATCTTAAATTTAGTTTTTGCTTTGTAAAAGAGGAAAATTAATATTTACAATGAACACTTATGAGAAATCACCCATTTTACAAGACTTATTCCAGAAATAGCAGAACTAAACAATGATTTGGAGCTAGTCTAAAGGTTACCAAATCTAAACTAAGTAAAAAATATCACATTACAGCATCATAGATGTTCTACAAGTCTTAGGAACTTCTGACTTGTAATATCGTGCTCTGACTTTCATATTTTAAAAGAATTATTTGTAGTAAACTGGATGAGTAGGCTTTAGAATAAGGTGGCTGCAAAGGAAATGCCTGAAAGAGGTGGATAGTTCAGTGGAGAAACACATTGTGTCACGATGCATCTCCCAGCGGGGATGGGAGCGAGCCATCCATGATAACACTACAGAACGTGGGAACTTCTGTTATCCACAGGTCCAGAAAAAGCAAAAAAGGGGGGGACTTAGTCAAATAAATATCCCAGATGTTCAAGAATCAGATTTCAGAATGTTTTGCTAAAAAGATAAATATAATAAGGTTTTCAGAGACTGTTAGAGAGAATACAGCTCAACAGAAATGGGAGCATTAAGAATCACTTTAAAAAAAAAAAGAAGAGTCAAATTTATATGCTTCCATGACAAAAGATTATAGCAAGTTGAAAAAAATTAAGAATCATCTAAACAGTAAATGTGACTACAGAAGGATTTTGGAGATGGAAATCGGAAAGAGTATCGCAAACAGCAGCATGAGACCAGAGCAGTCACTGGAAAGTCTTAATATATAATGAGCAGGAGTTTGTTAAAAAAACAAGGACCTTAGGAAAAATACCAATGGATTTCAGTAAAATATTGTGCAAAATGAAAAGGGGTATAGAGATCAAAGCATGGTGCTATGGCAGGGGTAAGGGCTGTGGTCTCCTAGCAGAATGACAGTTTTTCACACAGGCTTCCTGGAAAGGAATTACATACTGCTGACCATTACTGGTTGTGTACCGGGTTCCTCCCTCAGGCTTTCAGAGGTAGAAGGCAAAGAAATTGTTTGTTAAATCACCCACGATAGTCAAAATCTTTCTTCCTTAGAGCTTTAGAGATTGAGCTGGTATTGAAGTAGATGAGACTTGATCTGGTCAGCTTAGGATCTCATGTTTTTCATTTTCGCTAGGTATTTTAAGCACCAAGAGCAAACAAAACAAATTGTCTTTTTTTCCACCAATATAATCAAAAGAGACAGAAGGCCTACAGATTGGGTTGTGGTAGGCCTTGCCAAGGCATGGGATCAGGATATGAAGTAAATCCCATTAATTGCGGCAATTGATGGCCCCAGCAGAGAGTAAGCCTTACAATTAAAAGTTCTAAAGGGATTTTGGTGCCACTGGAGAGTTTGTAAAATGGAATTGACTTTATTAGCATACATTCAAGCAAAGCCTTGTTAAAAGTTAGGCAATTTCTAACACTGTGTGGCTATGTAGCCCTCTCTTGACAGTAAAGTTTAGTGTTGCATGAAATTTGATCAAGGTCTTTGATATACCCATTTCCTTAATTATAAACATGTATTTCTTCTCAATTGCAAGGTTCCTCCTCAACTTCATAGACCTGTCAGTAGAAAGGAAACCTTGGTTCCACATATGGAAATGACAAAAGTGTCACATGAACTTGGATTAACTAGCACATAAAAAATGCTGTTCCCTTACAGATCTGTTGGATTCATTAAGGTAATCCCCTTTTGATGAATGTGCTTTTGCTAGCAAAGTCTGCTTATCATGGAGTTACAATTCAGAACTGTAAAAAACATCTGGAAACATCTGGCCCCTTCTCAAGCAATTATATTGCAATGTATTTCTTGATATACTACAAAGACTCTTCCAATCACTCTGTCTTACACATTAGAAATAGCCCAAAGGAGGCACTGGTCTGATTTTTATATATTGTTTTTCCAAAAGAGCAACAAGATAATTGGATATACACATTTCCAATTTTATAATCATTTATCACATTATATTCTGATGCATTGTTTAAATGTCTGTGTGCTCACTAGGTTAACGCCTCGAGGAACAATGTAAGTGTCCATCTCTGCAATCCCCATGTAGAATTAAATGTACATTCTGAGTCTCTACCCACTAGAAACAGAAAGTATCCAGGTCTCTGGCTTTCAGTACCAGTATGTGAGTAGCTTTACAGCAGTTAGTTAAAATAACACCAAAATGACATTAACCCAATGGTCCATCAATTGAGTGATGGCAGAAAAAGCTGTGGTAAATTTATATTGTAGAATATTCTTTAGCTTTCAAAAAGAATAAACCAGCGCATATCAATCGACTTGGAGAGTTGCCACATGAGCAACCAAGAAACCAAAGTATACAGTGAAGTTTCAAATGGTAAAAACAATTATACACCACGAAAAACAAATGTGTTCGTATCTGTGGAGGAACATTCACCAGGATTTAGGGTGATGAGGCAGTAAGGAAAGAAACTGTGGAAGGATGTGAACAGTGCCAGCAAAGTGCAGACATGCTTATATCATAAAGCTAGAGGGAAACGCAGAGTGTGCATTTTTAGCAATTTTTTTAAAAGAACCATTTAGATTTACCAGGGTCTTAATGGCGGGTACCAGACACGGTTCTTGAGGCTTTCCACAGCCCATCTCACTTCTTATGCACACCCACTCTGTATGCACACCCACTCTACGAGGCAGCGATGGACACGATGGAGAGTTGCTTCTGCTTGGTGGGAGAAGTCTAATTCATACAGGTATTAGTGTTAGTGCCTGCCCAAAATGCCTCCCATTTGCTCCTGCATCTGAACCTCACTGTGTTATCCAAATAGACCACCTCTTTGGATTCATACGCGTGTAATATACTTAAGAAGAAAGAAAAGAGACTAATTCTGGCTGAGGAGTCAATCTCCAAAACTTCTTTTTCCACCCTATCTAGGACATAAATCCTAAACCTATATGTGCACTGCCAATCATTGACAGCACACAGAGGATGACAGCACCACATGTGGATAGAAAATTATTTGCAGGTAAAAATATTGTTGCTGGGAGAACATGCAGAAGACTAAATCTACGCTCATATATCTCACTGTGTACTAAACCAAAGTCAAAATAGCTCAAAATCTAAATGTTAAAACAGAAACAGCTAACCTGCTGGAAGATAAAATAGGTAAAACTCTTCAAGATGCAGGTATAGGCAAAGACTTTATGAACAGAACCCCAATGGCAAAAGAAATGAGTAATCAACAAATGGGATCATATCCACCTAAAAAGCTCCTGGTTAGCAAAGGAAAAAACAAAGAGAACGAAGAGACAGCCTATAGAATGGGAAAACCTGCTGCAAGCTGTTACTCAGAGAACTAACATCTAAAATATTTTAAGAAGCCTGACATAAAAACAGTAAAAAATCAGCAGTGAAATAAAGACACTTCTCAGAAGAAGAACAAATAGCCAATAAATATATGAAAAAATAATAAACATTCTTGACCATTAGAAAAAATGCAAATTGAAGCAACACTGAAATTTCATTTTACTGCAGAAAGAATGGCCATCATCAAGAAATCAAATAATAACAAGTGCTGGCGAGGCTGCATCCCTTCTACACTGTGGCAGGGATCCAAATGGATACAACCACTATGAAAATCAGTATAGAGATTCTCTAGAGAACTAAAAGTAGGATTTCATTTGACCAAGCTAATTCCCCTCTAGGTATCTTCCTGAAAGAGTTAAAAACATCATATTAAAGTGACACATGCACACCCATGTTTATAGAAGCACAATTCACAATAGCTAACTCTTGGGAAAAGCTATATGCTCAACAGATGAATGGATAAGAAAATGTGTTTTGTATACACAGCGGAGTACTACTCTGCCATAAAGAAGGATAAATTCAGGTCATTCATAGGTAACTTTATGTACTTTGAGACCATGTTAAGAGAATAAATCAGATATACAAATTTAAATATCATATGTCTTCTCTTATATGAGAAGCTTTAAATAAACAGTAAAATAAAAGATAGATAGTGGAAAGTAGAGATATCTTTTCAAAATGGGAAGGGGATGGGGAGATGGAGGAAGGGAGAAGGGGAGAGAAGAGGATGAATAAAATTGACATCTTCTATGTATATGTACCAGGTCTGCACAATGAATGTCATCATTATGCGGCACAGGCACATACTAAGAAAACTTAAAATGGTGCAGGGGGAAGAGATAGCTGTGACTTTTGCATTGAGGTTGCCTCATGCAATAACCTGTGCCACTGAGAATCACCAAGCGACACAATAATCAGATCCAGGCAAAGAAAAAAGAAAAGAAGAAAGGAAGGAAGGAAAGAAGGAAGGCAGGCAGGAAGGAAGGGAGGAAGGGAGGGACGGAAGGAGGGAGGGAGGAAGGAAGGGAGGGAGGGAGGAAAAGGCGCAGCTTACCCCTCAAAACAATGAGCAACTGTCAGAATCCACTTCTTGGCAATGAGAACACAGCCACAAACGTGTCCACTGGGCTCACTCTGCAGAGAGCACTGCCATGGCCACCTTCCGGGGCGACTCGTCCGGCCCCCGAGGATCCTCTTGTTCATTCGGGCAGCGGGGCGACGCCCACAATCTGCCAAGAAGCAGAAGGCACAGCTTGCAAATTGCCAACAGCCCCAGTAACCCCAGCTAGATGCTTAGCTCTTTACATACCAATGATCATTTTCCCCCTCAGCCAAGCTACTTAAGTTCCTATCCCATTGTTCCGTCGCCAATTTTCTCACCTTCTTTAGTACACAGAAGAGAGATCTTCTTTCTGCTGGGACAAGACTGCCTAGAATTGGAAACACAAAATGGCATGACACTGAGTCACATATTTCCCATTCACTTCGAACATTTTGCCAGGGAAGGTAAGATGTAGATTCAACTGTTAGAGAAAGTCATACTCTTTGAGAAGAGTGTGGTTGTGCAAGAAAATTCAGATTGGTTAAATTTTAATCACTAAGTTCTTTTCCAACCATAAAACAGTTATTCACAATATAAGTTAAAATGAAAAAGTACCTTGAGACTTGCAAAGTAGCCTGATGTGCTCAGAATTCTAAATCTCTCAGATTTAAGAAGAAATTCATTCATAAGAAGGTTACTTCAGCACCCGTTTTGGCTGGGCTCAAACTTCCTGAGCCTCCTGCCTGAGCACCCCCAGAGTGCTGGGATTACAGGTGTGCACCAGCACACCCAGCTAAGATGCCATGATTCTGAGGAGAAACCTTGTACTTGCAAGGCTACCTAATTATGATTTCATTTTGTGTCTATTCTGTTCTTGAACTTTCCAGGCTTTTAGTTAAGATTACTTCAATTTCCCCTGCTAATTCCACGTAGCATCTATAGGAATTTCAGACATGGATGAGACTTTATTTTAAATTGGATATGAAAAAACTCAAAGATTAGAAAACAAGCTCCTTCTTCTAACCATGATCTTTTCAGTAATTATGATTAAAGAAAGATGTAATTAGCCAAAAGAAAAAAATCTACATCTAGAAAAAAGAAATAAAACAATTGTAGAAATAAAAAGACATTATAATAGCCATTCTATGGAAGCTCTGTGATGTAACAAATTTGGATTATCTTGCGCTAAAAAATGGAAGGAAGGCCCTGCTGATAAACTCTCACTCCACAACCTGACTTCACACAGCTCTTACAAAAGCGTTCTTACCCAGGTACCAGAAGTTTGTGCAAAGTGGCCCCACTGACATTCTCCCAGTTGGAGCGCAACCTCAGCCACTGCTGGTTTTCCTCCTCTTCTGGTATTGGCTCTGTCACAGATGGTTCTCTGGTAAAAGGTAAATACTAGGTAAATATTCAAAAGACGGTGATCTCTTACTTATCAGCTATTATCCGTGTTTAGTATTCATCCATTTTCAAAAAGAAGCATTAAATGATAAGTCAGTAGTTCAAGGAGAGCTTTTAGGTTAGAGGAGATTTGCCAAGGAACGCGGTCAGCACGAGAGAGACAGTTATTAAACATATGCAGCGGTAATAGCGATCCAAATCGTGGCAGCTGTTTTAGTCATTCTCCCTTCTGACGTGTGCTGGAACTTCATGAGGTGCAAGAATTCTAACGTACACAATGTAAAAGTTTCAACATCCAAAAAATAAGCGCAGCTTGAAGCAGGGAAGAGTAAAATGCAATTTATCTGGTTTTTCTTGTCCTCTTTTCTTGCCCTTCATAACCCATTGTAATAATACCTTTTAAAAATAAATAGAATCAATGGTTATTTAATATCTATTAGTATATAATTGTAAGTGGAATTTTTCAACATATTGTGAACTCTTCATGCACATAATTATGAATAACTAAAAAATAAAGATGGGAATTAGACAATATTATTCTGCTCTTTACATATGCTCACTTAATTTCCACCAATACTGTTCTCTAGATGCTTCACTCCATTGCTCCAATGTGGTTACACTGTAATTGAGATTTAAGCTCCTAGGGATCCAAGCATTTAGGCTTTTATATAGCTGTTCAAATTAGGCCTTCCTTTCGTCAATCCACATGAAAAGAAACCCTTTCATATTTTTAATTTAAATAAAACATAATCACCTGGTGCTCTCAAGGGTAGAACTATAAAGGGATTAGTTTCAGACAGGAGGAAGGAGGGCTTCTTATGAAACTGGAAGGGAATAAAAAAGAAAGGAGCATGCACACTGCTGGTGTGGAGGAAAGGGAGAACAGGGCATCAAAGGAGTGCCAATAGGGAAGGTTCTACATTTCTTTTCAAATAAGAGGCAGGGCAGCTCCCCTGTTGAAAGCTGGGAATGACAAGGGTATGTGACAATGTGGAAAGGAATGCACACATAGAATTATTCCCTGGCGAAAGTGTTCGGAGAAATATATCAAAGATAACTTAGAATTACGCCAAGCATCACTGAGGGAGGTCCCAGTGAATGTGGAAATAATGAAGTTCTAGCAACACTAATTTTACATGATTAGTGATTTTCTTTTTAAATAATTGGCTTTTTTGTGTGTCTTTTTGAGACAGGGTTTTGCTATGCAGTTCAGGCTGGCTTTGAGCTCACTTTGTAGCCCAGGCTGGTCTCAAACTTGCAACAATCCTCCTGCCTCAGCCTTCTGAGTGCTGGGATTACAGGTGTGCACCACTATGCCCGACTATGGCTTTTCTTTTTTTTAACTGGGATGTGGATGAAAGAAAAGGAAGTTAGATTTCAATGGCATTGAAAGAAGTTATCATTTCACTTGATTGTTTAAAAATTATTATAATCATATAATAGAAAATAAAAGGAACAAAAATTTCCCCAAATTCTTTTATTTTTAAAAAATAAAAGCCCTCTGAAGAAAACATTTTCATCAGCCAAAATTTTAAAACAAAACCATCTCCAATAATGAATGAACCCTAATCATTTGAAATAAATTGTATGTTCAAATTCTAACTTCACTATAAGAAGAGTTGTACAATATTTAAAGAGTGCAATGTGATATTTTGATATATGTCTACATTGTGAAATGGTTACTAATCATAAAATATATTGCTATTAATATATCCATTGCTTCAGATAATTACCATATTTATGGTGAGAACACTTAACAATCTTAGCAAATTCTAAGTATACAATATTATTACACTGCATGCATACTGTACATTCAAATTCCAGAACTTATTAATCCACACAACTAAATTTCTCACCCTTTGATGACATTTCTCCATAGCTGTCACTCTGCTAATCCCTAGCAATAATGGCCTGCTTTCAGGAGTTGACATTTCCAGATTCCACATGTAAGTGAGATCATGCAGTATTTGTTGTTGTATGCCTAGCTGATTTCACTTAATATGATGTCCAAGTTCAAACAGATTTTCTCACATAGGATTTCTTTGCTGTTCTTTTAAACTGAATAATATTCTAGAGTGTGTATCACATTTTCTTTTTTTCCTTTTTTTGTCTTTTTTTTTTTTTTTTTTTTTTTTTTTTTTTGTCTTTTTGAGACAGGGTCTCATTATGCAGTTCAGGCTGGCCTTGAGCTCACTTCGTAGCAGCTCAGGCTGGTCCTGAACCCGCAATGATCCTTCTGCCTCAGCCTCCTGAGTGCTGGGATTACAGGCGTGCACCACCACACCCGGCTATATCACATTTTCTTTGTTCATTCATTCATTAACAGATGCTTTATAGACAGATTGTTTCTATATCCTTGGTTACTTTGAACAATGCTACAACGAACATGGACATTGCAGATAACTCCTTGAGACTTTGATTTCATTTCCTTTTGGTGAATACCTGGAAATGGGATTACTGGGTCATATAATATTTTCATATTTAATTTTTTGAGAAAAGTCAATACTATTTTCCAATTAACATTCTTACTGACAAAAATATAAACATTTCCTTTTCTCCATTCTCATTGATGCTTTTGATTTTGTCTTTTTGATAGCTGTCATTCTAACAGGTATGTTGTGCTCTTTTATTATGATTTCAATTTGCATTTTCCCAATAATTAGTGACATTGAACAGCTTTTCCTATAACTGTTGGCAGTTTTCATATTTTCTTTCGGGAAATGTCTACCTAAGTCCTTCATTTTTAATTAGGTTATTTGACTTTTTGCTGTTAAATTGTTTGATTTCTTTATACATTTTGGATATTAATCTCACATGCATGGGATTTCTTCTTAAAATAATTTTTAAAACTTGTAAAAGTAATACTTGCATAAGGAAAAATAAGAAAGATTGTAAAATGAAAGTGTAGAAACAGCGATGGTAAGTAGTATTTGGATATCCTTACCAAGCTTTTTAGTATAATTCATGTACATATAACCCTCTTTTTTGTGGTCTATCCCCATTATTCTGTGTGTTGTCGATGTGCTAACATGTGTCACCTATTTTTTATGACAAATACTAAAAGACTGACTTGTTTTATCTACCTTAATCCTCGCAACAATTCTGTGCAATAGGTTTCATTATTATTTCCCATTTTTCAAATGAAAAAATAACTTACCCGTGGTCACCCAGCAAGCAAATGGCAGAGTTGGTAAATTACATCCTAATTGTCTGATGCCAGAGTACTGCTCCTTCACACTGCGACATTAGATGGCCCTGTTGCATTAATAGCAGCAGCCATGTTCTCTGGATACTGCAAGGATCCATTGTGCGGGCAGCTATGCACTTACTTAACCAATTTACTATGGATGCACATATAGACTGACTCCTATTTTTGGCTCTAACAAAATAGCAACAGTCACCATTCTAAACACTTACCTTTGTCTACAAGTACAAGGATGATTTTAGAATAAACTTTTAGAACTAAAACTATCAAATCAAAATTTAAATATTTGATTAATATTATGAATTTTGCTCTCCAGTAATGATGCCAGTATTTGTCAAGAACATGTGTCTGTAATTTTAGTTTTTAATACTATGTGCATAATATAAACCATGCTATGGAAAATTAGCTGGAACTTAATAGCTGCTCAAAGCTTTTTGATGATTGGTATTGCTTTTACTTAAATACTTAAAATATACTTAACATTCTTTTCCATATTATATCAGTAGACAAATTCCAGAAGCAGGGTTGTAGCTGGGTGGTAGGCCACTTGTCTAGCACGTACAAGGCTCTGAGTTTGCTCCTCAGAACACAAGAAGAAAAGAGGAGAAGGGAGGTGGGGGAGAGAGGAGTTCTTAAGAGAAGAGGAGAAAAAATCAGAAGAGAGGATAAGAAAAATGAAATTCAATTATGTAGAGAGCAAAAGACAAGCAGCATTTTGCAGCTGTTACACATCCAAGTCACAATATTCTAAAAGGGTCCGTAGAGAACGTAGACTACACATCTCTGCAGCAGCCACGGAGTCATGAACTGAGAAGGAAATTACAAAAATAATCTAATCCAATACTTACAGCACCGGTACAAAGGGAGGCCCAGGTACCATATGTCTGTATATCTAGGTGCTATTAACCAAGCTAATGAGTTGCTAAAAATTCATTTCATACTCCTATTTGACAAATATTTCTATTAGGATAAGACTGAGAATTCATGGACTTCCTGAAGAGTGTTTGTCAAACTTTAGCCTTCTTCAAAATCACCTGTAGTACCTGTTGCCACACAAAGTGTTCGACCTGTTACAACATAGACTATTGAATTTGTCTCCAGATTTCTCTGTTCATCAGGACTCGGAAGGGACTCAAAATCTGCCTATTTACCAAGACCTCCGGTGATGCTGAATCTGCTGGCCTGGGACCACACTTTGAAATCATTGCTGAAATGGAGACCAGGCTCCTTGTGTTCACACTGCACATGCTCAGCCTTTTTACCTTGTCATTATTCTCCTATTTATATAGTATAAAAATGCTTACATACATACATAGGTAAGTAGAGTATTATAAGTAACCCAGAGTTGTTTAAAATACAGGAGGACTGCATAGGTAGGTTATGTACAAATGCTATCACTGCTGTTTTATCAAGGGACTCGAGCACCTACAATCCCTGATATCTGAGGGGGTCCTGGAACCAGTCTCTTGCAGATGCCAAGGCACGATGTACTATATAGGGAGGTGAAAACATGTGCCTCAGATTTGCTTCTCAGGATTTGTGCGGCCATAGGACACATATACAAATGTATGATTCTCCGCGCTGAAATATGAGAACAGGACCATCCACAAATTCTGAAGAGAATCAAGTATTTTGATTCTTCAGAAAGCAATCAGATCACTAGACAACTTCACCCTTTCTTCTATCCTCATAAGATCTTGACATTCAGTGACATGGATCCCATGCATACTAGGGCTGCTTAATTTAAAAGTGCAGGTCACCAGAAACTTCCAAAA